GAATTGCCAGCAACGTGGCGTTCCGAGTGGAGTATCCAAGGGAAGCGACGATGATAGAGTAGAAGGCTGTGAGGTTGTTAGTCATTCGGTCAAGGGTGACTTGAGGAAAGGGACTTACTCAGAATACCGCTATCTGGTCGAAAGTCAGCCCCAGAAGCTCCGGAAGGGGTATGGTGAATGTCTACTCACTGGGTACGTTGAGACAGATGTTGATCAAGAAATAAAACCAACTTTTCGGGTCGAGTACAGCCTCCTTGGCTTGTGCGAGCTTGAACGTCTTGTTCTGTTCTCTCCATCAGCATCTTCCTCGAAAAAGCCTCCAGAACAGAAGGTCATATGTAATAATAGTACAACGCACCATGATACCAATCTTGTTATTCTCCAAACGTTTCACAGCGATGACCCTCTGCCTCGGGGTCAACCACCAAGCCGAATATGGTGCGTCGGGGAGGAAGACAATCATCACGATACCGATCGCGAGAGTGAGAACACCTATGAGGATGTAGAGGAGCTTGTTGTGTTGATAAGTCTTCGGCATATACTGCATGGGCAAGAAGTTGGCTCACCTGCCACTGTTTCAATTTGGAGCTCTCCAGGAACGAGCTGGCGTCTAGTTCTCTGTCAGTGTATGACCTGTCTTGCATCAGTCACAGCACTCACAGGACAAAAGGCCATTGGTGACGGAAGAGAGGGTGCTGAACACTATCGCAGTCCTGAAGACGGCCTCTTCTCGGCTATACCAAGAAGTGATCACCAGGGTGGCCCCCTAAGCCTCATCAGCTGTGTTCTAGTCTCCGTGCAAGACAGCGCGTATGCTACGTACAGGCAGGGTCAGAGCTTCAAACAGGCCGAGAATGAAACGGCACACGGCGAGCCCGGCGAAATTGCGGCAGGCAACATGGCACAGAGACAAGATACCTATGCCCCGTATCAGCTTGTAATATCAAATTCTCTCCATGCCCGAGACGTACCCCAGATAAAGACATTTGAACCCATCAACTTGCCCGACTTGTACCTCTGCATGAAGAACAAGGCCGGAAAGACCGACACGAGGGAGCCAAAAAAAATGAGCGAAGAAGACCAAGAGTATTGCTGCCCGACGAGGCCGAGGTCTGCTCTCAGGCCAAGAACTGCTGCTGTGCCTAAGGCAACTTTGTCGACTGCCCCCATCCTATCACGTGTCAGCCTAACGATGCGCTAGGGTAGGTGCAGGAATGAGATATACTCACATGATCGCAACAAGCAGTATCGGCAGAATGATCCAGTCTGCCTTCCTCACCATTGCCTTCTCTTCCTCTGGGGTATAGTCTGCAAAGAGCTCAGCGCTGTCCGGCCTCAGGGCCATAGCAGCTAAAAAACGACCGGCATCGTCCAGGTTGGGGTCGTCGATATCAACATCTTGGAGGGTATCGTCGACTTGAACAGCGACTACTTTGGGGTCTTGGGACTCGACATTCTTCTCGTCAGTATAGTCGAGCTCTGAGGGCATCTTGAGAAGTTTGAGGAAGGTGGGAGGGCGACGAGGCTGGGATAAGTGGTTGTTCTAAGCTTATCGCAGACACATGATGCTGTCGAGCAGTCGGATCACTGACTAGAGAAGTATAATCACCGACCATCAAGTGAAATAGGATATACGAAATCCGGACTGTCTCGTGGAAGAAGAAAATCCGATGGGTGACACGGGAGCGATAAGCAGGTGATAAGAGCCGTGGAAGCGTCGCGTATGTGCGCCTGGAAATCGGGATTGGTATATGCCGGCTAGGGTTGTGCTTTCTTGGTGTACTCTTGCTACACATCTCAGATAGAAGCAGAGCTCATGTGATGGAGCTATAATGGCTACAGCACTTGGGGACCTCAGTGCAGCCCCTGAACCAAACAATGAAGAGCATAATATACATATGGTGCTGCTGATAAAAGAACCTCGGCCCATCCCCCTAGACCTTGTAGTCACCCCCCGTCTCATGCTCGATCCACTCAAACATCTCCTGCGCCTGGAAGAACGCTTCCTCCTCTCCTCCATGCGCCGCAAACACCGCCGCAATATCCTCCTGCTCGACCGCCTTCGGCGCCCCGATCGAGTCGCTCTTCAGCTGACTCTCGCACAACTGTTCCAATCGCACGAAGAAGGCGACGGCAGCGTCGACAGTCTGGGCGGCAGAGAGGATACCGTGGTTCTGTAGGATGACGCCCTTGCCGTGGGGGCCGAGAGCAGCGCAGATGTTGCGGCCTTCTTCGTCGTCGAGGACGATACCACCGAAAGAGTCGTATAGGCGGACAGTGTCGGCAAAGGCAGCGGCGTCTGTATAATCATTGGACTAGATTCGTTGGTAGAAGAGAGAAGATACGTACCTTGAGAGACGATATCAAGGTTACGGCCAAGCACAGAGAAAGCACGGCCGTAGGTGGTGTGACTGTGTGCAGCGGCGTGAATGTCTGGACGCAGCTTGTGAACAGCTCCGTGGATGGCAAATCCAGCAGCGTTGTCTGCAATGCCATCAGCACTGATCAGGTCAAGTCTCAAGTTGCGCACATATTTGGCCATCTCCAGGCTTTCCAGTTCCCTCAAGGATGTTTCCATCATGGTCGATCAGCAGCAGGTCCGATACTGTCAGGAGATCAAACGCCACGCCGTATGGGTTTACCCAGAACGCTCTACTCTGATCAGCATGGACTACACCTTGGACTCGAGAACATACTCTGGGTTGATCGGATCCCGAACAGTGATATGCCCCGCAACACCCTCGTCATACCCAAGCTTGGAAAAGATCCTGAAGGACGCCGCGAGTCTTTCTTTCAGGTGCTTCCTCTGCTTGATCATCAGTCACTTTGCCCCCCAAGTATCGAGCTAGCTGACCTCTTCTTCCTTGGTAGCGAATACTGGTGGGCGGTAAGGCTTTGACCTGGCGGCTGGGGGACCCCCGCGAAGACGGAGGATGGGGTTGGTAGCGGTTGCTGTTTGGGTGCTGGTTTGGGTAGACATGGTGCAAAACGGCTGCTAAGCGGGGGAACCTAGTTGGCTTGTGGTATATGAATGGAGTGGATGGCCACGACCGCGTTTCCGACGAATCGTTTTTTGGACAACTGAGCAGGGCCGGTGGGCCGAGATGAACTCCGAGCACGCGCAAAGTCGAAATCCGAGATACCGTCTTGCCGCCACGGTTTATCGGCGTGCAGAAAGCTCGTATGGCAGCCCCGCTTTATATATCCTCCTTGCATCATTTCCTTCTTTCCCAAGTATACTAAACACCATGGGCATCGAAGTTGAAGAGAACCCCGACTACGCTCCAGGACAACAGCCAAAGGTCCGCAAGTTTAGGCGAGCCGCGCCGCCGACCTTTACGGATGTCCAGCAAGAAAAGATCTACAGGAAGGGCAGACTGGCAATGGCTTGCCGAGTCGTAGCAGCGCAGGGATGGGGAATTGGCTGTGGCATGCAGCTTACGGTAGGTCTACATATTTGCTGCTGAGACACAGGGCTTATCATTGCAGTCGCGTGATCCGGTCGACACCGACACTATCTGGGTCGTCCCAGCGGGCAAAGCCCTCGCCGCTGTCAAGTCCTCAGACTTGATTCAAGTCAGCATCACCACTGGCGAAGCCATATATAATGATGCTGAATTCGGCTATGACCTCAACGCCGTGTCGATACACCGGGCAATCTACGCCGCGAGGCCTGATGTGGGAGCCATCATCCATGGAAGTACACCACACGCCAGGGCCTTTTCCATGCAGGACCAGCCTCTAGAGATGATTGTGCAAGGTGCGTCTGTCCCTCTGTTCTGACGCTACCGCTTGCTCACTACCATCTCAGACTCGTGCACATTCTACAAGCGCTTCCACCGTCTCCCCTTCTCTGCCGGCCAGCGTGCCCTCTCTGAGCCGCAAGGTGTGTCCAACGCTTTGAAAGACGGCAAGGGTTTCGTCATGGAAAACCGCGGTATCCTTCTCGTCGGCGCTACCATTGAATGCCCGATCAGTTACTATATCAGGATGGAAAGTTTGTGTCAGATCCAATTGTTGGCAGAGGCCGCCTTGAGGGGCAGGGGAGGAGACTTTGTGAGGGTTGGGCAGCAGGAAGTGCAGGTGTGTTCTTGTTCTATGTGTCTTGGAGCCAAAGCTGATGTCGAGGATAGTTTACCTTTGACAACAGTGGTTCCGAACACCACGCCTGGTTGATGGCGATGCCCTACTTTGCGCGACAAGATAGGTTGACTGGTGGTGCCATGGTGGTATAGGTTCTGGGAGTATATTGTTTGTACATGGATGAATTGATAATCGACATATATACCGAACCAGACTGAAATCCTGGATGCCTTGATCCCTGCCTTGATCAATCAGCAGCAGACTGACAAAACTCGCTTGCAAACACGTTCATTTGAATAGGCCACAGGAAGTAGAGAGTCGTTGTTTGGTTTGGCTCATGGATTGCTGTGGGATGCTTGCAGAGTAGACAGTCGTTGTCACAATGTTGAAAGGGGCTTGAAAAGAGACCTGACGGCTGATCCATGTATCGGGGATTCGGGAGAGGGCGACTGCATGAGGCGGCTTGTTTGCGGGACCCCTCTCGTTCTTCCACCTTCCGTGTCTGGTAAGTCTGAACCTTGCTATGGCCGGAACGGATGACGGGAGCGCTAGACGAGAGTGTAAATCCCGCATTCTCCGATCCTCACGGTGAAAGACAGCAGAGAACGACGTCAGGGGCGGCCAGCGGCCCTGGGGGGGGGCCAAGTGGGCGGGCGAATAAAGAGACTGCGGTGCTCCTGGATACGTGATGGACCTATGCATCATGGCACAGGATGACAGAGACGGCGGCCTGCGGGGGGTATAGTGGGGGACACCGAGCTAGTGCATGCATCCAGGCTTGCAATGAAAGACGAGCACCGATTCGATGCGCTGGGAATTAAATTGGGGTTACCGAGAGAGATGGAGATTCGTTTGCGGGCCCTCCGGCGAAAACATCGCTGCTGCTTTTTCGTTTTCCTCTTGCAAATCCCCCCTCTCGCCTTTTGCCCCTCCCCCCCTGGCAGGTGTGCCCGACTGATATACCTATAGTCCCTCGCCTGGCATCGCATCACTCTGAGGTGAGTTTTCCGCTGCCTGCCCTGGCTTGTGACCGAGGACGGGGCATACGACGGTGCTGTGCTCGTACGGATCCTGGGGATCATGAGATTAGACCCCTTGGTGGCAGCTCTCGTCTTGTTCGCAGGATCCCTGCGCTGCATGTGGGCTGCCCCCAGCTGTGCGAGCATGAGATGCGCATTTTGCGCAAAGGAGCCGAGCAAAAACATGCACACTGCCCGCTGTCCCCAGTGACATCCTCTCCCGTGTCCTTCCGCCCTAGTACATCTCCCCAGTCACCTCGCTGACCCTCTTGCCCCTTCTTCTCCTTCCCTTGCCCGGCCTACCCCTCACCCGCTACCCCTCCCCCGCAACCCCGCCCACGCACGCTCAGCAGGCCTACTGCGGATAGACACAGCAACCACCGATATACCCCCACTGTTATCATAGCCATAACGAGGCGCCTGTACTCTACACCCCTATATCCAACCTGCCTGTAGACGCAGACACCTATAATCGATATCTGTAGGATTGGCCGACTCGGCCTGTAGCCCCCAAAATCGCATAACGCAAACATGTCTTCAACCACCGCTGCTTCCTCCGCAGCTTCAGCCACCTCTGCTACTTCCTCTGTGGCTTCCAGCGCTAGCGGCTCTACTACAGCTTCTGAAACGGCCTCTACAAGCACGGTGACCGATTCCATCGTCAACCAAACGTCACAAACAAGCTCGTCAGGTATCAGCGGCGGGGCCATCGCTGGAATAGTGATTGGAATCATCGGAGGCTTTGTGGTCATTGGTCTGCTGTTTGCATGGCAAAGAAATAGAAAAATCAGAGGAGAAAAGGCAGCACTACCGTGAGTCTAGGTGTTTACGGGACAAGATCCGAGCTGATTGGATGCAGTGCGCCGAGAGATGTGTCCTATGTCCCGCCAGACATGCGCCAGAGACAGACGTCTTCCATGTCGGGCCTTGCATCTCTTGGGGGTCACCACCGTAGGACCAGCACCTACTCCTCTTGTATGTCTGAATGTTTGGCGACGTGCTATGGCTGATCGTGCTCAAGCAGCAATGCTCGGGCCTCCTCGACCCTCCTCGACATATCACCACTCTGCCTCGCATTCCCGTCAGCCATCATACCACTCTCCCATGATGACTCCCAACGCCATGCCCGTCCATGACGGATCACCCCCCATGGGCGCATCTGGCTCTTCTCAGTCTTCCGATTCGACTCCCCAGACGCCCGGATCAGCATCGGGCCATATAACCGAAGGAGACCGACCTCCACTTGCCCCGATCAACACCCACATCGGTGGTGAAAACGCCGTCGCAGGTCCATCCAGAGGTGGCTCGCAATACAACACCCCCGGTGGCTCTCCATCCAATTCTCCTCGTGCATCTCTCAACGGACTTCCCTCGCCCAATCGCGGTTTTGCGAGATCCCACAGCCAGCGACCCATGTCGATGAACTCGCTCTCTTCCCGGAGCTATCTGCACGTCGGTCCGTCGGGCGGTGCGCCCCATCAGAGGCCGGTGGTGCTCGAGATGCCAAAGAGGTTGGGCGCGAGGCCGGATGGGAACGGTGATTTCTTTTATTCGGTAGGAAGATTGCCGGAAAGCTCGTCGGGTCTGGGGCTGGATGAGATGGGCAGGGTGAGGAGAAATTCAAGGCCTATGGATGGTGAGTCGATATCTACTGCGGCTGATCTCAATGTTAATGGCTCTGTAGACTACCCAACCTCTCCCCTGCGGTCCACCCACCCGGGTCCCCCATCTGCCCGTCGACCACTCGCCACACCGAGCTCGGAGGCCGGCCCCAGTGGTTCCCGTCCCCCAGTGCCCCGGACAACCACCGCCCGTACAGAACCACCCGAAGATCCCCAGGTCGTTTTGGGCAGGAGCGAGCCGCCTGTCTAGTTCTACCACTTGTCCGCCGGGGGAAGTCTGATTTCTACTCTATCCACGGACAGTAATACCTTGTTACCATAATAGTGATTTCCATATAAGTAAATCTGTACTCTCGATCTATTATACATGTGTCCTGTTTCAATGACGGTCCACATGTGGCCATGTCATCCATAGATGAGACGCTTTTCACTTTTTCCACTTTTTTACATATCCACGTACACACATTGCATTGCTTCGGTAGGCCAGTACGAGACAACAGTTGGTAGCTACACATGCAACACAGCATTATGGCGTACGTATTGCTTCGGTAGAATCTTGCTAGCAGTGGCGGATGACTTCTCAAGTTCTATGGAAGATTCAAGAACGCCAACGCGTCTCGCGACCGACGGCCATCGATATCTCTTTCTCTTTGCTTTTCTTCTCTCAACTCTTTCCTTATCCCACGACACCTCAGTGCCATGTCGAAAGTGCAGCTCTACGTATACGACCTCTCCAAGGGACTCGCCAAGTCCATGAGCATGATGCTCACTGGTAAACAGATCGACGGTATTTGGTACGTGGTGTGGCCACCCGCCCTCCTGCATGCGCTGACAGCAAGGGTATAGGCATACTTCAGTAGTAGCTTTCGGCCGTGAAGTCTACTACGGTCAAGGTATCCTCCAATCCACTCCCGGAACCACCCACCACGGACCCCCTCAAGAAGTCATCGACCTCGGCGAAACCCACATTGACGAGGAGACGTACTTTGAGTACATTGCGAGTCTGGGGGAAATGTACCAACCGGACAAGTATCACCTGATCGAATTCAACTGCAACCATTTCTCGGCGGATGTTGTTGGATTTTTGACTGGAGGAGAGATCCCTGCTTGGATTTCCGGTACGTCAAGTGTGGAACTATGCGAGGAGCAAAGACTGATGTATTGCGCGCAGGCCTTCCGTCAGAGTTCCTCTCGACTCCGTTCGGTCAAATGATGAAGCCGCAGATCGATGCCATGTTCCGTGGCCCTGCTTCTGAGAGGCCTATTCCCGACAGGCCCTCGGATCAAGGGGCTGCTCCTGCTGCTCCAAGCGCCGCCAACGCCACCGCTGGAGGTAGTGGGCAGGGGCAGAATGGTCAGACGAGAAATTTGGCTTCGGCGTTGTTACAGTCAGTCGCTGCCCAAGCTGCTCAAAACGGAGGTCCTCGCTCTACCCCCTCCCCTCCCAACCCCGAGACCTCCCCATTGACCTTGGTCTCTTCCACCGCCAACTTCAATTCCATCCTATCCCAGCACTCTGCCGTCATCGTCAATTTCACAAACACCCCCTCATGCCCGCCTTGCAGAGTCATCAAGCCCATCTACGAGTCTATCGCTGGGTTACATGCTCCTACATACGGGGTCAAGGGCGCGAGGTTTGTAGAGGTGGAGCTCGGGATCGGGCAGGGCCGGGAGATCGCGGGGCAGTATGGTGTCCAGGCGACCCCGACGTTCATGTTTTTCCGGGACGGAAAGAAGGCGGATGAGCTCAAGGGAGCTGCTAAGAGGGAGCTGGAGGCAAAGGTGGAATCGTTCTTGGAAGAGTGTTACCCGACACATCTTCACAGAAAGCTGTACCTCCCTGCTGTTGAGGGGCTGCCAAAGTCGGCCATATTGGCCAGCAACCAGCCCAACTATACGGCTCTGCTCAACAAACTCGATGGTCTGCTCGCTGGTAAAGCTGCAGACAACCTCAAAGTGTTCAAAGATGAGTTTGTGCCGTGGCTGGAAGGCAAGAAGCAGTTGTCTGGGACTGAGGCTGCCTCAGCCTTGTCCCAATGGCACACCGCCACTGAGGAAATCTTTACCATCCTCAAGCCTGAAGATACGTTCCCAGTCATAGATGTCTGGCGTGTCGCGATTCTCCGCCAGCCTTTGGATTCACTCCTCTCCTTGGGTCTTTCTACGGCTTCTACTCGCCCAGAGCCAATCACTCTCATCCTCTCCCTCGCCCACAAGACCTTTACCTCTGCCCCGAGTACAACTCCCAAACCATTCATCCTTACTGTTCTTCGCTTCCTGACCAACATTCTTTCCTGGCCACAACTCGCCAATCTGCTTCTGTCTCCTGGTGGAAACGCTGCAGCTGGAGAACAGGTCATCAGCCTTTTGGTGGAGAGTCTGCTCTACCCAGATGTAGGCGTGAGGACGGCAGCCGCTGGTGCAGCTGTCAATGTAGGGGTCTGGAGGCAGAAGAGCGGAAAGGAAGAGACCGCTAGTGTGGAGTGGGAGGTTGAGATGGTCAGTGGACTTGTAGAAGCCATCTCGAACGAAGAAGAGGAGGATGTCGGTACGTTCATCCTTCTCTCGCCTTACAGATTGCATACTGATATATGAGCAGCCCATCGTCTTCTTGCAGCTCTCGGCCTGGTCATCTACCTTTCCCCGGGATATGAAGACAATGTGCAGCCAATGCTTCAAGTGCTCGAGGCCAGCGACAAGATTGAAAAGAAGTGTCGAGTTTGGAAGAAAAAGGAAGTCAAGAAGCTCGGAGAGGAGATCGCCAGGAAGCTGTGTTAGATGCTAGATATGTATACACTTGTAGATTGTAGTATGAAGAATCCTTGTGGCCCACTGTTGCCATGTTGAATGAGGCGGGTGGCAACCGCAAATCCAAAACAAGCTCCTGTTCGACGCGACTTGAATTTCGCGTCGCCTCACTCTCTTCTATCACCATCTTTTCGTTTCAAATCGAGGCCTACTCTGGAGTATGCCTTCAACACCTTCCAGGTCATCATACCCCCTCTCTCCACAGACACCCAGCTCATACCGCCGCCCCTACATCCCCACAACCTCGGATACCCCAGACGACCCCAATGCGTCGCTACAACATCCCGGCCTTGCGCACCGGTCCAGCAAGAGCATGAGCTCTCTCAGCCACGTCTTTTCCCAGGCCGAGGGTTCTGCTTCGGGCTCAGGCTCTAGTGGACGGTTGGGAGGGCTGAAAGAGGCGGAGGATAGACGCCGTAGTGTGGACAGTCCAAGCGTACATAGAAAGAGGCGCAGTGAGGGGCTGCCGGACTGGTTAAATGGAGGCAGGGAGGAGCGAAGGGTCAAGCGACTGGATCTTCCTGTGAGTGGGATACTGCAGCTGTGCGGCCTTCACATGTCGTTTCTCAGCTGACGCACGGACCTCGCAGGCCAATCCTAGAGAATGGACTCGTACGTCAAGACCCAATTCTCCTCGAGATGATATGCTCATGATGATTCCAGCTTCTGACCTGTCGCAATACCTTGCATACGAACTACGGACAGGCGGCGTCGACCATATGGGCAAGACATTACCTGCGCCCCTGATACGAGACATCGAGTCGTGGGTGTTCAGGCAAAGAGTCTCGGGAAAGGTGTTTCTGAGCGGCAGTTCGGATGGTTGGGGGTACGTATGGCCGGGACTATCTAGCACAAGGCTGACTTTTGATGTAGGAGCAGTACTTCCAAACCACCACCCTTCTTGCCGCTATTGCAATACATTGCTCGCCGACTTCGCCGTCAGTCCTTATCCCGCCCGCCCCCAGTCCACCCTTCCAACCCTGGCTCTCCCACACTCTTTGAAGAGGACGAACTGTTTGAAGACGAAGATGAAGGTGTCTTTGGCGTCAAGCGTATGGTCATCGACTATGATGCCCGTTCGTCTGCCTCGGAAGCTTCCGGCGACGAAAGCGACCACCACGACGCCCCTCGGCTCCTAGCCCAACACACTGGAGATAGTGTGATAGAGAGGTGGAGAAAATGGGAAGAAACGGGTGGAGAGATGAGGCCGCCCGAACATGAAGAGTATATCCAGGGCTATGGAAGAGGGGATGGTGGGAGGAAGAGGAATGTGTCCAACGTCTCGGCGACGTCTGCTGGGTCGGTCAATGTGACCCCGGCGAGGAGGGGAAGCGAGACCAAGCACAGCAGTCCGACTATGGAGGAGCTATTGAAGGCGAGAGGAGACGATACTCTGGAGGTGGGAGATGATGGTATGGGAGGAGCTACGATCAAGGCTGTTCCTCCGACAGCTTCTGCGGCCAGTGCGCCGTTGACAACAGGTTCTGTCATAACGCCGTCTTCGCCATATACCACGCCCATGGCCGACACATCCTCAGCACCGGCAGACACCAAATCCGTAACTCCCACACCTGACCGCCCTCCTGGTCTGTCCAGCCTCGTAGAGGCGGACGGGGAGAATGACGATACCCCAGAAGCGACACCCTCCAAATCCCAAACTTCTCAACCCCGGCAAACCTCTGATGGTTCCAGCCGGTATACCTCCCTCGGTCGCTCTGATCGAAGACATCCACGAGAACATTCTCAAGATGATGCGGCAGATTCAGATGATCCCGAAGAGGGAGAGGCGGAGACGGGACGGTGGGAGAGTGCGAGGAGGGTGACACTGAGGCCGACGAGGGCTATGACAAAGAGTATCTCTGCTCTTCCCGTGATCCCTTCGGTCGAGGCGGTGGAATCAAAGGCCAACGAGAAAGTGAGGGACGCAGAGAAAGAAGTTGCGGTGAAAGGAGAAGTTGCGATACAGGTGGATAAGCTGGTTGAAAAGATCAAGGAACTAGAGGCGAGGTTGGAGGTGATGTCTACATCGACCCCAGCGCCCCCAGCCTCAGTTGACCCTTTGCCGGAGGCTAATCCCGCACCAGTCGAGCCGCAGACTGTCCTCACTCGGTTAGGACTTGGCGGCGGAGATGGGACCCTCGGATACGTGTTCTTGATTGGTCTTGGTGCGGGTGTTGGTGTGGGGGCAATTGTAATGCGTATACTGCGCGCGAGGTGATCTATGATAATGACTTGGCTGCTTTCTATAATGACATGATGACATCTGATGACTTGCTTTCAGTGCTGCTCCCTCATTTGAACGGGCCGAAGAAGTCCCGGAACTTGTCCATGGGCGCCTCTGGCAATGACGCACACGATGTACTAACAACAGGATAGCTCGATGTGTCTCGTTGTCCTCAAAGCGGTCCAGGTCCAATAACCTCCATGCTCTCAGAAAAGAAAGATGTCAAGTACAAAGACAGTTGCATCAATGCGCCCAAGATGACAAGACGGAGCAAATCTATACGCAAACTCTATATCAAGAACAACGCGAAAAACTAGACGATGTACTTGTAAGGGTTGAGCAAACCCTTGGGGTCGAAAAGCTGCTTGATCTGCTTCATGATCTCAATCGAAGTCTCGTTCTTGGAGTAGTGGACGTAAGGAGCCTTCATCACACCGAGACCGTGCTCAGCAGAGATGGATCCATCAAACTCGGCTACACGTCAGTCAGTCAACGGCGACTATTCCAAAAGAGATGGAAAGGGTACGCACAAACAATCTCGTAGATATAAGGCTCAATGATCTTCTCCACCTCATCGGTGTACTTGTTGGCAACAATGTTGATGTGCAGGTTACCATCACCCATGTGCCCGTAACCAGCCACAGCCCTGATGGGGCCCTCGGGATTCCCATCCCCATCCAAAACACCATTCTCCCTCAGCCTGGTCCTCATCTTCTCCACCAACCCATACATCTTGCCCACGGGGACCGACACGTCGTACTTGTAGACGGACCCGGCCTTACCGGCGGATTCGGGGACGAGCTCACGGAGAGCCCAGATGGAGTGGAATTGGGTGGTATCTTGGGCGAGGACGCCGTCCATGACGAGGTCGTTGGAGAGGAGGTGTTCGAGGAGCTCGGTGAGTTTCTGTGGAATGTCAGTGGGGTTACCTTGGTTGGCCTTGATACGTACAGCCTCGTCGTGCTCGGCGTTGGAACCACCAGTCTCGATCAGACAGTAAAAGTCACCCTCCTGCTCGAATACACTTCGGTGACCGCCATTCTCCTCCTGGTGCTTCTTGACGAGAGCATACTGCGGGCAAGTCAGACAGTGCAGCTCGGACAAAGGCAGAGACTTACACTTTGCTTGTCAAAGAATTCAAAGGCAGAGAGGATTTCACCGAGATATGCCTTGGCTTCACCGAAAACGGTCTGGACCGCCTCGTACGAGGGCAAGGAGAAGACGGCGACGTTCATCGCTGACGGTCGACGAGGACAGAGAATCGAGACGGCAGTAATGATACCGATGGTACCCTCAGACCCGATAAAAAGCTGCTTGATGTCGAAACCAGTGTTGTCCTTTCTCAGCTTGCTCAAACCGTTCCAGATCGTACCATCCGGCAAGACCGCCTCCAAACCAAGCACAGTCCCGTGCAAACTTCCGTATCTCAGCAGCCTCAAGCCACCAGCGTTGGTGGCGACGTTGCCGCCGATATGACACGAGCCCTTGGCGCCCAGGTCGAGGGGGAAGATGAAGCCTTGCTCGGCGAGGTGGTTGTCGGCAGCCTCGAGGATGACACCGGCGTCGGCGACGAGGATACCAGAGACGGGGTCGAAGGATCGAATTTGGCTGAGGTTGGAAAGGTTCAAGATGATCTCGTCGTGGACCGGGTTGGAACCACCTGTGACTTGATTAGCCGAGTCCCGGCAGTCATGATTGCGCGATCTAAAAAAAGTAAGGCTCACCAACAAGACCAGTGTTACCACCCTGAGGCACAATCGCGAGGTCATTCTCGTAGCAGTATTTCATGACCTTGCTGACCTCTTCTGTCGATTTGGGCTTGACCACGATAGGGCCCTTGCCGTGGTACTTGTTCATCCAGTCATCGTTGTAGCTTTGCAAATCCTCGGCGGTGGCAGTGCCGTCGATGGTAGAGATGAGGGACGAGTCGGACGACAAGAGGGCGCGGATGGCCTTGATGTGGTCCTCGGTGGGCTTGGTGAAGGCAGCCGAGCGAGGGGGGAGGGTGGATCCTAGACGGACCGGGGTGTAGGTGGGTGCGATTGTGCGCGCGGAAAGCCGAGTGGTTTGATGGAGGGCCGGTCGGCGAGCGATCGCACGAGTGGCCAAGCGGGAGAGGGCGCGAGGGGTGGCCATGGTGGGAGGGGGCGGGGAGAGGATGTTGAGGGGTTTTGGAGGAGGACGATAGAGAAATGGTGATTTCACGATGAAAGATCAAGTCGTGCATTTAAACCCCAGTCCCCATAATTTGCTGGGTGTTTGTGCCCACTCCCGCTATCGCCTTGGGTGCTCGCTTGCGTATCCAGAGTCGAGCAGCGCTGTTCGTGCTGTTGTTGGTAATCCCGGGGTCATTATTCTCTTGCTCTCTCCTCAGCCCTTGTGCATGCTCACTGGCCGCCAATCCGCGCGTAACACCTTCTCGAAGGGATCCCAACCATAGCTCCCCAAGGGTCCGCCTGCAAGCTCTTTTTGCCCCAGGGTGATAACCTCGACCCATCTCGGGTAAGCGACTACCTCTCATCCTGTCGGTGATCTGATCTGGCTTGCAAGGGCCATACCAGACGCAGAGAAAGTGGCTTGCAGGTATGCATACGCGGTACTCTTGACCATTGTGTCACTCCCGTAATTACCGTTGTTAACAGCCGACGGGCATTGATCACGATTTTATTACGCGCAACGACCATCACCCCCGACTTTGCATCTTGTCCCACTCTCCCCTCAACCATCGACACTCGCGAGCAATATGCCGCGTTCCGAAAGCCCGCCGCCTCGAATCTCACCCAACTGGGACGACCAATCCTGCGACACCGTCCTCGTCAGCAGCGACAATTGCGCATTCTTCGTACCCTCCTACCTCTTGAAAGCCCACAGGCGAGCCAGCTGCTGTAGCCTGCCTCGCTGATGATACGCAGCGAGGTGTTCAGAGGCATGTACGATCTATCATGTCCACCCTCCGGACCCGAATTAACCGGCAGCCCATCCTCCATACCCTCTCCTGCCCCGACTCCCTGGCCGAACCCATCAAGATCGAACTAGACGACCCCATCGCAGAACACTCTTCCTCTGTCCTCTTCTTTCTCTCCCTTATCTCTGGCAAACAGCTCGAAGATATTCTCCGCATGTTCCCTCTCAAGATGGTCTTGACCTTCCACGCAGTCATGCTGTTTGTCAAAAAGTGGGACTGCATGTTGGCCTCCAACATGATGGATATGTGGTTGATTGAGCTGGCTCGCTCCAGGCATTTGCATAGGGAGATCAAGCCGCTGGACGTGTTTATCATTGCTGCTAAAGCGGACAAGGTGCTTGCTGCCGAGCATGTCGTCATGCGGTACAAACGCGCACCGGTGACGAGACCGATAACACTATGAGCCATTAAACTTTGAAGTTTCTGCGTGGGAAGATATACCGGTGCCATATTTGTTTGCGCTGGAGAAGGCTTGCAAGCTCCATCCAGCGAGTATGCCGAAAGATCGAGCAAAGGCGTTCAAGGATGAAGTCGAAGGGGCTAGGAAGAACAGGGTGCCGAAATTCGGCAGTAGAGATGAAAATATCATGTGGGAAGAGGATGTGCTTGTATAAGCTAGGTACGCTACATGCTTTGCGACAGATGGGTGATGCTGACAGGGTATAGACTACATCGTTGTATAGTATCACAAATTGTATCAAGATGTCGTTAAAATGGCTCAAGCTGTCTGGCCACCGTTGATATATTGCTTTCCACTGCAATATCGTCAGCGCCGAAATACCCTCTTATGTTTGACTCACAGTGCTGTCAACGCGCCAGAAGTATCCATCAACCTGTTCGATTCGGAAACGCCATAGAGATACTCTGAGTCCCTCACCGCACCAAACCAGGCATACTTTCTGTAATAGTATCAGCCCCATCGAATCAAAAGAGGGAGGTAGCTTACATAACCCAGTCCTGTTGGTCTAGCCACTTGGTCGTCTCCGCCATGAACGTGCTCGCCTCCGATTCCGAGCAACCACTATCATCCCCAAAACTCTTTCACCCTCATCAGCGCTCTTCTAACCTTACGTTTGACGAGAACAACTCACATAACAAGCAAATTCGCTCAAAACCAACGGCAACCCAAATGTGTCATGAAACTCCTTCACCTGCGTCTTGAAATCATCCACATCCGTCGTATACAGATGCATCGACACATAGTCCGGCTTGGCATCGCACCCTTCCCAGGCGTTGGAGGCGGAGGCGGAAGGGCAGATGGTGGAGAAGAAGGTGGAGAGCCAGTCTTGGGAGGAGGCCATGACGGGGGAGTGGATTTTGATGTCGGGGTATTTGGCGCGGAGGGTCGCGACTTGGGTCTTCCACCTAACCCATTCGAGTTAGTACAGCCCCCTTGGTGAGGGTGTGTTATGACTTACAGGCCTGCAGCGACTGCAGCGTCGATATAGTCGGACACACCCGTATCCGACTTGAGATCCGGTTCGTTATACCCCATCAGCTCGGTGAAACCGTCTTGCAACGTGGACGAATCGTCGAGGAATGTCGTATCAAACCTTTCAATCTCGCAGTCAGTATTGCTTCTTCATGGAAATGAGAAGTGGTGGAAGACTGACAACATGGGGATGAATTCACCAGAGATGGAAGTCCCATCTGACGTCAAAATACCTTGGTCCCAATTCTTGTTCCAATCAAACCACCACGATACAGTCTCCCAGCCATATCAGCCCAACACTCTTTTCAAGAAACCTGGGGGAACGCTTACAGAAGAATCGGTAAAGAACTTGGCGACGGGCGCAGCTTGGATCTCTTGTATCGGCCAGCTGACGCCCATCTTGGAGGATGAAGTCGTGGCGTTGCCGGTACTGGAAGCGTTCGTTGCAGATGCAGCTGCAGAAGTCTTTACAGACGTAGCGGAAGTCTTGGCAGCGGAAGACTTTGCAGAGGTGGCGGCAGAGCTCAAAGGCGTCATAGCAGCCGCACTCGAAGCCACCGACTTTGAGTCGACAGAAGTCCTGCTCGAAGCAGCTGCCGCCTCTGCATTCACTGAAGACGCCTGACCAGCCGTACTCTGGACATCGCCAGTAGCGAGATAGACGTCACCGCTTGGGTCTTCTTGGACTGCTACAGCCCCTGAAGCTGCCGCGGAAGCAGCAGTAGATTGGGATCTGGAGCATGCTGGGGCAGCTTTGGTGAGAGCGAGAGAGGAGAGGAGAGGAAGGAGGGCTGGGAAGGCGAGATGGTGGCGCATGGTGTACAGCTTGAGGGTTGAGGGTCGAGGACGGTCGAAAAGAGCGTAAAAGTTGGAGACGTCCCGGTGGCCTGCACTGGGGAAGTATGATGAGATAGGGTGCGAGTTCTGGTGAGGAAAGTATCTTTAAGCCAGCCGCCTTAGAACAGCAAGCGTTCACTGACGGGATAGCTTTGTTGCAGAGCCTCCTTTCTTTTCTTGTCCCTCGCAGCACCCTTATGGCCAAGGCAGGAGAGATTGGTCGCATATCCTTTGTGAGTATGTGAGCTCCGGGTGAGAAAGGCCTGTGCATAGTAGCGAGATGACGTATTGTATATGCATGCGATGACTTGTGCTTTTCTCTGTTCTTTATTTGAATATGTACTTTGCTTGGTTTCTCATGCAGTGCCACTACAGTAAGGCTTGACTCAGTCTCCGTGGCCATCGTTGATATACTGCCAGCCCCTTACATCCCGTCAGCCCTGCACACCTGCAAAGAAGAGTAGACTTACAAGGGGGTGACCTCACCGTCCTCATCCATGAGACGGTTGAAGGGGTGAATACCATGGAGGTTGTTGGCGTCTCGGACGGCCCCAAACCAGCAGTACCTTCTGTAAGACTATGAGCTCAAGCCACAGGGTGGGGGTGGTGGACACGTACACGATAAAGTCGCACTCATCGAGCCACTTGGTAGCCTGGCCCATAAAGTCGTGGACCTGCTGCTGGTCCTCAGGGTTGGGCACATTCTCATCAAAGCTCTACCCAAGCGTCAACATACATACCATCAACAGAGTAGGCACTGACAGTCATGCAAAATTCGGTCAAGATGATGGGCAAGTTGAACTCTTGATAGTACCACTGCAACTTGCAGATCAAGTCGTCCATGCTAGTCGTGTAAACGTGCACGGCGAGGTACTCGGGCTTGGTCTTCTCGGGGATGAGAGAGAAAAACTCGTGGAGCCAGTCGACGCTGCCAGCGACAGCGGGAGAGACGAGGTGCTGGTTGTCAGGGTCGGTACGAAGCTCGGCGAGGCGGACCCAGCTGAGAAAACGTTAGCTCAAGTGGGTCATGGGTAAGGGAGCTTACGCATCGGCAGCCTCCTGAGGGGAGCGGGCGTCTGCCACGTCACCGTTGTTGTGGTCTCCACAAAGTCAGTACACGTGGAAGGGTGAAGGGAGTCGACTGACCAGGCTCGTTGAAACCTAGGAGAAGGCGCCAGCCTTCCTGAGGCTCGATGCCATCGTCAATGTTGTCGGGAGACCAGCTATCGCAGGGTTAGTCCACGTACATGTGAAAATGGATGCGGTGCACGCACATCATCGGAAGGAACTCTGCGTCGATTTCGAGGTCCTCAGAGGTCTCGGGCACGAGGTCGCCCTTCCATTGCTTGGTCCAGTTCCAGTGCCAAGAGAGCTTCTGTGGAATGGGTCAGTACAGCAACAAATGGGATGAAGGTGTACTTGCGGATCCGTCCTGGAAGAACTTTGCGACGGGGTCAGAGGTGCGCTCCTGGGCGGGCCAGCTGATACCAGCCTGGAGTGGGGAGTGTCAGTGGCAGATGAGGATGGAAGAGATGTGCGCGCACCTTGCCTTTGTCGTCTTCAAAGATGCCGAACATTGTGAATGACAGATTGTAGAGATGCAATGTCAGGATGGAGATGGAATGCACATGGCTTTGTAGGCTGGGAGTGGGGGACCCTGGTAGTGGTTGAGTGAACGGAAGGAATCTTGGCGTTGGACACTTGTTGCACGCGACGCGACGCCCGGCCGCCGGGAGTGAAGGGCTTTGCTGCGAAGGGGTCGAGGGATGCATGAGCTGCAGTGGTACACAGTGCAGGTGTGAGCGAGGGGCAGGGATGTACAGTACGTGCTTGCATGCATAGTCTATAGTCCTACCTCTTGTTCTTCTTCAGAGTAAACACGTCGTTACGTAAACGCCACTCTCTGCTCCCGCTGACCATGCCATCATAGACTGATCTATGGATTGTAGATGAGCAAGGGCAGAGTAAACCATCCCAACAAGACCCCAACACCCCTGCACGCAACAGAAGCCACCCAACGGACATACAGGCGCGTCGTGACAGACCAGGTGCGAGGCGTCTCGCGCGTATCACAAGGTGGCGGGTACTGATCTAATTCTTCAGTTGTCAATCTAATCACCTACCGCACAGTTCACGCTATACCACCAGAGAAACTCTAGTCACGAGCAGATGGGTACTCAGGTGAGTGACCTATGACCCGCCCCTCCCAAGCTCACCATCCCGCAGTGACCTCGATGCCCTCTCCTTCGACCCACGCCCCTCGTGCGTCCATATCCTCCAACCTCCCCTCTCCACCTCCAGCAGACCGCGTACCGACCCCCAAAGGACGCACGCACCAGTTCAAACTCCTGAGAAAGGGAAAGGACAGGGAGAGGCGACACCCGACGGATCTGGAGGATGACTGGACAATAGAAGGCATGTCGCCGGATGCTGTCGAGGACGAGGAGTTTCTCGAGGACTCAGAACCGGCGCTAGAGCCAGAACCAATAGTGCCAGAGATGCCGGTACGAGAAGAGGCCAAGAAACCTTCCAGCAAGGGCCGGCAGCTAGTCAAAAAGACCTCACGCCTGTTCAGTCGGGACAAGGACAGAGAAGGCGACTCTTCCTCCTTTGCACCCAGCAGCTCTTCTTCCCTCGTAGCTTCCCGCCAGACATCCGCCAGCTCTGCCGACTCGCAAACCACCGGCTCGGCTTCCCGGACACTTCCCTCTGCCTTTATACAACGCCACTCTTCCATGCAGTCCAAGAGCAGGTCTCCGCGGACTAGCTTTGGCCAGCCATCGCATTCCCGTCGGGCGTCCCAAGACTCGCAGTCGTCATGGCAAGCGCCGAGGTCGATCCGGTCGTTTGCATCCAACGACACTGAACCATCTGCCCCGCGCGGTCTGCCCATCCCTCAACGGCAAGGCGCGTCCATTCCTTCCTTGTCTCGGCAGTCCTTGCCACAACCGATAAACGTGAACTCTCGAAGTCCAGAGACGATACCTGGGCGCATGTCTTCTTGGTTCTCTCATCTTTTGCCCACCGCCGAGAACCAGCCCGCATCTCTGGGCTCGTCCCCTGGCGCCGAAGCCACCTCTCCTATTCGTAAACAACCTTCCGTCGCCGCTTCCCTATTCAACGCCGCAAGACAGAAAGCCGTCGACGGTGTACGGCACCTGCTGGATTCAGAAGCACAGCCAGACAAATGCATGGACACCATCTGGATGCGTGGTGTGGGCCACCCGGGGTACCGCCCAAAGACACCTGATACCACCTCGAGTCCTCTGCCCAGCGTGGAAGGAGTGCAGGAAGAGGGCAGGCGGTCGTCTCTCTCGATGAACAGGCCTTCGCCTACGGGACTTCGGCCCTCTTCTTGGAGGAGGAACGCATCTATTTCGCAGGGTATACCCGCTCAGACGAATCAGTCTACGCCACCGAATAAAGGTTTCACAAATCTCTTCAATAGCTCGTCATTGTCTTTGGCCATGCCTATGGGATCGTCGCCTAGCAAGGAGAAGGAGGGGCCGGATAGCCCGAATAAGAAGAAGCCTGGAAAGGAGGTGTTGCAGTGGCCAGAGCAGTGTACGTGTGCGTTGTCGGTCTGGATATTTGCTTATTCTTTGCAGTCTATGATGATTTCAGGGGTACAGTCTGGTGCACCTACCGCAACCAATACGCTCCCATCCTAGCACTATCCCCCAACCTCCTCATCCCCTCGCCCGAAGCATACTACGCCTCATTCGCACCTCCCCTCGACGTCGCCTCCGCACCTCCCGCGCCACCATCCCCCCAACAAACACCCACCCAAAACTCTTCTTTCCAAGCACAGCAAGCTCCAACAGGATGGTGGGGCAAGGAAGAACGAGGCTTGACAAGCGATGCGGGCTGGGGCTGTATGCTCCGTACAGGCCAAAGTCTGCTCGTCAACGCTATAGTGCATATCCACCTCGGCCGCGATTGGCGCGCCGTCAGACCGCCCACGCCGCCTACTAGCGCGGCAGAAGCAGAAGTGTTGGAGCAGTACGCAAAGTATATCCAGATCATCTCGTGGTTCTTGGACGACCCGTCCCCGCTGTGCCCATTCAGCGTGCATCGGATGGCGTTGATAGGGAAAGAGCTGGGGAAAGAGGTGGGCGAGTGGTTTGGCCCGAGTACGGCTGCTGGGGCGCTCAAGACGTTGGCAAACTCTTTCGCGCCGTGTGGAGTGTCGGTCGCGACGGCGACAGACTCTATCATCTACAAGTCGGATGTCTATGCCGCTTCCAACTTGTCTTCTGATGCTTGGGACCAGCTCAATCCTGCTTTCAGCATCGGGCGTCCTAATCAGACTGACAGGGGGAATAGATCTGGACCTGGTCAAAAGTGGGGTCACAAGGCGGTTTTGGTCCTTGTAGGAGTCAGACTGGGATTAGATGGAGTGAATCCCATCTATCATGACAGTATCAAGGTGGGTTCTCCAATGCATCACGGGCTTGTGCTGACTCTGGCCAGACGCTATTCACCTTCCCCCAGTCTGTAGGTATAGCCGGTGGTCGCCCTTCATCGTCCTACTACTTTATTGGCACCCAAGCCAACTCGCTCTTCTACCTCGACCCGCACCTCACCAGACCCGCCGTACCACTCCAAGTACCCCCTCTCCCCACCCTCCCCACAGAGGAAGAAGTCGTTGTCATCCCCTCTCCCCAACGGCAACCCCACACACACTCCCGCTCACACTCCCGCTCACCCTACCGCTCACCCTCCCGATCTCGCTCTCGCCCCCCAGGATCGCCCACCAAAGCCTCTCCCCTCCAGAACAGCCTCGACATAAGCCCAGAGGTGGCCAAGTACAAGCTCGACGTCGTCAATGTCGATGACGTGAGCGAGTCGGACAGCGAGGGCGAAGGCCAGAGGGTGAAGTCGCCCAAGAAGGAAGCGATCAGGAGAGGCTTCACGAGTCCGACTGGGACGCCGAGTAAGAATGGGGTAAAGGCGATGAATGACGATGTGGGTTCGCCGCGCAAGAGGACGCCGTCGGCGTCGCCTACGAAAGGGTCTATCAACTATTCTTATCCGCTCTCTGCGAATAGCTCCCAGCCGGCTTCTGAATCGTCCACCCCAGCTCGCGAGGTGCCTGAAATGACAGCGAGGCCCAAAGTCGACCCTCATGCCGAGTGGTATATCCAAGCATACCCTGAACACTTGATGCGGACTTATCAGTGTGAAAAGGTCAAGAAGCTGCCGATTTCGGGGCTGGATCCGAGTATGCTGTTGGGCTTTGTCGTGCGGGACGAAAAGGACTTTGAGGATTTCATTGACCGCGTCAACAAAGTGAGTGACTTTCTGATCCTACTTGCATGGACTGACGAGGATGTAGCTCCCCAAAAAGATCTTTACCATCCAGAACGAACAGCCTCAATGGGAAGAAGAAGACGATGTCGGCCTCGAATCCGTCTCTGAACCCGAGCTCGACTCGGAGGACGAATTTGACGCCCCCGGCACTGCCAAACCCCGCTTTGAAGCCGGCTCGCCAATCGACAGCGATATGATGTCTGGGCCGAATGTGCTAGCGGCGAGCGAGCTCGATATGGACAAGATTCCGGATATCCCGAGTACGACTGCGACCCCGCAGGTGGCGCGGGAAGATTATGTGGGCATGTCTGGCTCGGCGTCTGCTTCCGGATCGGGCACAGGACCTACTGCTTCAAGCTCGACGTCAGCGCCGACGACGCTGGATGAAGATAACGGCGACGGGAGTCTGCTAGATGGCTCGATGGAGACTACTGTGGGCGCTGTTGATATCGCCAAGCACCTCCAGCGGGTTGATATCGCCAACAGTGATGGGGAAGAGGAGGATGGCGAGTTGGTAGGAGGTACACCTTCAAGTGGCGGAGTCATGGTGGAACCGCCCTCTGTCCATAATACGCCCAATCGTGTGCGACCAGTGGCAGACAGGCAGGATACCGCCCGGCCCGTGTCTTCCTCGCCAGAGGAGATTCCTCGGCATGTCCGGAAGGGAGCGGAGAGTGGGCATGAAGACGAAAAAGAAGTTGACTCGAAAGCGACGAGTGGGACAGAGATGCCGCCGATGAGAAACAGGATGGAGAGCTGGGTGGAGCCTATCCGAGGCGGACAGGAAGCGCCGAACGGCGATAGTTTGTTGTAAGATGTAAAGGTGGTGACTTTTTCTTCTTTCTCCTTTTTTATTCACGACTGCATATTACGGATTGTTTATTTGGATTGTGATACAATAGCCACGTTGTTTTCAGAGACGTAACGGGATACAGAATGGACGAGAGATTAGTTCATAGGTAATGGAGGGGGTCTATACGTGTTTTGGTATATGTATCATACAGGTCCTACATGGAATGTCGAATATAAAAGCGGGATAGAGAAAGCAGACCACGTCGAGTTGAAAGGCTATACCTTTTCAGCATACTCGTCCCCCACCTCAAGCTCAACCCTCTCCTCCCACCAGCCGATCCTTCCCAGCCAAAAGCTCCTCCTGCAGACCTCTCTGACGCCCACATTCCTGGCGTGGGCACAGATTGACCAAAAGGTGTGGAAGTTGAGGAGAAGGATAGTGATGAAGGCAATGTTGTAAGTGATCGGGATGATATTTAATATCTCGTCGTCAGGCCCTTTTCTTGAAGAGTGATGGCGACTTACAAAGATCCCTGGAATAGTGAGAAGTGAGGAAGGAGATGACTGTGCTCGCTTCTGCCTTGTACACTGCCATACAGATCAGCGCGGCTCTGGAAGCACGAAAAGAACACGTACCCAGCCAAGCACCTCCGGTAATGGCCCCATAGATTACCTCCACCGCGGTCAACATGAACACCATATCATCCTCCCTTGCCTTTATGGCCCCCGCTTGCGGCAGAAGGGGGGGAGGCGGGGATCGAGTCGTGTTGAGGTCGCACCCTTCGAGCAGGGCAAATGTGAACCAAAGGAGAGTGAGGAAGATCAGGGCGGAGAGATTGCAGAGGGCTCTGTGGTACGCCTCCCGGGAAGAATGATGAGCATCGTGCTGGTGGATATGATCATGGCTGTGGCGGTCGTGGTGTTCGTGGTGCTCGTGGTCATGATGTCCGTATGCTACATGTCGTCAGCGCGTTGTCTACGGGCCTGCTTTTAGGAAGTGCTCACGAGCAAGGGCGGCGGTGGTGAGGAGGACGTGGCCGAGAATGAGGAGGGAGGAGATGGTGGTGGCCTTGAGGGCGAAGCGGATGGAGTGGAAGGTGTTGGACATTATTCTTTGGCGGATGAAAGGGAGAAGGGAGGCCATGTTTGTGGTCTTTTATATGCAAACACTGCATGCACTCAGCACACAGACCCCCTTCGACAGCTCATCCGTCGATTCTCCGGCTGGCCGCTGTTTCATGGCAGCACAGCTTGTCCCAAGAGACGGCTGGCGTGAAGCAAAATAGGCAGAGAGGGTATCTCGTCAAGTCGCTATAGGTAGCGGTGGTGATGGACACAGGAGAGAGAGACGAAACGCAGAATTCACGAGTTGTTCGGGGATCCGATCAATTTTTTTTCCCCTTATGTATCCGTACAAATATGCGTGGGATGTTGAGCTGGATGGGCAAGTGGCCACCGCACGGGGTATATATACCATGCTGTTCTTGTGCAGCTGAAGCATTTAAGGGTCATCCGGTTATCCCGCAAAAGATATCTGCCATGGATCGAAGCAGTCCAGCAATGCAATCTTATCGCGTATCAGCGAGCAGATCCAACATAAGATCTGGATCTCCATCCCGTGTTTTTTTTTTTTTCTTTTTACATAGTACAAGCAGACCTGATAGTGTGGGAAGTGACTGTGATTATGCATACAATAGACAGATATACTATTCCAAAACACAATGCATGGGTGAATGGGTGAATGGGTGAATGGGTGAATGGGGTGTTTCTTGATGATGCGAATGGGGAGTATTGTAATCTCGACTATATACAGTATTGGGTGATTATGTGGTCTATATGATATACAATACAGCATGAGCGAGGAGGTGATGAAAGTATGCGGTACAAAGATATGTCACAAGCTGGATCAGGCCATTCTAAAAGTCGGCTTCGGTGTTGAACACTCTTCTCGAGACTGATTCTCCACCCTTGCCCTTCTGTCCTGAAGGTGTAGCAGATCGTGAGACGTTGGCTTTCTGGTATGCCGATACGCGAGACTCGAAAAAGTCTGTCGAGCCGAGTCAGCTCGGAAGGCCGGTCAACATGACAGGGACGTACTGGCTTTGCCTTGCAACGATATCAGCTCCATCCAGTCGAACGGATTGGTAGCATTATAGATCTTGGGGTACCCCAAATCAACCACCAGCCTGTCGGCGACAAACTCCATGTACTGGCACATCAAACCCGAGTTGATACCTATGAGGGCGCAGGGAAGAGCGTCGGTAAGGAACTCTTTCTCGATGGCGAGTGCTTCTTGGACGATACGGTGCACTTCGTCTTGACTGCAGCGGTGGGTGAGGTGGTTGTAGAGCAGACACGCAAAGTCCTACATGTCATCAGTTATATCCTAGCAGTGGTAACTCGGTATACTCACTGTATGCATACCCTCATCCCGACTGATCAACTCGTTCGAGAACGTCAACCCTGGCATCAGCCCCCGCTTCTTGAGCCAAAAGATGGCAGCAAAGGAACCAGAGAAGAAGATGCCTTCGACGCAGGCAAAGGCGACGAGCCGCGTCCGGAATGGCTGAAAAGTTGACGTCAACCACCGTCAACTCGCCACCGAAAATGACCATCGACATACCAGCTCTTCTGTGATATATCTCAGAGCCCAGTCCGCCTTCCTTTTTATGCAGGGGACTTGTAACGGATGTTAGCATGGACCTTGGACCGAACGCAAGAGCGCTTACTGTTCTCCATGCCCCTGAATAAAAAGTCCTTCTCCTCCGCGTCCCGCACATACGTCTCGATAAGCAGACTATACGTCTCTGAATGCACCTGCTCAATCATCGCTTGGAAAGCATAGAATGCCCTCGCTTCAGCAATCTGCACGTCCATGGCAAACTGTGAAATGATGTTTTCTGGCAAGCAAGAGTCAGTCCTGACGAGCTGCTGAAGCCGCGCGATCGAAGCGCTACTTACCTGAGACAATCCCATCAGAGGCAGCAAAGAAGGCCAGTATCCGGAGGATGAAGAACCTCTCATTCTCTGTCATCTTGCCGTGCCAGTCGTGGAGGTCATGTCCCAGGTCGAGCTCTTCGGCTGTCCAGAAGCTAGCTTGCGCTGATTTGTAGGCGTGCCATATCTATGCACCGTCAACTCCAATCTGTAAATACAGAGGGGGGGCTCACTTCAGTGTACCTTATGGGGAACAGGACAAATCGAGAGTTGGACTCTTTCAGTATCTCTTCCTCTTCCTCTTCCGGGAACCTCCTCGCCACTTCAACCTCTTTCACCCTCTCAACCTGCTTCTTCTTCTCCGCCGTCTTTTCTCTTGGCGATGGCCGCATAGGCTCAGCAATTGCCAAGTTACAATAGGCCTCTACGACTCCCTGGTCATCATCCGCCTCATCCGAAACCGCTCCACAGCCATAGTCGTAGATTGGCCGGATAGCGTTGATGTGCGACATGTGCTCGTCGGTGTTGCTGCTGGAGCCGGCTGAGCACCTAGAAGACGAGGAGGAGGAGGCGGAAGAGTGGCGGCTGTAGGGCCTGCCTGAATATATATCTTCTGGGGGCATGATGAATGATCTGGTGAAAGAGAGATGACAACACCACGATAATAATCGATGACAGGAATTTCCAAGGCACCGTCCAGAATTTCCGAGCGCGGCGATCTACCGCTTCTTCGGTCATCGCCGTTGTAATTAATCACTCAGGCGTTAATCTCGACGCGACGCGCTCGCTCAGGCTGGTCTTGCCTCGAATGCGTACTTGGACAATAATGTACATGTCGCTCACTCCTACTATGCAGTTCCTCTTTTCAGCTCCATTCTCAGCTTTTAATATCCATACGGCATTCCCACGTTCATTCCGTATCCCCCCATACCAGCCCCCATGCCACCCATCATCCCTCCCGGCATCGCTCCCATACCTGAGGGCCGTTATCAGCAAGGTTCAAAATAAGAAAAACAGTGCACTTACCCATGCCATAGTCTCCGAACATACTAAAGGAAGATCGGTCAGCCAGATCATAGGGACCTCACGATGAAGCGACTCACCCGCCAGCGGGATACCTTGGCATCTGCGGTAATCACGTATACCAAGGCGTGTGATACATCAGCTGCTGGACCCAAGGCGCGTACATTGTACTGTCATAAGGAAAGCCACAAACCCCGTAAGCACCAGATCCGAGGCCGCCGCCCATCATTCCCTGGAGAAGAGTGTCAGCGTGGTGACTCGATGCCGGCAGCAGGGTAAGGAAGATCAAGGTGAAGTAAGGGGATTGTGATAAGAAGAGTAGTAACGCGCTTTGACACGACTGATGTGCTGAAAGAAAGCGAGGGCGAGCGAAAAGCACTCACATAACCACCCATTCCCATCATACCACCCATACCCATCCCGCCCATTCCCATTCCCATGGGTCCGCCCATCATCTAAATATAGAGTCAGCTCTTTGTCAGGCATTACCTGAAACCACCGCGAAAGAAATTTGGCAACAATTCACACCATGGGGTTCATCATCCCCCCCATCCCGTAACCCATACCACCCATACCGCCCATGCCACCCTAAGCGCAAATCAGCATCTATCCATTGTACCCCTCGCCCCCCCCATGGACGCACCATCATCATCGGGTTGTACATCTGGCAGCAACGCACATGTCACCAGTGACGATCCCAGCCAAGTTCACAACCGACTTACCGACATCATGGGATTCATACCCATCATAGGGTTCATGCCCATCCCACCTTGCCCCTGCAAGTCGTAAATATCGTGCGGTTTGTGAGCAGACATGTAGGCGAGGGAGGAGTTTGCAGGTGTAGGAAAGGAGAGGTTGTTGTAGCCAAGAGAGGCATTGGCCGGGTGAGACATCGATTCGCGAGCAATATCAGCGCCTGTTCTGGGACGAGAGTAGGGTACGGTGGACATGGTGCTGGGTGTGAACAAGACGGGTGGTCAAAGTGTGACGAAAGGAGGGAGAACAATGACAAAAGTGGCCAGACAATCACTTGGACGCGCGCTGCCCATGTCTTCTCGAGCACGGACAGTTCGGACCACCGTGACCAATCACAGGGGATGGATTCGCCACCCAGCACCTCAGCAACAGCCTACTGGGGAAGGACACGCACCATCATCATCATGTTACTCATGGGGTCCATGCTGGCTCGAGTCTCTCTTGTTTCTTGTTGCTTGGGGCGAGTCTAGCGTCTACTTTTCTTGGTGTACCGGAATCGTAGGTGCGGAGTGTAGGCGTTTGCCAAGCGTGATCTTGTAAGGAAGCGGAGGGAAGGGGCTGCAGGTGAAAGAAGAAGAAGTCGAAAGTGCGAGTTCCGAGGCGTACAGTGATTATACGGTCTCGGTGGTTCAGAGCTCTCAGGTGATCTGTGTTGTTGGCTGCAGAGGTGCGTTGTTGTGTTTATTCTTTGGTGACCAGCCGTCGCGCTGAGCTGTGTAGTGCTGTGTGCAGGCCTCTTTACGATGGAAGAGAGGTGTAAGACTGGGCTGACAGAAGGATCAGAGTATACGCCACCCGCTTCCCCGGCACCTTCGGACTATGTACATCCTTGCATGACACTCGAGGGAAGAAAGGAGCGCTGTATAAGGAAATCCATTCTTCTGCTTCAACAGGCGCTTTCTTCTCGCTTTGGTGCTGGCTTCACTGCTCGGGTTCGGACTTGGGGGACTTGACCGTCTTTCCTTTCAATCAACAGCCCATCATCGTTATACGTACGCGGGTCCTTTGGGAAGAGCACCGTCTATGCAGGATCAAAGCCGCATAGGGAAACCCCTGCAACATGAAACAGGGTACTGCGGTAGCGCTATACGCTATATGCTGGAGGGCGCATGATGACGAGAGGCCGGGCAGAGGGGCTTTAAACGCCACAGATGCAGTGCATATTCATACATGCTGTTCATTGGGATTCATGATCACCGTACTCTCTGATCTAGGAGAGTCTAGAAAACCAGAGATATGTTACAGGATTTATACTTTGTTGTAAATACTTGAAAAGATGAAAATGCCTACACTACGTGAATTTGCGTGTGAAAAATGCTGATTACTATTGTGTATGGAAATGCTTTTAAAATCATGGGGGACAGACAGATGGAAATCGTAGTTATAGTATTACAAACAACGAAATGGTAAACTTTGTAAGGCCGAAATGAATGAGATACCGACCCTCTACTGGTAGCGAGGAATCGGGCTGGACCACTGGCTTCGGGAAGTCATGGGTGGGTACCCGGCAGGATGCCCTTGATGATAGTACACCATCCCATCCGAGGCCCTTGCCCACCCTGCCGCCATGCCCCCACCACCCCCGTTCCACGCGTCAGAACCTGGTGCGTATGGGTTGTACGCATAGCCAGGCGGGCCTGCGTTTGCGAACTGCGCGGGTTCGGGTTGAGGGGGCATGTCCATGGGCGAGGACCAGTGAGATGTGGCGTAAGGATTGGGGGTGTAGCTTTGGGTGTGGGCGGGGAATGGGTACATGGGCGAAACGCTGCCTGCCATGGAGACATCAGAAGGGGGTGGAGGGGCTTGGTAGCCGTGATAAGACTGCGGATAACCGTAGTGGTGCTGGGGAGTGGGCGCTTGGTAGCGGAGGATGGCTTTGCGAGGTTGGCCATCAACGCCGGGGCGAGCTTCAGCGGCCAGAGAGTAGAACATAAGATGCTGCCATAATGTCAGTTGAATTCTGCATACGCTGACGCGACTTACCTCTTGAGGCACAAGCTGAGGCTGAGGCAAGTTTTCATCGTAAGGCGCAAGCAAAGCTCGTCCACCGTCCCAGTCATGCTGCATGCTAGCAGGCACCGGCTGGCCGTAGCAGGACGGCTGTTGATACTGCATCGGCTCGCTCGGAGTAGGATACACATGCCCAGCAGAGCCTCGACGGGCATAATGCGAAGGCAGGCGTGCGAGCTGGCGGTTCCAAGAAGCAGACCTGGCGAGTGACGAACTCGAGTTTTCCCTGGACAATACTGGGCGCGATCTCGAAACCACCGGAGCCTGAGAGTTGTTGCTGGGTCCGCGCAGCATACGATGCCCACTCGAAGGAGGTGGGACGGTATCGACCTGGAAGGCGTCTGCAGCTGACCTCTTCCTGCCGCTAGGCTCGTACGGCTGAGGCAGCCTGATGGGCGAGGCAGAGCGTGCGCGGGAAGAGAAGGATGGCGTGGAGATGGTGTGAGCGCCGAAAGGCGAGGCTTGTCGTCGACTGAGAGACATGGAACCCCCAGGACCTCGAGACTTCATGAACTCGTCCAAGAGCATCTTCCAGCGCTCATACTCGTCCAGCTCAACTCCCAGCTCATACCCAAGACCAGCGAGGAATTCGGTCTCCATTTGCTAGCAACATATTAGCAGCGTAAGAGTTGGATGACGATGTGCTCACATTGATTTCGGAGAGGGTGATGCCGGCAAGCTCGGACCAGGTAGCATTGGTGTACGTGTTGTCATCCAAGTACTTGTTTGCCAGCATCAAGGCCGCCACAAACGGTCGGTGCTCACTTCCAGGCGTCGAGAAAAACGTGTTTCTTGTCTTCAGTCGGTAAACATACAGCAAGGACACGAGCGTCACGCTGTGCGACACCATAGTGACTTGGAGTAACCTCGCAGCGAATTTGTGAAACTCGGGAGAAGGTTGGACCATGAGCTGGGATATACGTTGGGGCTGGATGTTTGGGTCGAATGGATCGATAGGGATGGAGCTTGGGGTGGAGGGCGACATGGGGGAAGGCGGTTGAGTTTGAAACTGGCCGTACCAGAGCCATACGACCATTTGAGCTAGGTTCGCATAAGCATCGCCCGTGCACGTCTCGCACTACTCACCAGCATAAGTCGCCAAGGGTGTTTGAATACCAGGCAGCGCCGCCAGAGACCCACTTCTGGCCATGTTCATGTCCATAATCTTGCTCTTCTTTCTCGGTCTTCCGATTTCAGGCGAGACGGAAAGAGCGGGCAGGGACTGTTTGAGAGGAGAGCCTGCGCGGCGGGATGTACGTGGTGATAAAGGCCGCTTGGCAGGGAAATGATACTGGTCGAGTGTGGATGACGGAAGGTATGGTAGGAAATTGTGCGAGCTCGGCAAAGGAAGGCTCGGGTGCGACCCTTCCGCCATGAGCGGGTCGAGGTGGTCGGGTTCGATGCCTGAGGAGCGACGGATGACAGACACGAGGTCGTTCTGGAGTGAAGGAGGAGTGGTGAGGGTGGGGAATGTGGCGGATGAGGTGGCGGAGGGTAGACAGTCGGTGGACATGGGCGCGGGTGGGGGCTGGCGGAACGGGCGGGCTGAGGGCGGGATGGACGTGAGCGGGTGGCGGAAAGATGGAGAGGCAGAGGAGAAATGGAAGGCGGGGGGGAGGGGGGGTGTGGTATATATACTGTGCGGTTGAGTCAACCGGCGGAAATGTGAGATAGAAAAGATGCGCACGCAGAAGACGACTCTAATGTGCACGGGGCTGGACGCTCCTTCCTGTTGATTGATCGCTGCATCATCAGCACGCTGCTCCGCGGATCGGCCACAGACTCACGATGCACTCGAACCCGAAACTCGATTGTCTGCACCGGCTGTCCCCTGAATACAACCCTTTCAACGTAGCAAGGCCAACGAGGGGACTGCGTCCGTGTTGGTGCTGTACAGCGTTGTGTACCTCCACTCTGTCCACGCGTTTCCAGTGCTGGCGTTCTCCTGACAACAATCAATTATCCGCCGGATTGCTGTCGTCCTTGTCAATGATCTTGCGGCACCAGGACAGCGTTCCAAATTGACTGGCGTCGTGGCCCTTTATGGATGTGGGTCGCACGGGACTGCGTAGCGGAATGTTACACAAGCGCCCGGGGTCAGGGGTGAAGGATGATGGGGCGGGAAGCGAGGGAGCTGGCAGGCGATGGGAAACAAGGGATGTCGAAAGGCGGTAGCGATGTTTGGCGTAGGAAAGAGTCAAGGGAGGGGACAATCTCGGCCAACGTGGGGAATGTCGGTGTAGTGCGAGTCTTTAAAGGACTGTTATGAGGACGGAAGGAACAAGATCAGCTCTCGATATCATGTAACGGATTTGACAACAGAGTGACTCGTGTAATATAGCACACGGGGGCAATGCTCCTTCGATGGGTATCCGAGGAAGGAGAGCAATAGGGGTTCAGGCGGAAACTTACTACTCTTTGTCCTTTCTCGCCTTGGTTGCCTAGACTATGCGTATGCTGCTATCCTGAAAGATTGGACGTTACTTTGGTCCTGATAAGCACAGGCCTCTGCTCTGCACTTGATGGTCCTCTGCGATTCCGCCTGGCGGGTGACAATGCGGCGTGTTACCGTCAAGTGGCAACGGAATTTCTATTGTTCTCCTAGGCTGGGAGTCGCGTGGGGCAGGCCTTCTGTAATAAGCGCAGTTGAAATTAGCCTATGATCTCGGCAATCGGTGTAGTGCATGCAGAGGAACACCGCGAGAACTCCACTGCCCAGGGAGGGGCCCTGGGTAGGGCAGAGCGAGCCATCCCCGAACAACCAACACTTGAGGAATGACGCTCGCGCGCCTCACGCCCTGATGAAGGAAACGATACGCACATGCGGAAGGGGGCTGAAGATGGAGAGGCGCCTTTGCTAGCCTTGCTATAGCCCACTGAGAAGAATTTGTTCCGAAAAGGTCGTAGGGATCGTCGGGCGCTGGCTGACGTGTGGGCGAGTCACCTCTTCTCCCTGTGTAGTGCGGGAATCGCGGATTGCCAACTCGGCCAGGCTTTGGAAGGGTCAAGGGTGGGTGGACCTCAAGTGGGGGGAGGGGTGGGAGATTGTCGAACAACAAGAAAAGATGCGTTGCAAGAGTCATAAACGGTCGATGCAAACCCGCATCGCTTTTGGGTCTAGCTCACATCCACCATGGTGCACCCGTACACTTCGTGAACAAACTTCAAAAAAAAAGTTGTGGATGGTGTTAGTCACGTCAAGGGTCTTTATCTTTGGGCGGTCCGAAATGAAATAACCAGGAACAAGGGACCAATAAAATGCTTACCGTGTTTCCAGTCAGCCTTTCCAGGGTACGGCAATGACCGCCGGGGCGGCGACTGCTCTGGGAGGGGCTGAGCTTGCTTGGGCGTAACGCTCTATCCCCGGCATGCGCAAATCCATCTCCTGTAATACTTTCCCCCGCGCGGCAAGGGTATGCGTGGCTTGCATGGCATTGTTGGCACTGAATGCACTCGTTCCGAAGACGCAAGGTTCGAGATCTATGAGGGACGAAGGATAAAAAACGGGAGGCTGTCTGCGGTCTGCGGCATGACGCCGACTTCCAACTTCTATGTGCCAGTTTTTGAGCATGTCGTAAGGCTGTGTTTGTGAAGTAGTCGAGAATCTGCAACGCCAACCTTACCGCTTACAAGGCGCGAGCTAGGCGTATGCGCCACAGATCTTAGATCACAACATGTCATCGGTCGGGGACGCCGAGAGTCGACAGTTACATACGCGGAACCAGGGCAAACCTTGAGGTTTCTTAACACCCGCCAACCGGCCTCATCGACCACATCATCGGCCAGCACTTTATATGCATATCGAGCCGGTTTACTGTTCGCACGACACAGACGTTCGATGCAACTTGTGTCCACCATCGAGGGTCATGGCGAGTGTCTTCGACGCTTAAGAGATGACTCTGCAACATCACGTACAAATGTACTTGTACAGTTTAAGCCTGCATCGTGCATCGTGGCAAGTGTTCAAGAGTTGAGCAGCGGGCGCAGCGGCAGACAGACCGGTCCATTCAGACCAAGATTGTTCACGTGATGATGCTCGCGGGACTTCCAAATCGGTGTATCGCCCTATGCATGGCATTAGAATTTGCGAATGAAGTATAGTGCCCCTCTTTCATGCTCTTGACTTGACGCCACTCAAAGGTACTCCCACAGTTGCGCACCCAGAGTCATCGTCATTCAACTCAACGTAACAAGAGGCGTCGCCAGTCACCACCCGTGCTGCAGCGCGTTGGCTTATCATCATCGTGGCCATCCTGGATCATTCTTTTTGTTCACGGCATTCGAGATGTCATGTATAGTGTGACTCCGTCCACTCCCCAGCGTAGTCTACCCCCTTCTTCACTACTCTACCACCCCTGCGACTTTCTACAGATATATACGCCTTCCGCAAGGCTGCATAGACGTCGACCCCTTTGAAGATATTCCTGCCTTCTCCGCTGTGTTGGTGGACATGATGCTGTAGAACGGCACGCGCAGGCGCAGACGCAGCCTTCCCAAAAATGTCGTTGTCCTTCCCGTGCGTTCTTCAGACTTATCACCAGATTCACTCCTATAGGCTGGCCAGAGAGAGGTGGGGCAAACAAGTAAGCGGCCCATGTACTGTACTAATTAAGCGGTAGGAGAAAGAATAACTAATAACAATTCTCGGGACCAGTTCGCGATGTGCGGGTGGCCGAGCTGCTTTTGACTGCTTCGCGGGTCGAACGAAAGCATGATGCACATGTGCGGCTGAGCCTGAGCCTGCCTGCCGCGCCTTGTACTTCGACTCCTCAATTGCAGGCTAACTACGCAAGCCATGCACTTGTGTACAAGCCAGGCGGCGGCTGATTCGTAGTACTCAGCTTGACTTCTGGGTTCACGCTTTTGCCCATGCATGATGTCTGGCTTGGCTACCTTGGCCGAGGTACTGCTGTGGGCATGACGGGACCCTTGATACTCTAAAGACTGGCATCATTGCAGAACGGAACCGAGCTGTTCCCAATTCCCTGTTGTAGGTGATAGGCACAGCAAACAAGCCAAAAACCCATCAAAAAAAAGCTTGAAGGGAAGAGGAAGTAAAGGGGAAAGGGAACCAAGGGGGCGAGCGGAAGTGGAGGCATGAGGAGAGATCTCACAGGATCCCTGAGATTTTCATCTATCCGCCGCGGTTTTGGTGTCGATTGTTCTCTTGTTTCGGCTGGGACGCGATCCACAGGAACGGCCCCTTCTTCTCTAGCTTCCCATGATGGGTCAAAGATTCATGGCCCTTGCCCTTGCCGCCCCCTGTCCCCCGCGATGTACGCATGGCCCTGCTCGGCCTGCTCCATGCTCCTCGGGGTCTCGGTAGCGCGCAGCGGCAACCTGTCTTTGACGACACTTTAGTTTGACTGATGAACATTTGATGAAACCATCTTGATCGCTTCACCCTCTCCCTCGTAGATACTTTTGCAATACATACGCGGAGGCAAGAAAGGGCCAGGGCGTGACCGATGCATGTGGTGCTGCCAGTAGTTGCAGGTCGGTCGACGGGCACAGGGATCACAGGTCACAGATCACAGTTGCCGTGGGCTGTAGCACACTGTGGCTATACTTTTTTGGGTCAACCGACCCCGCCCGTATTCACCGTTCCGCCGCCCATATACAGGACTACAAATGCGCACACACGCGCCCTCGTGTATCTGCCTATACTTCCGCTTAGCATGCACAGGATACAAAAGTCAGGGCTGACTGGGGATCTCAATGAGAGACGGGATGAGAACAGGCGGCGCTCAACGGTCGCTCCTCGCATCCCACCACGGTTTGAACGTATGATCTCTCCTTGAGTACAGTATTGTAGTACGTAGCTTCTGCTGAGGACTCTGGCTTTTCTAGTCGCAGGCGTTGAGCTAAAAGTTAATAAGTTGCAAGTGTTATGAGTGGAGGAGGGAGCATATCGGCTTTGTAGCGTTTGGCGGGCGCCTAATAAGACCTGTGGTGACTAACCTTCGATTATTTGTGTACTGTATCTTCATATGTACTTCTGAATGCGTACATGCGTAAACCGAAAAGGCGGGGGCGGAGAAAGGCCGTCTTGCTATGGCAAGGTGATGAATGTGGGTAGTGCGGCCATTCCCATCACACTAGATAAAATCCAGACCCTATGGGGCCTAAAAGTCTGTATGAGCGCAGGCCGCGGAGGCTGCAGCAAGGCGGGCAAGGCATGAGCAGTGTACGGGGAGACTAGATGAAGGATGACGCATGAATCATTCGTTACATGTTGTGGTTTTCTTACATACTACTGAGACCGCAGACAGGCTGAAGAAGTGAGGCCGAGCTCGCGTGGACAGACATAATCAGTCAGGAATGCGGACGACACTTTGATGAGGGCTAGCTGTCTGGACTAGTCTGGACTATGGGCCCAGTGCCCAGTGCTGACAGTCGAGCACTCAATCGTTGAGGTCGCCTCAGGGTATGGGTCTAGCCAGGAATTGAATCACACGGGCCCGCTCAGCTGAGCCATCGCTCTTCGTTGTTCATCCTGGACACACAGAGCTGCACAGACACCTCGGCGTTATCACCGCGTCTCCGATACCCTTGCTTGACCATGACAGCAAGATTTCCAATGGACAAGACGTTGTGCATGTGGAAGCCACTCTCCACAGCAGAAGTTGGGGGCCGAAAGCCGCCAGCAGCGAAAGGTGAATGATAGCTGTGGATTGTATTTGAGGTGGTAATGCCGGTGAGCGCGGTGAGAACGTCTGTATGGTGACGCCAAGAATCCGGGTTGACCGCGCGATGATGGCTGTGAGAGAGGTTCAGAAGGGCGCGATGGGGATGCTTATAGAGCATTAGAGTGACGAGAAGACAAACATTACAGAAGAGACGCGAAAAGAAGCCACATTTGAAAGTTCCGCCATTCGCCGGCTTATGTAACGTCGCAGACAATGCCCATTTTGAACAAGTTCAACGAGCAAGGTGTGAGCAAGCTACAAATAGTAAAACCCATCCCCTACGACAAAATGGCCGACACAAAGCAGTGCGTACAGGTCCCTGCTGTTCACAGGCCGCTCTATGAGAAAAAAATCTGACACGATTTGGCCGCTGTAGACCCGACTGGGCCGCCGAAGACTTGGATGGCAAGTATCCTCTTTGAAATAGACTTCTCAGCTAACATCTCTCTAGCCGATGAGCTCCCCCCCACCACCGAAACCGTTGACGCCGACGGTATCACCACTATCATCAGCTGGAAACTCAATGAGGACGACAAGAAGGTCAAGGTGACCAGGAGAGTCAGAAGACGGTTGCAAGTCTCGACCGTGTCGGAGACGGTCGCGCAGAGGAAGCAGTTGCCCAAGTGTGTTGGATCAGAGCTCTGCAAGAGTACATGATACTGAGACGCTGTGCAGGTTTGGTCTCGAAAAGGGAAAGCCCTCCGGTCCCGACAGGAAGACGACAATCATTGGCGAGAACCTCCATTTCAAGATTGCCCCCATCGGCAAGGTACGTCTCCCATATACCTGCTTGCGTATAATTCTAAACCCACGCAGATCCAGGCCCAGGCCGAGCCTGAGCCCGAAACCACCAAGGCGCCTACCGGAAAGGTAGTCGTGTGTCGACTTTGTAGCGGTCAGCATTACACCGCCCGTTGTCCGTTCAGGGAAGAACTTGCTGCTATCGACAGCCTCAACGCTCAGGATGGAGAGGAGGCGGAGCCCGAGCCCAGTGGTGCTTTGGCTGCCAGGGGTGCGGGTCTTACTGGCAGCAAATACGTGCCCCCGTACGCTTTTTCCCGTCAATTCTGTATCTTTACTGAGCACCCTTGTCAGATCCCAGCGAGTTGGCGCTACTGGTACCGGCGAAACCATGTTCCGATCTCGAGACGACCTTCCCACCCTCCGTATCACCTCTCTTTCACAGGAAGCCTCCGAAGACGACGTCAGGGCTCTTTTCCAGCGCTTTGGTACCTTGGGGCGTGTCAACATCGTCAGGGATCGTATCACCAAGGAGAGCAAGGGTTTGGCGTTTGTCAGCTTCGAGAGCAAGAAGGATGCGGAGACTGCCATGGCCAAGATGAACGGTTACGGTGAGTCCAGGATGTCGGCCCCCGATAGAACACGAGCTCATGACATGCTTAGGTTACGACTCTTTGATTCTCGAGGTTGCTTGGTCACAACCTCGTGGGGAGAGGCCTTAGGAGTGATGTGTAACAGTAGTTTTGGTGTAAATGATCAAAAGTATAGAGCATTTGCCGCCTTGTACATGCACCCATCTTCCATAGTCATCAGCCCCATGCGGCGCCCATGACCCGGCTGGCTGAATCGTGTCGCACTTCGTTTGATCTATACCACCTATCAACTCCGTTCATTTGCACTGTGTTCTGCACGAATGGCTCTTCCGTGAAGACTGTATCTTTGTTGTTGTTGTTGCAATTGATGAGTAACAGAAGATGATCAGCCAGTTACGTAAACCTTCAAATCGTCATTCGCGGCGACGACGACGGAAGAAGAAGCCCGCCGACTTTTACCTTCGTCTCTGTCTGGTCGTTGTTCTCGCCATCTTCATATCCCCTCTTCGTCGAGTGAAGTGACTACGTACAGCTGCTAGTTCGCAAAATGTTCAAAAAGTACGCCTGCAAGCTTGTCACAAGTTGAGAGCAAGCTGATAACCTGTCTTGTAGGTTCAACCCCAAGGAGGACGTGTCGAGTTCGACATCTCTCAAATCATCTGTCCAAAGGAATATCAGGTCTCAAGCCCTGGCTCAAATACCATTCCTCTCGCTTCCCGTTTACAAGGATGCGTCTACAGCTGCTGCCGCTGAAGCATCGGCCGAAGGTGAAGCGGCGCCCCTTGAGGAAGAGAAGAAGGAGGAGACTTCAGGAGGTGGGAAAGGGAAAGGTGGAAAGAAGGGCGGTAAGGGAAAGGGTGGCAAAGGAAAGGGAAAAGACAAGGAGGAGAAGGAGGAAAAGGAGGAGGAGGACGCCGGTGCCGAGACGGTCCTCGAAGAGTTCTGGCCAAAGAAGGATGCTTTGGGATTGACCAAGTGGTATGTCCGGCAAGAGCCTTGGCTACACAGCATTCTGACTGGGAGTGTAGTCACGACCGGATATCGATCTACACTATCCAATCTGTCCCTATCTTCTTCCAGCACTTTGATGGTCCTCTGGTTCCGACCTTGAAGCTCTTACATCGATGTGAGTACTGAATATCAGCCAATGATGCTTCGCTGACAGCCCTATAGACCCCGAGATGCTTCCTCGTGTCCAGATCGACCGGGGTGCCATCAAGTTCCTTCTTGCCGTACGTTCATGTGTACCAACGTCGAATTTCTGCTTATCTGCGTTGATAGGGCGCCAACATGATGGCCCCCGGTCTTTTGTCGGCTGGCGGTCAGCTTCCTAACGGACTCGAGAAGGATACTATCGTAGCTATCTTTGCCGAGGGCAAGCAGCATGCGTGTGGAATCGGAAAGCTCGTCGCTTCCAGTGACGAGATCAAGAAGGTGGGGAAGAATGTCGCCGTGGAGACTATTTGTTGGATTGGGTGAGTGATTATGTTGCGAACGTGGATGGGTACTGATAATCTACAGAGACGATCTTTGGAAAGTGGACACCATTGGCCTTTGAGAACCTGTACACTAGGTAATGACATAGCATGTACACATCGACAATCATAAACTCGACCTCTCGACCTTGTAGGCCTTTGAAAGTCGATCAAAGACATACGCTCCTGCTGTAACCACTGGATATCTCGCCGGCCTTTCCACAGTTACACACGTATCAGGAGGGAGGAGAGGCACGTCGTGATCGCATCCAAAGAAGAATGGGATGGAATATCGGTCTTTGGCCAAAGCTGGAAGGACGCGGTGCCTTGTGGACACAAAGATGTCGTCTGCCTGGCATCAGCCGAAAACGACTGCGACGTGTGGAATGCTCACTCGTCCATCGTGCAAATTGGTCACCGATATTGACCACAAAGGTTTCAGGGATATACGGCGCATCGATCCCTGCATCTGGTCAGCAAGTTCTCTGAACGGCGAAGGTCTACAACTACATTCGCCTCGTCGATTCTGGACTTGAAGGGCAGACGGCACGTCGCAGAAACTCTGGCGGAGGATAGTGAAACACTCGAAATCGGTGTGGCTCTATACCGAGCGTCAGCTCATCTGCGATTTTCGTGAAGTCCACCTTCGACTCGACCTACACCAATTCCCGGCATCAATTCGTCGGCTTCTTTCTCTCCCAGTGCATGGTAGAAGAGGAGTCTCATGATTGCGGCCGGGTGCTTGGTCTAATCTTTCGTCAGTCTAGCTATGATTGACAATCAGTCAAAGCACCTGCCTTGTCGGTAAAGAAATCCTCCGGCAAGCCTAAGGCGAGAGCGAACAGAGGGAAAAGCGATTGACCAAGCTGGAGGATCGCTTGGCTATCGGGCACGTCTGCTATAGTACTGACTATGTCCCTATGAACTCACTAATACGCCAAACTGGCAGCTTTCTGCCATTGGCAGGGCCGATAAGTACGAGTACTGATTTGATGAAAGATGTATGTCTTACGAATTCACCAGCACCATCCCAGATTTCCTCACTCGGCCACAGGTTTTCTGAATGTTTCAATTCACCCTCCTTGACTATTTGATCAAAGGAAGAGGGGTCGAGAGAAGGGTCGAGTCCCAGGTTGAATGCTTCGTGCATGTCTCCTTTGGTCGAGCTAAGTCATACGCTCAGCTGTCTCGGACTCTTCCTTCTCGGCGTTTTGACACTGACGGATCATTGTTGGACACAAGTAGGCCCATATACCCACGAAAGTTTTCAGACTTGGTAATGTCGACCTATAGAATATGGGTCTGACATGAATCACGTCGCGAAACTCTTTCACTCACAGACTTTTTGATCTCCGCAGGGGCGTCAAAGAACATCTTGGACTGGCTGAACGTTGCATCGACAACGTCCTCAGATACACCGTGGTTCTTGACTGACCTTGAGGTGTCAAAGATTATACCAACAACCATTCTCTCTTTCAACTCACTGTAAAAGAATCCGGCGTTGAGACAAGCTTCGCGGATGCTCATTGCAACGACTCTTCTCTTCTCTTCATCAGCAGACCTGGCGTCCGTGAGGTCTCTGGTTTCATATGTCAATAAAACGACGGTAGAACGTTCCCAGGAATTGAGGGAGCTGGTAAGAAGGTACAGACATGATGGGAATAGATTTGAAGTCGGCATTTGATAGGGTCTCGGACAGCTTTGCCAAGGCTGACATCGTGTCCCGTTTGTCTGTTCTGATGATGAGTGAGGTTCCAAGGACAAGTCGAGGCTCATGAGAAAGCCAGAATGGTTGCTTTGGGTCCTCGACTGATAAGGATTCCGCTTATCTCGGCGGCTACTCGCGGCTATCGGATCAGCACATGTGGGGCAGTATCTTGCTTCATCAGCTTGTGACAATACAATGTCACACCTTTGTACTATCAGATGCTAAGTCCATTGGACGCTCCGGAAGCAAGCCTTTAGCTACCAGCCTTGACCGCAAGAGAAATGGTTCCAGCCACGTCAAACAAGCCTATGAGGCACTTGTGATACATTCTCTTTCCAATTCTGATCTCGATAACCGCATACGATCTCAAAGCCAGGTCATGTCCGTCACCAAGTCAATGGTCTCATCCTTCCCCGCCAGCTTCCAATCGGTCCCATCTTGTCCCGTACTCCAAATCTCCAACCCACCACCGACCCTGCCCGCTACAACAACGTATTTACCGTCGGGGCTCACCCTCATCCCTCTGAGATTGTTACATCCCGTCCTGACCCACTTCACCTCTCCAAGCTCATCTCCGGCGGCGTTGAGCTTGACGATAGCCACAGCATCACCCTGCTCGCCCGTAGCAAACTCGGAAGGAAGAGTGAGCTCAAGGCGATTGGACGCGTACACGACGCCGGGATGGGCGGGGTTGAAGAAGAGTTGAGCCGCGTTCATGTGGGCTTGAGCGGCAGGATCCGAGGGAACGGAGGGGGGGATGACGCTAACTTTGCTGGGAAGAGGTTCGGGGTGTTCGGCAGTGGAGTCGAGGGGGAAGATGAGGATCTCGTTGGATACCTCGGTGAGGTTGTAGAGGAACTTTCCTGTGACAATCGAGTCAGATGAAGATTGCTGACAGCCAAATGTTCCACTCACCATCCTCAGAGATCAAAGAGTGTCTCGGACCGGAGCCGGGAGGCGCTTGCAACCACCCATCGATGGCAAGTCCGCTCTCACCCTCTCTCTTGATGATCCAGATCCTGTCCGTACCAAGGTCAGAGAGATAGAGCTTCCCATCCAGACCTTCCACTACATTGTGCGCATGACACGCCTCCTGTCGCTTGGGGTTGGGCGCTGTCTGGCCTTCGTACACGAAGGGTAGCTTGAGAAGGGGCGACGCGGAAGTCTTTGACAAGGCGCCGTTGGAGTCGATGGGGAAGAAGATGGCAGAGCCACCTGAGAAGTTGCTCAAGATGATACCGGAACCATCCTTCATGACATGTACTGAGCGAAAGTGAGCTACTGGCTGGTTGCGTAAACAAGTACGTACTGTGGACGGCCCCGCCATAGCACTGTCTCTGACCCGTGATCTCGATATCATCGCCCTTGAGTTTCAAGCTGACAGCAGAACCTCCGTCGACGTCGGATACAGTATACAGGTACCTCTCCTCGCTGTTACCCTTGTTAATCGGGGAACCGGGAAGCTCTATCCAGGTGGGCTTGATGAGGGCCGGGGAGGATCCCGCGAGCTTGACCTTGGAAGTGGACGGCTCAAAAGAGAAGATCTCGTACACGGAGCGGTAGCCACCGACGAGGATTTTGTAAAGAGACATTGTGGATGTAGAGATAGAAGAAAGAAGAAAGAGGAAAGAGAGAGAGATGCAGCTAATGGAATAGTTCCACGGCTAGCAACGGCAACCCTCCACTCTGGCGTCATTGTTGAGATATAGGTCGATTTGCTCCCGTGTTGCTGTGTATGTATGTGCGTCAAACGTAGCTCTGGGTTAAGCAGGTTGGACGCCGTGACTTATAGTCGGGTTGGGTTGACCCTCAAACCTGGCACCCGCACATGTGCGGGTACTGGGCCAACCCCGCCCGGCACTACATAGTTACTAGCGTAATTACTACCACTAATAACCATGTAATTACTCCTTAGTTGCGGGATCATCTCCAAGTTCAACAGTCATTTCGGCCTGGACCGGCGGACAGCCGCGGCTGCCATCGACTTTCCATCTTCAACTGCGCTCTAATCGCGAATATCCTGCCTACCAATTATCTCTCACCCAAAAAGTCAGCTCGGCATCGGAGGCAACACCACAAGCTCTCACGTGAATGCCTGCTTACCCATCTCCTGCTGCCACTGCCTGTGGAACATCCGCTTCCAAGGGCACGGAGATTCCATCTCGGACTTCCGGCGCTGGTGCTTGTCGGACTCTCCGCCGACCCTCGAGGCTATATAACGGAGCCTGCCCTGCCCCATTGTGGAACACTACTCGGAATCACCACCAAGACTACTAATAGCTACGAACAGCAGAACAATAATGTCCACACAGCCCAAGATCCTCATCCTCGGTGCTTCTGGCTACATCGGTGGTATGTGACTCACACAATATGACGAAGAGGCCGATACTCACTGTTCCACAGGTACCATCCTCGTTGACCTTCTGAAGACCCACAACCCCGCCAACATCACCGTCCTCGTGCGAGACACCACCAAAGAAGCACTTGTCAAGCCTTTGACCGTCAACATAGTCGTCGGCTCGTTCGATGACGTTGCACTCATCCGATCCCTGGCTGAAGCCAACGATGTGATCATCAACTGCGCTGTGCCCTTTGGTGGCGGTGACGCCAGTATTCAGGCTCTTGTTGATGGCCTTGAGGCAAGGGCGAACAAAGGGGCTGTGAAGCCTGTCTTGTTGCAAATTTCGGGCACCGGCACTATCATGTACGGCGCCAATGGTGAGAAAGGAACTGACGTCTGGAAGGTGAGTGGTTCCACGCCGGTACATGGCCGTAGCTGATATGTGACATAGGACACTGACTACAAACGCTGGGAAGCTCTTCCTCAGACAGCCTTCTTCCACAGCGGCGATACCATGTGAGTGTTGACCTCTCTCGTTGACAGTCCCTGACCAGTTTGCAGTGTTGCCAGAGCTGTTGAAAGGGGTGTCATCTCGGCTTATATCGTCATGGTCCCCACTGTTTACGGACAGGGTACTGGTCCTGGCAACAGTATGTCTCAGCATATCCAGTGTGGTTCGAAGGCTGACACTTGGTCTCAAGACCTTTCTCTTCAGATCCCAGCGTACGTTCGATACGCTAAGCGTACAGGCCAAGCTGCGTACATTGGCAAAGGCGACAACGTGTGGGGCAATGTAAGCCATCCCCTTGATTTCCTGTGCTAGCCAGCTGACACATCAACTAGGTACATGTGCAAGACCTCAGCGATCTCTTTATCCTTCTCCTTACACACGCGCTTTCAAACCCTGCCGCTACCACCGCCCTCCCTGGCTCACACGGCTGGTCCAACCTCATCTACGCTGGTGTTGACACCCACGCCTGGAAGCCCATCATCGAGCTCATTGGCGACCTCCTCCATGCCCGTGGCGATATTCCCAACCCTGGCGCCATCAGCATTGGGGAGGGTGAAGGCGATATGTACATGTTTGGCGGCAACTCCTTCATGGCAGTCAGCGAAAAGGCCGCGGCCTTGGGGTGGAAGAGGCGTCAGCCAGGCCTCGTGGATTCAGTAAAGCTTGCTCTCTCCGTTGGCAAGTAGGCTAGGCACTTTGACTGTATGTTGTTAGTTTCATTCATGTACAGTACTATCATTCTGGCCTGTGGCATGAGTTCCCGCTGTGGTATGGGCAGTGTTTGGGTTTGAGTCACAGTGCACGATAAGCCACGTTGAAGCACAAGCCACGAGCCATGAGCGGCGTTATACTCTCGGCTTTAGTGCGCGTCTGAGCACACCGATCGCGCTCGACGACCTCAATCTTTTCCATTCCCTGACGCCGCATCGTCAACTACCCCCAGCCTTCCTTGCACCCCCCTTCACAATTCTCGTATATCCCGTATAACCCCCTCTGCGGCCGCCGGACCCAGGGGCAGGGAACAACGCCACCTCGCCTGGGGCCTCTGATGCCCACCTGCCCCGCTCTGCGTCGCCCATGCATATCATGCATGACGCGTTTTCGCTAAGCAAACGCCGACAGACAAGCGTGAGCGTGGACTAGTGTTTCCAGGTTGAGCGAAAGCTGCCGCGCTGCCCTGCGACATGGACAGTGCTGGTGCATCGGTGTGTCTCGTTGACCGCGGAACGTGATTGATTTTCCGCAACTTACGTTACAAAAGACAATTCTTTTCTTTTCTTCACAGCATCTCGCAAACGTCTTGTTACAGGCTTGAGCTGGCTCTCACCCGCCAGCCTGCTCATCTACTCAATTTTCCGATACGATTCGCCTCTTAACGACTTTGACGACTACAAAAATGGAGTCTGCGACTTCCACTGCCTCGGCGACGGCGAGCGCCAGGACTGCCCTGGCCTCCTCCCACACATCTTCCTCTACAAATTCCTCCTCTTTGGTTTCGAGCACTGGCTCAATGACCTCCACGGCTACCACCAGTGACGCATCTTCCACCGCCTCCTCTACCGACACCTCCCTTCTATCCCCTTCCTCCCTCGCTTCTCTCGCCGAATCATTCCCCACCTACCTCGCTATCGGCGGTGCCATCCTAGGGCTCGTGATTGTCGTTTGTCTTGTTTCTTGGCTCTTTAACAAAAAGAGGAGGCAGTCGAGGTTCAAATCGCGTTTCGGAAACGACGAAGATCAGGAGGTGGAGAAGAATTGGAAAGAGAGCAGGCTTATGTGGGGCGAAGTAAAGAAGGGGGAGAGGATATGGGATCCGGAGACAGGGATGGGGATAGTGGTGGGTGATGAGGACCTCGAAGCCTCGAGAAGGAAGAAGCATAGGATCACTCTAGAGGATGCGAGAGTTACGGGTGAGGAGGGTCACGAGCCGCAAGGCAGTGTATACGAAGGTGGGCAATCATCATCAGAGAGAATAATATCGCGAAGGCTGATCCGAATCTAGCGTGCCCGCCTTTGCCACCTGTCACGTCGCGCCCGACCATGCGCCTTCTCTCGACCCCCTCTTCTCCCTCATCTGAGATTGACATATCTGAAGCAAGAGGTCATTTCCCAACTTCCATCGAGGTTCAGAGCATACATAGCTATGTCTACAACACGCCAGAACCAAGCCCATCGGCTAGTCCGGTGTTGGGGCCTGTAACGGAGAGAGAGGAAGAAGAAGGGCTTATAAAGCACAGGCGGTAATGGCTTGATGAATGATCTTACGAAGTGTAGAGTGATACGTAAACGAACTATCCTGGCTTATCAATAATTTGGCATATGTATATCACGATTGTAATCTGTAGTGCCCAAGACGTTTCAGTTCAAAGTCACCTAAACTGTCAGCACATCACCCATCCATCGCCCTCGTACGAACCCTCCATCCGTCCACGCACGGCTCCTCCCCTCACCTTCCCAGGACCACCCGTACCTGAATTTTCTCTCTCGACCCCCATCTTCCGACAGGCTATAATCTTCCCACGCCGGAAAGTACTCGTCCCGGTCTTCGTCGAAGACGAGCAACGGCATGACTTCGTCTCGCCATATGTCAGCCAGGCAGCTATCTTCACTCTTCTTCCACTCCTCCTCCGTCGTCGATGAACCGCTGGTTTCCGGGCCAGGCGAGAATGAACATTCGGGTTTTCGGGAAGGAGCCGGCCACGGGAGAGGGATGGTGCTGTGGGACCCAAGACCCAAGACCGTGGGGGGATGGAACAGATGGGGGTAAGAGGCGAGGCCGAGGGAAGAGAGAGGGCGCAGGTGATATGGTTTGAGGGCAGGATTGGGGAGGGATAGAGTACATGCGATTTCGGGGGCGAATCATCGGAGTATGAAGTAGGATCGAGAGTGCTGATGGGGTCGAGTCCTCGGTAGATCTGGTGAGATTTGCCATGTGTACGTATCTTCAGTGCTTTCTGGGTTAAACGATGAGGGTGACGGTAGCTTTGCAGAAACGATAGTGGCAAAGCAGAAACGTTGTTTCCTTCAAGCTCGACTGTCAGAGATCTCACATTACACAGTGAAAGTTACCGGGCAATGCCCCACTCCGCCAAAGATCTCTTATTCCATCAAAGACACTTGGTGTCTCATTGCCACTCGGGCCTTTTTAGCATGATGCCCTTTGTCGAAATGTCATGTATAGCTGCAGTGAGAGGAAGCCCGAGCAAAGTGGAGCCAGAATCCATTCTTGCGGAGCTTTGCTTCAAAGGAGCAGTCTGGAGAAAGGACAATTCTGGCGTGGGGCTTATGCGGCTGTTCGGAGGGCTTCGCTGCTATAGATCAAGCTGTGACGCCCCGCACGGCGAAGGAGAGCACTGACGAAGGAGATCTCTGAGAAGCGGATGGACGTTCATAGAAGCAGTGTCTCGTCGTACTAGCTCCATTCAGTCCTCTATCCGTAGAGTTCTGCGTCCGCCCCGAACCCACCACTCCACCCATCGGTAGTCCCGAACAATCCTTCCCATGAAGCGGGTTCCCGAATGTCCACATCGTTCGCTGCGCATTCGGTCAGACGACCTTTCTGCACAAGCCTTGAAAAGCCCGACTCACCTATGCCGAGCACGCCGAGCACGATCCCTGCAAGCCCCCGGGCATCTCCTCTGTTGTCGCCTTCCACGCACCAGGCGGTCACGGCGCCATGGGAAATCTTTTTTTGATCCTCGGAGAATGCAGAGAGTAGACGGCGTGTGAGACCGGCAGCTGGAAGGAATGGAGGGTAGCGAGAAGTTGACCGAGGACCGAAAGAAGGTTGGGAAATGGCAAGGGAGAGAGGCGGGAGGTTCTTGATACGCTGGATTATAGGTGGAACTGAAGAGACGATAGTGGGTGGTAATATGTGCTGATAGGGGGTCCTGTTATGACGTTATTACAGCTACACGCTATATAGTAACGTGACTTACAAGAGCTGAACATCGTCTTGGTGGGCCGAGTCCAAGCTGGTGACGACGAGGACGAAACCGAACTCGTTCCCCTGCGCAAATTCGCTGATGACGGAGACATGCTCATCTTTCTTGGTCTACCATTACGTGTCAGTGAATTTCATGTCCTTTGAGAGTCTGCACACCTTGAGAGTAGGTGACCTTTGCTGCACGACATAGAGCTCGCTTCCTTCTTGGCCATAAACTGAGACATTGTTGGTCAGCCCGGATGCTTGTTGATCACGTGGGCAAGGCGCTTACCTTCCAGTCCTCCTGTGGCAACCTCCCCGTTCTCTCCTACGCCAGCAAATGGGGCGACAGTGTCACCGTTACCAAGGAAGCCAACTCGCTTAAGACCCAGAGTAGATATCAGTAAGTCGGCAGTGAGTTGAGGCACGTTTCCCAAGGATACAGCGGGCTGTTTGTGTCAGCCTTGTGAGCGGTAATCCGACAAGTACTGGTATATATACTTACGATGATGAGGGTGGCAGAGCTGAAACTCTTGGGGTTAAAGCCTGAAGACGGATGGAACACAGTCATTGGGAATACAGGAGAGTTGCGATTAGGGCTTGTAGTGTGTTGAAGAGTATTTCAAAGATACAGCAGGCGAGCAGAGCATGTACCAAGACGCGCGTCGTCCGTCCGTCGCAGAAGAAAGAGGAGATAATCGGAGTCATGACGTGGAAGAAAGAGGTGGAGGTGCGGCGTCCACCGTTAGGCCAGGTTGAAGGTTACGATTTGGTTACGATACGAGTACTGTCATGATGACAGGCTGGAACAATCCGCTTCGACTCCAGTTTCACTGAGGAAGGAAGAAAGTGCAAGCTCTGTATAAGCTCGAAATGCCTTGGGACATAGTTTCTGCATATGACGTTATCAAAGGCAACGAGTTATATAGGGTCATGTAAATGCTTTCGCGGCTGTCGGTTCCGAACGCACGCTCAGCACAGTTAGACATCGTGCATACATATATGGCAATATCAGATTGGCTGAACAACACACTACAACAAGCTCGAACTCAAAACATCGTGGGAATACGCCGCCCCAACTGATACTCAAAGAAGAGAAGAAGCCTAGAAGAGCTTCGCCATGATCTTGTCCTTGTAGTTCGATGGGACATCATCCTGCTGGTCTTTGTAGTAGCTGTCCAGAGCCTCGAAGAAATCGAGATCGGTCTTTAGATCAACATTTTTGGAGCGGTGGAAAGGTGTCCGCTGGAAGATTTTGAACCCAAGCCCAATCCCCCCAGCGAGAGCAATCTGATGAGGCGTTAGCCACCGCATACTTACCGGACAAGGGTAGCCAGAACCTACAATACCGTAGTTGAAGATGAAAGTCGCAGTACTCCAGCTTCCCTTGAGGAATACCGCGTATCCTTGGACCCAGAGGAAGATGAAGCCCCAGACAAAGGCCCAGTATGCCGCATAAGGTTGGACCTTGGAAGGCGCTGGGAGATAAATGTGCCTGTCGATGCCTTGTGCTTTCATGGCTTGGTTGAATCGTATCCAAGTGAAAGACATGACAGTCCAGTTGCTTCAAAAGTCCGTCAGCCAGATGTACCCGAGTCTCTGCCGGATCCACATACAAGAGAGTGGCAGCGGTGCAGAAGCTAAGATGAAAGGTCAATGATTGTCGACGACATGATATGGGGACTCACTTCAAAATCCAGTTCAAAACCTTGGCAGAAGTAGACCCCAGAGCAAGATATGCAAGACAAGACAGAAGCATGACCACGATCACACAAGTGTAGGGGACACCGTGCCTGTTGTGTTTGCGTAAAAAAGCTGGGGCTTTGCCGTCCAGAGCGAGGGCATGCAGAGAACGAGATGCGTTGAAGGTGTACGCATTACCAGCAGAGAAGATGGCGGTCAACAGGGCTGCAGTGACGATGGATGGGAGGACAGGAATCTTGAGTCTTTGCATGGAGATGACACTGACATGTGTGTCAGCAGAACTCTCTCGGGTTATCAACAAGAAGACGTACTAGGGAGAACCACCGGCATAAGTGTCACTGCCTCCGGTCAGAGTTTCGTCGTTGGACGGGACGAGAATTCCGACAGCAAGGGAGCCGCCAACAAAGAAGATGACCAGGCGCGCCATGATGGTCTTGAAAGCTCGAGGAATGGTCTTTCTGGGGTTTTTGGCTTCCCCGGCAATCATGGAGATGTACTCTGGACCACCGGTACAAAAGCCAGCCACGATGACGGCATTGACGAAGGACTCGAACCGAGAGATACCAGAGTCACCAACCCAAGGTCCCGGATCTTTCCAGTATCGGAAACCGAATTTGCTGGAAGGCTGTCAGTCATGACTCGCGCGGAAGGACAGGAGATATCAGGAAGCTTACTCGTGGATGGGATTGCCCCCGACCATAGTTATGAACGTATAGAACACTATCATCGGCAGTCAGTGACCGAGCGAAAGTGTTTGAGAGGAATGACCTACGGAGACCGATAGCTAGGAGTACCTTACCCATCGCGAGCCAGACTGAGCATTACTTCGTGTTAGCCGACTCTGATTTCCATCGACACAGGACTCACACTCTGCCTCTCCGAACAAGTCCGCTCTGTAGATGTTGATGGCCAAGAAAAGAACCAGAGACACAGAAATCAATATGGCTGGTGACTGGTCGTATCCCCAGTACTCTACAAGAGTGTTGATGATGGTGGCCTCAAAGATGACATAGGATGTCTGGGCAAACTAGGACAGGAATCAGCGCTTCCTATCTTGTATATATATATACCCACAAAATGATTCCATCCTACGGCGACACCCAGTGCGGGGTCAACCATACGGCCAGCCAGTCGAATGAACGATCCATCGTAGGGAAAGAGGGAAACGATCTCCTGCTGACATTGGGCGACACTGTACACCACGGAAGACCAGAAGACGAAAGCTGTCTTGGTGTCAGATGCCGCATTGTTCCGGAGTACGCGAAGAACATACCTATCAGGAGACACAGCGGACCAGAAATTACGCCGGATCCAATGGCAACAAACAAAGCAGCTCCAATAGAACCTAGGATGCATATTGGTGTTAGGTACGAGTTGGGACATGGACCGGATGGACCAAGTCAGTAAGGGACTCACCAGCTATAGAAGTCAACTGAATCTGTCGCGCATTCAATTTTCGATGGTTGACAGAGTGTAGGACTCGGGCTTCCATACTTTCTCCATCCGCCGAGACGGCCTCGATCGTTTCAGAAGTCTCAGTCATGTATACCGCAGCATCAGGACTTTTGTCGACTTCGCCGAGTTCGTATGGCTTGGTGTCGTCCATCGTGTGAGCTGTCAAAATCGGTAACGGAGCTGCTAGGGTGTCGATTTCGGGGAGACAAAATGATGGCTGTTATATGAAGTGTCAGCGCTGTATCGTCACCTGATAAGAACAAAGATAGTACTCTGGCAATAGCACACCTATGATTGGCCGAGCCGAAGCTGCGAAGGACTCACGACTGGCGCGCGATAGCAGAAATGTAACTGACGCTGGACTTCATTCTCGCCCGCTTTCCAGCCTGCATTATCTTGGCCATGATTTCTGGATTCCTTGATAGCACTTGAGTCCGGTCGAGTGGATTTGTCTTCGGGCTTGCTTCGGGCCAAAGATTCTCAGGGAAACCAAGCTTATGATGGGCGGCCATCTCCGGCTTCTGATAAGAGAGGAGCCACCGTGCACCAGGCCCAACAGGCCCAACAGATTTGTCTGCGGGGTATCGGCACTTCCGAGTACCTCCAAAGTCGGGAGTCCAGATATCGTAGATGTCGGACCATCTTGAAGCCGAGATCCGGTGCCCGTCCCTCGGGTGTGACCCTCTGTCACGTACGTATCTTCTCCTCACATGATCGCATCGTGGACACTGATCTGGCCGCCATCCAGAAGTTTTGCGTCAATACGTTGATAAGGCAAGCGGTTATTTCCAATTGGAGTTTGGCCCCACAAGTGACCCCTCCATGTCCGAGACTTCGTAAGCACTCCGGCGGCTGCACACATTTCCATTGGACAGCGCTGGACGCACGCCTCCATAGCCCACACAGGAGTCCAGTCTGGCGAACACGACATGGAGTCTACTGGGAGATAAGCCGTCACATGATGGACTATCTCTAAGACACGTATTGATCCGGATCTGGAGGCCATTCCAGTCTGGATACCTCTGCGCTTATCTTCAGCAGACAGATAAATTGGCAAGCTTTTATCATTCGCATCTCAGTACTCGTATACTACGCCTCATATAGATACCACCATACGCCATGGCTATCGCTCAGCTTACCACTATCGACGCATCTCAGCCTCTCGAGAAGATCATCGAGATCATTGAGAGAGATGGGGGTGTCATCGTCGCCAACTTTCTCTCACCCGAGCTACTCAAGCAGACAATGGATGCCATTGAGCCTCACTTCGGCAAGCGCGGCATCTACCAGTCCAAGGCCACTCACAACGAGCTTGGTCAGGACTTCTTCCCCGAGGGTTCTCAGCGAGTCTATGGTCTCTTGTCGAAAATCACCGAGCCTCTTATCAACATTGTGCGATTGCCTGTGTGGCAGGGAGTGATGAGCAGGTTCCTTAAGTGAGTCCTCTGCTTTTCAAACAAGCCTTGATATGATGCTAAATATTCTCAATAGCGACGAATACTTCTCCTACACTGGCGAGAATTTCCTTCCCCAGAAGAGTGGTTACATGCTCGCGTCGACTGCTGCCCTCCGATTGGTTCCCGGTGCGAAGCCCCAGCCTCTTCACCGAGTAAGCACCCTGCAGGAGTGTCAATTCTTTGAAGCTGACAAACACTGCAGGATCAAATCGCCTACCAAACTCGACCGGAGCCCAGCAACCCCTTCTTCACTCCCATGGTCGGCTGTCTCATCGCCGGCTCAAGAGCCACCAAGAAGAACGGCGCTACCGCTGTCATTCCCGGATCCCACTTGTGGCCTCCTACCAGAGCCCCCAAAATCGACGAGTGCACCTACGCCGAGATGGAGCCTGGATCTGCTCTCTTCACTCTTGGCTCCACCTACCACGGCGCTGGAGAGAACAAATGTGCCCCAGAAGACCCGGAGGCGTTGCGTACTCTCTTTGCAGTCTTTGCTCAACGAGACTACTTCAGACAAGACCAGGAGGAGATTCTGACTACTCCTATCGAGCTTGCGAGGACGTTCCCGGATGATATACTGAGGATCGCAGGCTACTGTAAGTGCACTCTGTCCGTGGACGATGAGCCCTCAACTGACAATTGTAACAGACAAAGCCGTCGGTGGTGTAGGATACGTCGAAGACCATCAGGATGTGGTTGACTTTTTGAAGTCTGAGGACACTGCTGTCGGCAGGTTCAAGTAAGAGGAGAGATATCGATCTGCGGGTGTGGTGTCTGGAATGCGTTATTGTCCGTCTGTTTTGGGTTCTTCGTCGTTGTTGCGCGTGTGTCTGATGATAGAGTGTACTATCGCGATATCGAAACCCCTTTTCTACCAGTCTATATGTCGCCATGTATATCTATCCGCAAGCGCTTTGAACACAATACCATACCCCCAGACTTGACTTACCTCTTCGTTTGCAATGTCAGTCATGGAATACCGACACAGCAGTTAGCGTTCATGGCTTGTGCAGACCAGGACCGACGGAGTGTAAATCATCTTCTAAAGTCACGCGTCATGGCGGTAAAGGGGTAGGCAGTCTAGTGATAGCTGGAAGTAATACACCTGACGTACGGTATCGAGGTGTCAGCTAGACAAGTCGAATGCGGGGCTATTCGTGCTACTACGTAGCAGAGTGTGTCAGTCTCTTTGTTGACTTCATCCGATCTAAGTGCTATCATATCATTCTTATGCAATATGCCGGCACAGTCCAGGATACCCACTGGGGTCGCGGGCAAAACACAAACGCATGAACGCGTCCCTCGGTGCCTAGCGGAACCAATTCTCGACATGAGCTTTTCGCGACGCGTCTTTCTGTTTCTGGATTCTCTCATTCGTCGGCTCTCTCAACTCCATTTTCCCCTTCCTCCCCTTCCCACTTCTCCCCAATTAACCATGTCTCGCGGATCGTTCAGGGGACGGGGATCCGGTAGCAACACCCGTTTTACGGGCAAACGACGCGGGGGCGGACGCGGAGGACGCGGTGGTGGCGTCGCATACGGTATTGACCGTCCGGCTGCTCAGCTGACGCGCGAAGACGGCACAGCAGCTGCTGAGCGGTTCGAAGAAGTCAAGGCATATGACGAGATTGATGAAAAGCTTGGCTTTTGGAGGTTTGAGAGTGTGAGGTCGGAGGGAGAAGAGAAGGTAGGGTGGCTGGTAAACATGCACATGGTAAGTTTGGCGCGTCGCGGAAAAGATTAGCTGCTCACGCGTTTTCAGACTCTTATGCAGAGCGAAGTCAGCCCAAATGGGCTCGCTGCAGTAGACTACTACTTTATCCAGGACGATGGTGGATCGTTTAAGGTTACCATACCGTTTGAACCATACTTCTATGTGACGTGTCGAGTGAGTCACGGAACGTCCAACATCGGGCGCCCGGAGCTGACAGCAGGTACAGGGAGGGACTGAAACCCTGGTAGAAGAATGGCTGCTGAAGCAGTATGAGGGAACGATCGTGCGGATAGAGCGGGAGAAGAAGTGGGATCTGGATTTGGTGCGTGGTACTACTTGTAAACAAGACTGCAGCTAATAGATTCAGCCGAATCACCTTCTCTCCGCGCCTCCAGTATTCCTCAAACTCTTCTTTCACAACACTGCCGATCTTTACACCGTCAGGCGTGACTTAAACCCACTCGCCAAGAGCAACTCTGAAAAGTTTACGGTGGTCGATGCGTACGCCGATGTGGTCAGTGCAGAGGCCGCTGCCAACGGTCATGACGACGAGGAGAAAGCATGGGGAGCCGAGGATGATAGCCGGAAACGCAAAGACAAGGAGCCCTCTGAGTGTATAATCGATGTACGAGAACACGACATAGCGTTCCACTTGCGAGTGGCTATCGACCTTGGTGAGTTGCTTGACTGTTGTAACGCTCTCACTGACATTTGATAGACATCCGAGTCGGTCTGTGGTACAGCGTGGTCTCCAAAACCGGTATTACAACGCTCCTTCGAATTCCTGAGCGTGTCAAGCGTGCCGACCCCGTGATCATGGCGTACGATATCGAAACTTCTAAACAGCCCCTCAAATTTCCCGATCAGCAAACAGATCAAATCATGATGATTTCATATATGATTGACGGGATGGGATACTTGATCACCAACAGAGAGATCGTGGCCGAAGATATTGATGATTTTGAGTATACTCCCAAGGACGAGTATCCGGGAGAATTCACTGTCTTCAATGAGCCAGATGAGGTGAGTAACCGACAGACGAGACACTGCAAAGCTCACCACTTTTACAAGGCGGCTGTCATCAGGAGATGGTTTGAGCACATTCGAGACTCAAAGCCAAACGTTATCGCCACTTATAACGGTGACAGCTTCGATTTCCCCTTTGTGGATGCGCGCGCCAAGATTCACGGCATTAGCATGTATGAGGAGATCGGCTTCAAGCCAGATAACGAAGAAGAGTACAAGTGTCGTGCTACGATGCACATGGACTGTTTTAGGTGAGATCGTCGATGGAAGTGTTAGTATGCGAGCTGACGATGTCCAGATGGGTAAAGCGAGACTCGTACCTCCCTCAAGGAAGTCAAGGTCTGAAGGCTGTGACGACTGCCAAACTCGGCTACAACCCCATCGAACTCGACCCCGAACTCATGACTCCTTATGCCATTGAGCAACCGCAAATCCTCGCCCAGTACTCGGTCTCCGATGCTGTCGCCACCTACTACCTCTACATGAAATATGTCCACCCCTTCATCTTCTCACTCTGTAATATCATTCCTCTCAACCCGGATGAAGTTTTGAGAAAAGGAACGGGTACACTATGTGAGACCCTGTTGATGGTCAGTCTCCTTCGTGCACCCTCGGATCTGATCTGACGGTATATCAGGTTGAAGCTTACGATGCTCATATCATCATGCCCAATCGACACGAGGATCCCCACGGAGTGACCTATGAAGGACATCTGTTGGCTTCTGAGACCTATGTAGGCGGTCACGTCGAAGCGTTGGAAGCTGGTGTGTTCAGAAGCGATATACCCACCCACTTCAAAGTCGTGCCGAGTGCCATACAAGGAGTGAGTGTGCAACAGTCACAAAGAACAAAGCTCATGATGTATAGCTCATTGATGACCTCGACGCCGCTCTTCAATTCTCAATAGTCGAAGAAGGCAACCACAGACTCGAAGATGTCGAAAACTATGACGAAGTCAAGGGTCAGATTCAACAAGCCCTCGAGCTTATGCGCGACGACCCCAGCCGTTTCGACAAGCCCCTCATCTATCACCTGGATGTCGCCGCCATGTATCCCAACATCATGTTGTCAAATCGGCTTCAACCAGACTCGGTCAAGAAAGAATCCGACTGTGCGGTGTGTGATTACAATCGCCCCGATAAACAGTGCGACAGACGATTGGAGTGGGCGTGGAGAGGAGAATATTTCCCGGCCAAGAGAGACGAGGTGAATATGGTGCGCTATGCCTTGGAGCAGGAGATGTTCCCTGGCAAGCGATCTTTCGACCCGAAGCGGCGATTTGTGGATCTATCACCTGCGGAGCAGTCTGCTCTTCTGCACAAGCGCCTCGGTGACTACTCTCGAAAAGTCTATAAAAAGACTCACGAGACGAAGATCGTCACGCAAACGGCTATCATCTGTCAACGAGAGAACTCTTTCTATATCGACACTGTTCGGGCTTTCCGTGACCGTCGATACGAGTACAAAGGTCTTCATAAAACCTGGAAGAAGAATCTTGACAAGGCAATTAGCGAAGGCGGCGCAGTGGCCGAGGTTGATGAGGCCAAACAGATGATTGTCCTGTATGACTCTCTGCAGCTTGCGCACAAGTGTATCCTCAATTCTTTCTACGGATACGTTATGCGCAAGGGCGCCCGATGGTACTCAATGGAAATGGCTGGCATCACTTGTCTGACTGGCGCCACTATCATTCAGATGGCCCGTCAACTCGTTGAGCAGATTGGTCGACCTCTAGAGCTGGATACAGATGGAATCTGGTGTATGCTTCCTGGTGTTTTCCCTGAAGACTTCAACTTCAAGATCAAAGGAGGCAAAAAGTTTGGCGTGTCGTACCCCTGCACCATGCTCAACCATCTCGTCCACGCCCAGTTCACCAACGATCAGTACCACGAGCTTGTCGACAAAGAGTCCGGCCAGTACAAGGTCAAGAAGGAAAACTCAATCTTTTTTGAACTTGATGGACCTTACAAAGCCATGATTCTTCCTTCGTCCAAAGAAGAAGACAAGCTGTTGAAGAAGAGGTATGCTGTCTTCAATCCCGACGGCTCTCTTGCCGAACTCAAGGGGTTCGAAGTCAAGCGTCGTGGTGAACTTCAAATGATCAAGATCTTCCAGAGTCAAATCTTCGACAAGTTCTTGCTCGGTACCACCACCGAGGAGTGCTATGCGCAAGTCGCTACTGTTGCCGACCAGTGGCTTGATATTCTACAAAGCAAGGCATCAAGTCTTCACGATGACGAGCTGGTCGACCTTATTGCCGAGAATCGAAGCATGTCCAAGACGCTTGCCGAATACGCCGGCCAAAAGTCTACTTCTATCAGCACTGCCAGGCGACTTGCCGAATTCTTGGGCGAGCAGATGGTCAAGGACAAGGGTCTTGCCTGTCGTTTCATTATTTCTGCCAAACCTCAGGGCGCCCCTGTTACCGAGCGCGCTGTACCAGTCGCCATCTTTACGGCTGAAGAGTCTGTCAAGCGGCACTATCTTCGCAAGTGGCTCAAGGATAACAGTCTTACGGACTTTGACTTGCGTACAATCCTTGACTGGGAGTACTACACTGAGCGACTTGGTTCTGTGATCCAGAAACTCATCACCATTCCTGCCGCCCTTCAAAGAGTCCAGAATCCTGTCCCCCGCATCCGACACCCCGACTGGCTCTACAAGCGCATTGCTATGAAAGAGGACAAGTTCCAACAACACAAGTTGACCGACATGTTTGCCAAAATGAAATCAAAGGATATGGAGGACTTTGGAGAGGGCGGAAAGCAAAGCGGCCGCAAACTCGCCGTCGTCAAGCGCAGAAAGCAGAGGGAGCAGGAAAAGTCTCCAGAGATTGAGGAGCTACCACCCAAGCCTGAAGACGACTACTCGGGCTACATCAGGGTCATGAAGAAGAAGTGGCGCCAGCAGAGGCAGGAAAGGGCCAGGGCCAGGAAATCTGGACCTCGTCAGGATGGCACTGTTTCGTCAATGCTTCGGGCCCAGACCACCAGTCTCAGCTCTAAGCAGTGGGACGTTGTACAAATTGCCGTCACCAATCGCCCTGGCGAATTCAAGCTTTGGCTGTCAATTGACGGCACATTCCAAAGTGTGAAACTACGGGTCCCAAGAGAATTCTACCTGAACTTCAAAGAGACACCCCAGCAAGACGTTCTGTTTGCGGACAGGTACGAGGTGTCCGAGGTCGTGCGAACACTTCCCAGAGGACAGGCGACAAGACATCTTTTCAAGTTACTCGTGGACGAGATCTTGTTTATGGAAGGAGAGTCCCATTTCTCCAGTCTTATCAATAGTCCCAAGGTCGAAGGAGCCTTTGAGCTTCAAGTGCCCTTGGTTGTCAGAGCACTCCTCAGCTTTGGTACGTCGTGTACCCTCCGATCTGGCATTACGGGCGGCCTGAACCGAGGTCTCGACAAAGGCTTCGAGCTTTCTGACCTGGAGAGACCGATGATGACCTCCCGACACAAGTACCTCAACGAAGGTCGAGAGATTCAATATCATTTCCTCTTCCATGCCAATGTGGACACTCGTCATGTCATCGGTCTCTTTTCGCCTGGCGCAGCTCCTCGCGTCTACGTCGTGGACCGCTCTAGAACTCGACAAAACATCCCCAGCATGGCCAGCTTTTACGCCGAGCGACTCGAGCGACTCGGGCGTACCGAGAAGGGGGTTTTTCCCTACCCTGAGGAGATCGAGATTGAAACGACACAACACACCACGGAGACTAGTGCATTCAAAGCCCTCGCAAAAGACCTGGGGGCTCTCAAGCGTGGCTTGAATGTGGTTGCTCTCTACTCGCCTTTCAGCCACGACTACTACCAGGCAAAGTCCTCCGTATTCTCAGACTTCCCTTTCATAACGTACAGACTGGGCAAAGACGAGGAGCCCGGAATCATGTGGCAGCTCAACTCGGTGAAGAGGATGGTGGGGCTATATCTGCGATTATCCGGGTGGTTGAAAGAGCAGATTGAGATTGCGGCTCATTTCGACGTGCCTATCGGAGTGAGTGTCATGGAGAGGCGGCGTCGAAACATTGACTAACTCTGAGTAGAATTTGGGTGCCGACACCGCTGTCTTCTTGGCGGATATCGAATTTGCTCGTCGTCTGAAGCAGCAGGACATGCTCATATGGTGGTCCTCCAACTCTCGACCTGATCTGGGCGGCAGCGAGGAGGACGCAAACATGAGCGAGGACTTGGTGTCTCCACACATTTCCAACCGAGGCTGTTATTCCTCTACAGTTTTGGAATTGGATATCACTGAGCTTGCGATCAATGCGGTTCTCCAATCTGCCCTGGTCAACGAGATGGAGGGGTCCGGTACCGGCTCTATGGCGTTTGACACTGCTTCTCACAACCTTGACGAGTATGCCAAGGGCGCTGTCAATACTTCAGTCATGCTCGGCGATGCTGTCCTCTCAACACAGACGTTCAGCGTCCTCAAGTCGATGCTACGAGCCTGGTTCGTTGACAAGGCTCGCGCCACGGTCAAGGGTGACCATTCTTCACCTGCCGAACTGGTGGTTGACCAATTCTGGCGATGGGTTAGCTCTTCAACGAGCAACATGTTCGAACCTGCTCTGCATCGGTTCCTGCATGGCCTCATGCGAAAAACTTTCTTGCAGCTGCTTGCCGAATTCAAGCGCCTTGGCACCCAAGTAGTGCATGCGGACTTCAACCGCATCTTCCTCCTTACTTCCAAGCCGGACGCTGGCAGCGCGTATGCGTTTTCAAAGTACTTGGTGGCTGCAGCCAACTCGCAAGAATTGTTCCGACACCTCGGCATTGAGGTTACACAGTTCTGGAACTATCTGGCTTGGATGGATGTCGCGAACTATGGTGGTGTCAAGGTCTCGGCCGAAGCTGCCGCCAGCCGAGACCTGCCTAGCAACAAGTTTGAGATGAGTATGGACTGGAACATCCAGTCCTTCTTGCCTAGCGCATTGCAACCTCTTTTCGAGAGGCATGTGGCCAAGTTCATCTACGAGCTGTACACTGCCAAGCGTAAAGCTCATGACTCGCGCGAGCCATTGCGAGTCATACACAGCTTGAACATCGATGCCCCTGGCGAGAGTGCGTCTACAGTCAACCCGGCCAAGGACAAGGAAAGAGCATCTGGGGCCAAAGCTATTTCGCAAACTCTCACGCGCAACCTCCTCACAGACATCGCTGGTGCCAAGCGCAGACAGGCTGCCTTGCATCTTGACCCCGACCTTGATGACAACCTCGACTTCCCTCAACTTCCAGGTGCTCGCACCGACCGTACCAACCCTACTCTTGAGCTCATCAAGGCCATCACCGAAGTGTTCTCCCTCGCGTCGGAGCACTCAATTGAAGTTCAGGTGCTGAAGAGAAACCTGTTGGACCTGGTCGGGGTCAAGGAATTCTCAGGCGACGCGGCGTGGAAGGCGCCCTGTGAGAGCATAGAGGTACCGATGGTTATCTGCAAGAGGTGCAATGCTATCAGGGATGTGGATTTGTGTAGAGACCCAGACAGGCTTCCTGTCGTGGACTCGGCGACTGGAGAAGTCAGAGAGCCTCCGAGAAAGAGTTGGACTTGTCATGTGAGTATCCTGCGGCTTCTGTCTGATCTTCCGCTGACAAGAACACACAGAAATGTGACAGTGATTATGACCGGTTCCAAATTGAGCAGCCCCTCATCGAAACCATCAACAAGATGGTCACCGCCTATCAAACGCAAGATGTGGCCTGCGTCAAATGCTCACAAATGAGGTCGGACAATTTGGCGGCTACGTGCAGGTGTGGCGGGTCATTCAAGCCGACGGTGAACAAGACGGAGGCGAGGAACAAGCTGAAGATGATCAAGAGTGGTGAGCACAATTCGATAGGAGAAGTACCCAAGAAGCTGATGTCTATGACAGTGTGTGATTATCACAGATTGCCGCTTGCGGGGAGCTTTGTAGAGGAAACGTTGAGTAGATGGTAGTGGACATGTGTTCCGAGTACTTTTGGGCGTTCCGGCTGTTGGCCTTGCATGTGTTTCTTCCATAGTTTTTTGTACTTGTAAATCCGACTGTCTCATTGCACTATTATATGTCCGTATATTGCTGTAATTTCTATGCACCCGTGACGTCCTCATCTGGTAGTCCGTAGTGCCAAGTGCAGCTGTTGAGTTGCTGTTGAGTCGGTTTCGTCCTCGGTGTGCCGGGGATCTGAGTCGCGTCGGAATGAATTGGCTGGCCAGGCAAGTCTTCTCGTTCTCCTTTTCCGCCATCTCTCTACTGCTCTATCTAATCCAATCGAGGCCTTCAACTGGACGTTGAGAGCATACAACATGACTATACAGCCACCAGATCTCCCTGACAAGGTCGTCATCGGCGTACTCGGTATGTATTACCCCAAAGATACTGGGCTTGAGCTGACGCAGATGCAGCTCTTCAAGGGGCATTCATCGAACATATCCACTATCTACAGAGGTCTGTCGTGGACCCTTACTCAAGCTAGAATATTGCTGATACCGTGCAGACTTCGGCCGGCTGGTCATACTCTGGAGGCCATCCCTGTTCGTACAGCCGATGAGCTCTCGGTGCGTTTCGAGATCTGCATGAGACTCCTCTCCTATGCTTGTGTACTGACCACCTTTCAGAGATGTCACGCCCTTGTCATCCCAGGGGGCGAATCCACAGTCATCTCACATCTGGCCTCCCTGACCCCCAACCTCCTGCCCTCACTCCTTGCCTTCGCCCAAGACCCCGCCAAAGCCGTCTGGGGGACATGCGCCGGCATGATCCTTATGAGCGAGGAAGACGGTGTGGGTGGGGGCAAAAAGAAGGGTGTCAAGGGCTGGGCTGGGTTCAAGGGGCTCAAGGTGTGGCGCAACTTGTATGGGAGTGAGTGGTCTCCTTTGGACATCGTGTGCACAAGGTGGGGCGCTGATGAACGCAATCGACAGCTCAGTTGGAATCGTTTGAAGCCTCTCTGCCGATTCCAGCTCTGTCCTCCCCTGCCAAGCCCTTCAACGCAATCTTCATTCGTGCTCCGGCCATTCATTCGCTCACCCCGCCTCCCGCGCTTGAAGCTACCTCTGAGGTTCTGGCTGCTTTACCAGACGAGTACTTGCCTTCCCCTCCACCGTCCGACTCTCCTCTGGGAGAACCGAGGATCGAAGACTTGGGAAAGGTCATGGTGAGGCAAGGAAAGAAGATGATCACCAGTTTCCATCCAGAGCTGAGCGGAGACGTGAGAGTGCACGAGTATTGGGTCGAGAAGTGCGTATTGGGAAGACAGTAGAGACGACAGACGTTCCACGAGAGACGGCCGTTGTATAATAGAGTTACAGACATTCAGGCATATGCAAATCATTCATGTTGAACCACATGTATCGCTGAAGAGCCCGATTATATCTCAACGATCGCACGGTATGCAAAGCGAAGTGTATCATATCATATCAGCGCAGAATATATCTATAAGATCTTCCTTTCCAATCATTACAACCATTCCTTCGCCACATCCCATCCCGTGATACCTCTCCCCTTCTCCAACCCCAAAGCAAACTCCCAGCACTCCCTAGCCCTATCTCCCCTCCCCTGCCTCTCTGCCACTTTACCCAGCAAGAACCACGCCATGGGATCATCCCACCCATGAGCCTGCGTCAGCTGGTTCAGCAAAGACTCGGCGAGGTCGGGTCCCTGCAAAGACGGTACTAGCTCGGGCGCTGCGGCCTTTTCATCCTGCGACTGGGCGGGCGAGGGAAGCGGTGGGGTAGGGCGGGGCGGGGGTGTGAATGGCGATGCGAGATACAGCTTTGAAAGCCCGATTATCGCTTGAGGATAGTCGGGCTTCATCAACAATGCCTTGACAAACGCCGCTTCTGCCTTTTTCCAGACTACCTCTTGCTGCCTCTTCTTCCCTTCATATGCCGGCTCACCCTCCTTGGGGCTGGTGGCGATATGGTACAGGCCCAACTGCACCCATACGTCCGGGTTTCCGGGGTCCAAAGTCTCAGCCTCCATCACCGCCACAAGACACTGCTCCGTCTTGCCCCACCTCCTGAAAGTCGCCGCGCTGCTCAACCACAAATCACTCAGAATCCGCTTCTCTTCCTTTGTATGCAGATCCGGCGCAGAAGAAGGCTGGGATGGAGGTGGAGGAGCAGGCGTACGGGAAGAGCGGTAGGTGGAGTGGATGGCGGTGGGGGCGATTGAAGGTGCAGTCGACGGCGATCGCAACCTGGTAGAACCATCCGCCTCTGACCCCTCTGCCTCACCCCCGGCAACAGCAGAAGCCCTGGAGACGTTCAGGTGCTTGCCAAGTCCCCTCCTCAAACTTCCAGCTCGGTCTCTTCCTCTGAGAGAGATTGACCGAGGTTGGGGGACATCGAGAGCGTCTCCGGCAGGCGGAGAGGATGTACGCGGGATAGGCTGGGCGAGGGTGGGGCCTTGAATGGATCCAGCGGATGATTGTTGGCCTGGTGTATGTATTTGAGGTACTATGTCGCGTCAGTAGACCTTTGTATCTAGTTTTGAACAACTCACAATCGTCCCTCACACTGATATAACTTCCATCCAAACCACCCTCTCTGAACCCAGTCAATTCAGCACTAGCCCCAGCACCAACAGTACCACTCCTCTTCCTCTCCGACACCAATCCACACCTGCCCGAGAAGAATGCAAACAGCTCCTGCTGCTTGACCATCGCCTCTTCACACCCCCTCATCTTTTCGACCACCCCATTGAGGGTCGTCCTCAGACGGATGACCTGAGATAGCTTGGTGTCTGGCGTTGGCGGGCAGAGTGGTAGAGTAGGTAAAGTCGGTGGAAGACCGGACGGTTGTAGAAGCGGGGCAACCGACGGTACCGTCTCGACCGTGAGGGGCAAAGCATCGGCGTCTTCCCAGATACTGATACCAGCTTCCAACGCCTTTCTAGCCGCATTCCATTCCCCATGGGCAGTCAACAAGATCCCCAACAACAACCACCCTTCCACGCCCACCGGCCTCTCCTTCTCATCGTGCTCCCCCAGCTCGGCTTGTTCATCGCCCTCGAGTTCGAGGGCCCGGCGGACAGCCTCGGTGGCTTCGGGGACTTGGCGGGCGGCGGCGTAAGCGTGCGCGAGGTGGTAGAATGCAGAGGGAGATGTGGGGAGGAGGATGGTGGAGCTGAGAAGATGGTTGAGAGCTTGGGACTGGAAAGTCGCCCTCTGGAGAGGATCCGTGGCTACTCTTATCAGCTCGTTGCTATATCGCAGTGGGCATGGCTTACTCCTCGACATGACAATCCTCACAACACCTTTGGCCTCTTCAACTCGCCCTTCCAACACTTTTCTCGCCTTACTCTTCTGTCCCAAGGTCTGCGAGACAGACACGACATCCCCCGCAAGCGTCACATATCGCCAAGCCTCTTCCGGCTCATTCGTATGCTCGCTCAACAACCTCGCGCCCATGAGAAGGGTCCTCACAAAATCGTAATCGTCATCCGCCTCTGCTCCGTGCGGAGGGGTTGGCGAGTCGGCGGCGGGGCGCGGGGAGGGCACGACGCCTGAGGCCGTGGTGGGTTTGAGATGAGGGTCTTCGTCGGAAGGGCGTTTTTGAAGCTGAAGGTTTACTTCAGGTGACACTGTTTGTCTAGCCTTCAATACCAGGTCCACATACAGCCCAAAAATCCTTTTCGCGTCCACCCAGTCTTTCCTATCCACCATCACCCTCAAGAGATTTCTCAAGATTGACTGGGACTGGAATGTAAGGGTCATGGCCCACCAGAGCAGGTCGAGGGTGGTCTCTGAGAGCGAGGAATGAGGGGAGAGGGCGTAGAGGTGGGTGGAGAGGGTTGCGAAGAGCAGGACGGGGTGATTGACCGCCCCCGCGCGGGGGAAGGAGGTGGTGTGGTTCAACAGGTTCTTTCCCTGCGTCAGGGCATGTACCACTTCAGAATGCCACAATTGTGCAGGGGGGACAGTTGGGGCTGGAGAAGCATACAGCAAGGGCCCTGATGTGAAGGGGGAAGAATGGAGAGCGCGGAGGTAGAGGATGAGCAGCTTTTGACGCTGAACGGGTCGGAAGCCGGATGGCCAATTTGAGCTCAGGGCATGGAACGTGCGAAGGATCTGCAAATCCTGTTGCCGAGCCTCTTGACCAGATGCGCGAGAAGAGAGGACAGCCGCTCGGGCGAGGGCAGTGGAGATGAAGCGGAAGACTTCGCGATGGGCCTCGAATGAAGCTACTTTGGCTGGCGACTTGCCGAGGTAGGAGGGTATGGGCAGAGTGAAGGATTGGAGGGATTGTAAAAGAGGAATGGTGGACAGGTATGATTGTATGGCGAGAAGGGCATTTGAAGGAGAAGAGAGCTCGTATGAGATACCTATAAAGCGTCAGCTATAGCACCAAAGACGAACGTTATGCGCACCTTGTAAGCACCTTCCTCGTATTCTCTCTACGACGGCCGCATCTCCCTCCACCACTCCGAATCTGTTCTCCGTACTCCAGTCCACGGTCTCGTATACCCTCAAGGCGGCGTTGTGGTTTCCTAACGCGTGTTGATGGTATGCCAGGATAAGCTTGGCAGACTGCACATCGGCCGGAGACAGCTTGCCGCTGTCGATACTGCTCTCCAGCGCTCTGACTCCCTCTTGCACCTCTTCGGCGTTCTGAGACGCTACTCCCATCCACCATACTCTATCGATCGCCCAAGCCCGCTGGTCTTCATAGTCATCTCCATCAAGATCGCCTTCAGACAAGTATGCTGCGCGGTGCGTCCCCTCGGCCTGAGGTTTCACCGTGTTGCCAGACTCTGCCACGCTTTCATCCACCGACCCCTGGTTCCTATGCCGCCTGTGGAGATGGGGATGGGGAATGTGGACGAACGAGGACGTGGTCTGAGAGCCACTGTCTGCGGAAGTGGTCGCAGATGGCGACGATTCGATCGACTGGGAGGCGTCGTTGTTCGGCAGGGCAAGAAATCCCGAGCTGGAGATGCTGTGCCCGCTTGTGGAGAGGTAGGCGAGGGAGATGTCGCGGAGATGATGGACGAGCTGGACGTTGCCGCCGGTGTGCTTGCCCCACTTGCGGACGAGCTCGCCCCACTCGAGCTGTGCGCCGCGGGGGGCTGTGGCGGGGGCATTGGCTGCCCAGTTGCCCGCTGTGAGGGCGGCGTTGAGGGCGGCGTTGTAGTGGGCGGCCTTGGGGGAGGACATCGCGCTGAATGACATAGAGATCGCAGAGAAAGACGTCGGTCATAGAAGTGGAATTGGGATTGGGGCTGGGAGCTAGGAAATGGGAAATGGGAAATGGGAAATGGGACCGTGGCCCAGATTATCTCGACTCTTTCCGATTAACGAACGACTAACTGACTTGTGCAACTTGTCACGAGAACCAGAAACGATGAGGTGAGCATTCCCTCCCTAGACACCGCTGACATTCCAGCATCCCCATCAAAGCAACCCGCTCCCCCTCCGTCTCACACCTTTCCAAGTCCCCCACCACCCTCAACGAGTACACCTCCACCGCGCCCCAGCCCGCTCTCCCGACACAACACAAAGATGAAGGCGTCCCCAGCCATCTCTACAAAGGCCTTCCAGACCATTTCATGACTGAGAATGCCCACGGGGAAAAGATCCCAGACTACTTGCGAATGATCCTGATGTGTGCGTGGAATCGACTCAAAGTGATCCGTAGCTAAGACATACTCTAGCCAAGGTCTACGCTTCACCATTAAACCTGAAAGAGACCCCTCTGACACTTGCTGTCAACCTCTCGGCGCGTCTTGGTAATGAAGTGCGTTCTGACCCTGCTACCAGGGACTCGCTGACCGCATATAGATCTGGCTCAAACGTGAAGACCTCCAGCCCGTCTTTTCCTTCAAAATTCGAGGTGCCTACAACATGATGGCTTCCCTTCCAGAGGCTGAAAAGAAGAAGGGCGTTGTCACTTGCTCTGCTGGTACGTACCCATCACAAATCAAACCAGCCCTGACAGTCTACAGGAAACCACGCCCAAGGCGTCGCCCTCTCGGGCCACGCTCTCAACATCCCCGCCATCGTCGTCATGCCCGTCTCCACCCCCTCCATCAAATGGCGCAACGTCCAACGCCTCGGCGCCACCGTCGTCCTCCACGGCAAAGATTTCGACGAAGCCAAAGCCGAGTGCCTCCGCCTCGAGAAGGAAAAAGGTCTGACGTTTGTACCGCCCTACGACAACCCCTACGTCGTGGCGGGACAAGGCACAGTGGCGATGGAGATCTGCAGGCAGGTCAAGGATGCGGATGAGATTGACGGCATCTTTTCTGCTATCGGTGGTGGAGGCCTTTCGGCGGGTATCGCGGCGTACATGAAGCGCGTCGCCAAGCCCACGGTGGGCGTTTACGGTGTCGAGACTGTGGACGGTGACGCCATGGACCGCTCGCTCAAAGCTGGCAAGCGAGTGACGCTTGACGAAGTGGGACCTTTTGCCGATGGGACTGCCGTCCGCCTCGTCGGCGAAGAGCCTTTCCGCGTCTGCAAAGAATTCCTGGACGACATTGTCCTCGTCAACAATGACGAGATCTGCGCCGCCATCAAAGACGTCTTTGAAGAGACCCGTTCCATCCCCGAACCGTCCGGTGCCCTCTCGCTCGCCGGTCTCAAAGCCCACATTATCCGAAACAACCTGCTGAACGCCGGTAAGCGCTTCGTCGCCGTCGTCTCTGGGGGCAACATGAACTTTGGCAGGCTGAGGTTTGTCGCTGAACGCGCGGATGTGGGTGAGCGCCGTGAAGTGCTCATCAGCGTCAAATGCCCTGAAAAGCCCGGTGCTTTCCTCAAATTCCACTCGCTCCTCGGCGCTCGAGCCGTCACTGAATTCTCATACCGCTACTCCAACGCCCACAAGGGCCACATCATCTGCTCCTTCCTCCTCTCTGCATCTTCCTCATCCCCTTCATCTGCTGGACCGACCCCTCAAGCACGGGATGAAGAGATCCAAGAGGTGACCAAGATCCTGAGAGAGGCTGGGATGGAGGTGCTTGATCTGAGTGAGAATGAGTTTGCAAAGAGCCATGTGAGGCATCTCGTCGGTGGTCAGAGCGAGGTTGAGAATGAGAGGGTGTTCCGATTCGGCAAGTCTTCCCTCATGCTTTAGTATTCGCGCTGACGAAAAGCAGAATTCCCCGAAAGACCTGGAGCTCTCGGAAACTTCCTCAAGGGACTCAAAGTCGACTGGAACATCTCCATGTTCCACTACCGAAACCACGGCGCGGGTACGTCCTCTTTCTTCCTCTCCAGTACCAACCTGATTCCCTGCGGTAGACGTCGGTAAAGTCCTTGTGGGTGTGCAAGTGCCCGAAGCCGATTACCAAGCTCTGGACGACTTTTTGCAGGATCTGGGCTATCCGTTTGTGGAAGAGACGCAAAACCCTGCTTTCAAGATGTTTTTGAGATCCTAGAAAGATGGATAGAAGTTGTAGCATATAGATACTCGTATGAGTGTAGAGAGTTGTTGCATAGGGTACGAATACCGCTGATTTCTGCTTCCTTGCACAGCCGACGTGATCATCGCCGTGTGCGACAGAGCATGCACAAAGCAAAGTCAATTGTACGAAATACATGTTTGGGAGATCTACTATCACTTCTTGGCCTTGCTCTTCGCTGGAGCCTTTGCTTTTGGTTTCGCAGCCGCCGCCTTGCCCTTGCCCTTTGGCTTGACCGCCTTCACCAACTTGTCTTTGGCCACGTCCGCATCATCGTCGTCCTTGTCGTCATCAGGGTCATCCGGTACAGGCTGATCTCCCTGGAAGACTATCAGCACCACTTTGGCTTGACAGAAACGAGACATACCTCAAACACATCCTCATTATCCGGCGCAGGTCCTTGGTCGGCAATCTTTTTCTTGCTGACAGCAAACATGTCTGACTTGTGGAAAGCGATCGGGTGGTCCTGCTTATTGTACCTGATTTCACTCGTCAGCTGAGACCCAGTCACGTACGGGAGGCACTCACTGCCTGGTGAAAGCAGACTTGGTCGCGCCAGGAATCTTTTTGAGGATCAAGTCTTCCTTCATCGTATCGACTCCAAGCTCGACAAAGGCATCCCAGTCGTCTTTTCCGAGAAAGTAGCCGTCCATGTATTCGATCGTCTCGTCCAGAGCGTCCTGTTGATGTCAGTCAGCTACAGTACAGTGATCAGATCTAATCGCTCACAGCCCCGTTTTCGACGATAGGCATGACAATCTTGTTGGCAAGCATAGGCATGTATTGCTCACGGATCTCCGACCTACTGCCCGAAGCCCGAAGTCGCATGCGGATCTGGATATCAGTAAGCTGACGAGCGAGCTTGGTCTGCTTTGAATTCTGGCCTAGCCATCTGTTCACTAGTCAACGGCTGTGGCGCAAAAGCGGACGACACTTACTGAGGGAAAGCAGGTCCCCAGCTTCCATAACCACCTCCACTAGGCCTCATGGCCCCATAGATCAACGATGCTGGCAGCACAGTCGATACCACCGCGTGGAATGGTAAGAGCGACCATTGCTGTTCGGATCCATGAATCATACGGTCGACGAGGTCGCCATCGGAAACCGAGTCGGCTGCTTTGGAGAGGAGCTCGAGATTCTTCAGGTCCTTCTCGCGGCCATTCAAGTTTTGAAGCTTGGAAGGGTTGGTTTTGGGATAGTGTTCCTAAAAATCATCATCAGTCTGAGCTAGGACTACTCGACATTAGCACGCACCTGCATGAACAGCGGCATGAAGCTAAAGTCTTGAAAGTAGAGCTCCATTTTGTCGGATAACGTATCCTTGTTGGTCTTGGAGAAGGCATATGGATTGCACAGCTTATCGGTAAGAGTGAAAGGGGTCATGATGGTGTTTTTCTCATTGACCTTGATCCTGTCGCAGTGATGAGCCGAGGCCGTTCACCTAGCAAATAGACGTACAATTCCTTGGACTCGTCAAAGTCCATCTCGCTCTTGCTCAGCTTGAAGGTCGAGAGCATATTCAAGACTTGACGTATATCCGATCCGACACCTTTGATCAGTTCGTCGACCACATTGCTAGGAATCTTGAGCTTTTCCCTGCGGTCATGTAAGTATATCATCCCGCGCAGTACAAACAACCTACTTGTAAAGGATAGACATGATCCGAGAACGGATCTCTGGAGGTGTCGGTCTACGAATGTCAGACTTTTGCCGTGACGAAAAGGATGATACTCACCTCTTGAATGTCATGTTGAAAGTAGTGGTATGGAGAGGCTTCATCTTTTGGAGTGTTCGGTCGTTGCAAATCAAGATCATGGGAATCTATAGAATGTCAGAGAGTCCACAAGTGTCAATTCATCACGCACCTTGGTCTTTTTGATCAGCGTGTTGAGAGCGCCAACACCTCCTCTGTCACCCGCCGACATACCATCCACCTCATCCATGATCAAACAAGTCTTGCTCGTGATTTTCATACCCGCCACATTCGCCTCCTGCTAATGATCAGTAGAGTCCCCTCTTGGCCACTTACACGTACACCTATGCCTTGCCCCTTGAAGTAGCCATCCAAACTTCTATTGTCCACATTCGTTTCATTCTCAATCAGCTTTTTACTCCTCGTATCACTCGCATTGAGCTCCAGAGGAGAGTAGCCCGCATTCTTGGCCATCAAATGGGCCGATGTCGTCTTGCCGATACCCGGCGGGCCAGAGATGAGTACAGCTCGATAAGTGCCCATGCCGTCCTTGCCGGGTTTCTTGAAATTGACCTTGTAGCTGGCGTCCCAGTCTTCGAGCCATTTGCCGAGACGCTCAACGGGGGCTTTATTACCGCAAATCTCTTTGAGGGAAGCCGGAGCGTATTTAGTGGTCCAGAGTTGGGATGACGGGGGAGCGATTTTTCTGTTGATGGTGAGGACAGACCAATGGTTGATCGAGTAACTTACTTGACAGCCATACCCTGCTGCCCCAGCGCCTTTTCCTTTCTCTTTCGCTCCTGTTCTTCCTTCTTCTCCCTCGCCTCCATCTCCTTCGCCTGGTCCTCAATCTTCTTTGCCTCCTTCTCCCTCGCCTTCTGTGCCTTTTCCAGGGTAGCCGGATCCACCTCTACTCCTACACCGTTCGAACGCTGGCGGACGAGCTCGATGAATTCATCTTCAGTGAGCATCGGGATGTTCTTCTCCTTGATTTTGGCCAGTTTGGAAGGACCCGCATTGGCACCGACGACTACGAAAGAGGTTTTGCCGGACGGGGCGGTGGTACATTTGCTAACGGCCTGTCAGTGAGCTGTATTGTAGGTGACAATGGACGTACCCGGAGAATCTTCTGACCAGCTCTTGTGCCTCTTCTCGCCCGAGGCTTTCCAGCTCGCCAGTGAATACAAACGTCAACCCCGAAAGACAATCGCCCTCGCCTTCGGGGATATCTTTTGAGCCTGGGGCTGACGGTCCAGCAGCACGAGCAGCAGCCACGGCCTTCCAACTATTTTCGTTCAGCGGCGTCCCATATGGCACTGTGGTGGCTTACTTGTTGGCCTTTTTCTCTCCTTCAGTTTCTTTGGCACTGGGTTTAGGCGCAGCCTTTGCAGCAGGTTTCTTGACCGGCGTAGGCTTCTTGGCTGGACTAGCGGCGGGTTTCTTGGCTGGAGCCTTTTTGGGAGCAGGCTTGACCTCTTCCTCTTCCTCCTCCTCTTCTTCCTCTTCATCGTCATCGACATCCATCGGCTTCGAAATCATCAGCAACGTCCCAGTACCAAGAGAGTCTTACTCACCTTGTAATCCTCCTCAACCTTCTTCTTCCCCAGACTCTGCCTCTTTGGCGCAGGCTTGACATCTTCCTCCGACTCGGAATCAGACATGAGCGTCTTGCGTTTTGGCGCAGACTTTACAGCGGGTCGGGATAATGATGGCCTGCTCATAGCCGGCTTGGGCTTTGCACTAGGGGCGGGGTCGGGGGCAAAGGCAGGTTTCGCCACGGGCTTTCGGGCGGGTTCATCGTCTTCAGACTCTGACAAGACGATAGGTCTCTGCGATACACCTCTTAGCTTTGGATCTTTGGTAGCTCGGTTCGACTTACCGAGCTCGTTGCCTTTGACGCCCCGCTAGATTTTGGAGCAGGCTTGGATGAAGAAGCCTTTGTGGGCGGCGCCGGCTCATCATCGCTATCGTCGATCGTGATAGGCATCTTGCCCGACCCACTCTTTGACGTCTGGGTTGTACTTTTCTGAGACCCCTACCACGTCCGGATCAGTACTGTCACCTATACTATGCAATGCACATACACCTTTGTTGAACTGCGCGCCATCGGGTCAGCCAAGCGTCATCGAGCAATGCGGGAGATCGACTCACGAAGCCTCGGATATCCTTGCCCGCTGCCTCTTCCTTCTTAGGGGAGGGCTTCTTCTTTGGTGACTCGGATGGTCTCTGCTTGGAAGACATGCCGGAATGGGATGAAGAGTGAGAGATGGAGATGGAAAGTACTTTAGCTCGACGCGTCAATTTGAACGCGGCGCGACTCGTCCTTCACTCATTCATTTCCACCAAAAATCATGGCACCACGCTCGAAACGCCCACGCACCGCTACCCCCGAAGAAGAAGAAGAAGAAGAGGAGCAAGTCGAAGAACGCCAGCAAGGCGCATCCCACCTCGTCTCCTTCCTCACCGGATTCGCCGACCACCACGTCGATGACGACCTGCCTCCCCTGCTCGACCACAATGGCGACGCCATCGACGACTTTTCCGCCTCGGATGAAGACGAGGAACCGGAAGAAGAGCCTGACGAGGCCGACGTTGAGCCGGATGATGACGGCGTGCATACGCCGAGTAGGAAGACGGGTTTGGTGGGTGTAGCGACGCCTAGCCGGTCGACGAGGGGTACACCAAAGAAACGGAAAGCCCCCGGTTCTGCTACACCGCGCAAGACGCCCAAGCGGCCTGTCAATGGCGAAGAGACGGCAGACGAGGGGATCATCCGGAAAAGTACGGCCGACGCATACTTTACGCTGATGAAGGCTTCGCGGACGTCTGGCAACAGCTACTCTCTCCTCGCCGACCCGCTCTCTGCCAGGGCGTACGAAAAGTATATCGCCGAGTCGTCTGCCGTGCGTGGGCGTATCAGCCCGCCAGAGGCACACCGCGGCCGATTCCGTACATGGTCGAAAGAGCTTGAAGCGGGCTTCAACCTGCTCTTCTACGGTTTTGGCTCTAAACGCCCTACGCTGAATCTGTTTGCTCAAGAAGAGCTGGCCAAAAAGGGGCATGTGGTGGTCATCAATGGTACATTCCCCGGCTTGGGCGTGAGGGATATCGTAAGCGAGATTGAAGATCGACTGGGGGTCCCGCAGGCCATCTCTGTCCCGCCCTCCTGCTCAACACCACTCGAGCGCGCTGCTCATCGCATATACGCCCACTTCCTGCCCCCTTCTGCCATCTCTGACCCGTCAGAATGGCCCACCGCCAACGCCCCGCTGTATCTCGTGATCCACAACATTGACGCCCCCGCGCTGCGTTCTCCCAAATCGCTCGCCATCCTCTCCCTCCTCGCTTCGTGTCCCCGCATCCACCTCATCGCGTCCTACGACCACGTCCACACCCCCCTCATCTTTTCGTCTTCCCTCTCCAACACCCCGCCGCATCATTACACCCCCGGGAGCTGGTCTGGCACGCCCCTGTCGAGCCGCGGGTTTTACTGGGTTAACCACAGTCTGACCACATATGCGCCATACGACCTCGAACTCTCCTACCTCCGCATGTCTGCCCAGACCCTCACGCCATCCACCTCCGGCCCCGCCGGCGGCGTCTCTGAAGAAGGTACCCTCCAAATCCTAAAATCCGTCCCGCACCTCTCTGCCCGCCTGCTCAAGCTCCTATTCACCCTGCAGCTCTCCCGCCTGCCCGCCGACTCGAAATGGCACGTCGCCTACCCCGCTTCGGCATCCGCCCCGCCTTTTGCGGTGGATGGGAATCTGCTGAAGAAGCTGGCGAAAGACAAGTGGATAGCGGGGGAGGGGGAGCGGTTTGAGGCGTTCTTGGGCGAGTATAGGGATCATGGGTTGGTTGTGGAAGCGGCGCAGGCGCGGGGGGGTGAGGATGGGGAGGAGGAAGGGAGAGAGGGGAGATGGTTGTGGGTGCCGCTGGGCAAGGCGGCAGTGGAGAGAGTGCTGGAGAGTATGGTCGGGGTGGAGTAGGTAAGTGCCTTGTGTCATGTTGATTGATGCTCATGGTTTGCAGATGACAATGTGTACAATAGCGAGGAGCGTTCATTCAACAGTTATAGTAGCAGAAATATACAACATGAATCTGTCCTTTCCTTCTTTCGTTATAGAGATTACCCTAACGCGCGCGCTCACTCTCCAACCCCCTCATACCCGCATCCAGCAACATCTCAATCCCACTCCCAGACCTATCTCTGCCCGCCGTCTCTTTCGGGCTCACCGACCTGTCCTTTGCGACATTACAAAGAGGCGGCAATTCTCTGCTACCTCGGGCCGGAGCACGAGACATGGCCGGCAACTGCCAGTACCTCGGTCTCGCCTCCTCCGCGGCCTTGTCCATGGATGTTTCATAAACCTCGTACCCATGACGCACAGGCGGTGGCAGCATGTACTCGTTACCCCCCGTCGGCGAAGCCAACCGGTCAGAGGACGCTGAAGCCGAGTCGCGCGAGGTGAGCGACGGTGTACGTTCGGGCGAGCGGGCACCGAGGTCGGCCTCGGAAGGAGGGCGGGGATAGTGCTCGGCAGGCATGGGGGGAGCGCCGGCAGCGTTCATAGCGAGGGCTGCCTGGTGCAGCGACAGACGTGCTTGGAGGATCGTCAAGCGGGTGTGGATCATGGAAGACAGTCGCTGGTTTACGTCAGCGCGGGTCACCATGGGTCAATGCCAAGACTTGCCTCTTCCTCTGCCTTTTTCGCGCCGAGGATGCTCAGCAGCAGCTCGCGGTCGCCCTCGCCGCTCTTTCTGAACGAGTCGAGGATGCTATTCAGTGATGCTGGAGGGGGCGGCTGCACGTTTCGTCAGTTTTCGCCATGGGGCCGAACATGGATCAAGCTACTTACGAGCTCTTCGTCCCACCACTTTCCGCCTGCCGAGCCGCCGAATGCCATGGAGAGGGATACACTGGGTGTTTCGCTGGGCTCGCGTCTGGAGCGGGGCGGGCTGGGCGGTTCGCCGTTGGTTGGAGCGGGGTCGTGGTTGCGGCGGCCTTTTGCTTGGGGCTGGGGGTGGGAGGGCTGGAGGGTGTATGGGTGGTAGCGAGAAGAGGGCTGGGGCGAGCGTGAAGGGCCGGCAGTGGACATGGTGTGAGATGGGAAGGCGGGGAAGAAAGGATTCAGGCCTGCGCTTATAAAGAACGCAGCTTGGGGTCTGCTTGGCGAGCCAAGAACGCAAGAAGAGCCAAGTGTATGGGCGAGTCGGGGCAGTGCTGTGTGCTGTGGGTGCACTTGGCAGTAGATGTAGACTTGTAGGGGGGGATGCATCTGATACGGCTCGGCTATATACAGGCATACGTTGCAAGCTGGAGAGTATTTTGTGCTCGCAGTGAGCCAAATACGGATGCCAAGGCCCAAGAACAATCTGCTTCCGTTTCTCAGTCCCAAATAAGCACCCCCGACAAACTCGTCACCCCGCCTTCTCACTTGCCGCCTGTGCGAGTCGAAGTGCCCTTGCGAGTCATTTCTGCATGCACTCACACCTCCATTGTTGACCTCTCTTGGCCCTCTGCTGCCGCGCCCCTCTTTCGCCTTCGCACTCTCGCGCCGCCTTCCCTCCATCTTGGGCTTCTTGGCAGCAGACACGTCTCCGCGATCGCCCTTGTGCCTGGCCCAGCCTCTTCGGCCCGTTTCTCCTCCACAAAAATAGACCGCCGAGTTCTTTACATAACACCATGGCGTGGCATTCTTGCATGTCGACCATCATCATCAAATACTCGGGACTTTATATCCTTGTCCACCCTGGTAGTACCGGCGTAAATGTCGCGCAAGAGCAGGGATTCGTCGTAGTCGTCAAGTTCGGTCTCTTCAGGATCGTCAATGTTGTCTCCGTCCTCCGCGACGAGCTCGGCGACCTTCAAGGAGTTTCAAGGCTCGTGCAGGTACGCCAGAAAGGTGGCCCGACTATGACGAGGAGGAAGCCCCCAATGGGTATGTCCAATCGTGAGGGCAGGACGCTGTGGAGGCCGGACTGGGGGAACCTTAAGAATAAGTTGTGAGTAGGAATATGTATTGTCGAAGATGGTTGTATTGACGCAGTCCAGCTTTGAGAACCTGGTCGAAGCGGCGATCAAGTCTTGTCTCTCTAACCACTCCCCGCAACAGCCAACAAATCAAACAACAAAACAGGCGGTGACGATGAAGAAGGCTCATCCGGCTGGAGGTGGAAGCACAACAAGAAGAACTCGACCATATGTGTTGGACCAGATGGGCGCACTGGTCAAGACTACCTCGTCGATTCCGGTGCGCCGCGTCCGTCAGAGGCGGAAGTGAGAGATCGAGTGGTCATGTATCTCGAGTCCATCGACAGGAAAAAAGGGAACGCAGCGAGCGTTGAGGCGAGGCCAGGTCGGTAAGTGGTCGGGTTTTGGATGAAGGATCTTGAAGGGTCTTGACGCTGACTGGAGTGTAGTTGGTGAAATTGATCAAGGATGAATGGGATAGCCTTCCTTTGAGCAAATGTCAGGAGGCACCCCTTCTCAAGGCCACCTTCACCCAGAACAACGGGGTTCTGCGCGCCCTCTATTTCATAGAGCGGCACGAGACTCAAAACCCCTTGAAGGTCGCCGAGAATGTCGCGGAGGACGGAGACAATATTGACGATCTTGAAGAGACCGAGCTTGACGACTACGACGAGTTCCTCCTCCTGCGTGACATCTACACCGGTACCGGGGTGGAGCAAGATACAAAGTCTCGAGTAGTTGTAAAGCCATGGTGGTGGTCGGAAGAGGCAAGTACGCGCTGAGCTGTGATCATCGTCAGCATATCGTATGACAAGTCGCTCATGGCCAACGTAGATTCGTCTTGCTGTATGGAACGCCTTTGAATTGTGGCAGCAGTCGCTTACACCTTCCACCTGCCACCTAATTATCACAAGCTTAGGACTACCGGCTTTCGTCTTGCTTCTGGCGTATGCGCCGAGATCGAAGAGGGAGAAGGCGGTGGGGAGATCATCCAGCCCGTGATCGAGTGCACCAAGAGCATGATCAACTGGGATGTGGTCCGACTCGTCAACTCACCTCTGATACCCGATGAGTCTCAAGTTGCTCGCAATGTCGTCTTGGCTACAAGCCGCCGCTTGCCGACACTTCAGCAATATCTCCAGGACACCCAGCCTGGGATCCTGACAAAGGTCACCGAGAAGCATCTCAAACTTTCTCCTTGTAGAGACAGTTTCGAGGACTATGGTGATGAAGGGTTTGACGGTGGTGGTGATTACAGACTTGGCGATGATGGTGATGGTGATCCTGCCCTTCCGCCGACTCAAGAGTAGATGATCAGCCCGTTTATAGTTACTTTACTTTTGTTGATTGTCGAAAGGAATGTTACATATGAGTGTCGATGAGAAGGAATGCACCTGTAATTCATGTTCGTCAGAAGGAGTTCACAGAATTCAACAGTTCGAGAGAACGACAACACGGCGGGGGACGCCGCCATCCTGTTACATAACACAGCCCCTGACGTGGCAATACTTCTCAGAAGTTGCTCCTCTGATCTTCTTTCAACTGCTGCATGAACTATCCACCACTCACCCTATCCACACCATGCCTGTCAGGATCCGCTTCGCCCGCCATGGCCACCGCAAAAACCCCATCTTCCACCTCGTCGCCATCAACTCCCGCCGCCCCCGCAACGGCAAGCCGCTAGAGCTCCTCGGCGTATACGACCCCATCCCCCGCGTCCGCGATACTCTCCCCCCGCCCCCTGCCGCAAACGTCTTTGCCAAGGGCACAGAAGAGTTGATCAAGAAGGAGAAGAAGGCCGAGCTGAATGTGGAGAGGATAAAGTGGTGGTTGGGCGTTGGGGCGGAGCCTACGAGATCGGTGGTCAAGCTTTTGGAGAGGGTGCGTTTGGTACTTTTGAAGAGAGTGAAGGTGCTGACAGATTTGGGTAGGGTGGTGTGTTGACAACACCGCACAAGTGGCAACATATGTGGTCACCCCCTCCGCCTGAGGCTGGTCAATCATTACCATCGGCGACACCATCAGCAGAGACATCATCATGAGGCGTATGCATCGGTTATGGACTAGTACGGTGGATGTGGGTTGACTTAGACTGCGAATTGAGCGCGTGGTGGGGGTGACCAAAAGTGCCAAAAGTGCTTTTGAAAAAGAATTGGAGGGGCGGCTTTACTGACGGATCTACCGAGTCTTGCCTGCTGTATACTCGTCTTACCTGCCGTTCCCTCGAGGACAAATAATCAACTTGATTATCACCTCAGCATCAATATGGCTTAACCCATTTTGTCGCGCAGGAATTGACGGCAGGGGAATAAAGGGAACCAAACACTGATCATACCATTACCGCGGGGTGACTCGCTTGTGGGCGATCCGAATCATCCTGATTTATACATGTACACAAAAGATAGTAAATGTGATAGACAACCTCGATCTACTTTCTCGCCCTCCCCCTGGTCGCCTTCTTGACCTTGGGCTGCTTCCTCCTCCTCTCTGCACACGTAGGACAGATCCAGTTGCCTTCTGGCGTCTTGTCGAGACCGAGACACGCAATGTGATACTGCATTCCCATCAGCTCAATCCCATCACAATGCAAAAGACATACCCATTCAATCTCACAGTCATCGTCGTCACACCCAATCATCTCACCATAGCTGACCTGTTTACAAGTGCAGTAGACATTCGAGTCGACCTCGTCTCCAGCGCCACCGCCGTCCTCAAACATGTCTGCTACTTGCGCGTCCCGCCTGTCCTCATAGACATCCTCCTCTTCCTCATCGTCATTTTCATTGGCAGCAGCATTGGGCCTCTTTCCACCTCGACGAGACGGGCGCTTGACGTCGGTCTGACTCGGCAGCGTCGAAGCATACGCCAACGTCGGCGTCGCATTCGCGCTCCTGCTCCCCTCCCTACTCCCCACATCCAACCCCAGACCCTTGGAGTCTGTCGAAAAGGTCGGCTGCATGAGCGGGCCGCTCTTCTTGGTCGTACTGGGTCCATCGTCGTTGCCTGTACGAGACTCGGTGTCGGAGTTGACGTCTTCGGCTTCGCGTCGCGCACGGTTGGCGGCAGCGGCCAGTTGACGGGCTGTACGGGGTTCCACGGGCTTGCCGCCAAACCCGGAAGTAGACACCACCGATTCTGTAGGGGATACTGCTCGATTTCTAAACACACATTAGTTTGACCCCAGAGTAGGGTTCGAGATACGCACTGTTTTCTCCTCTTGACAACCTTTTTGGGCCCTCCGCCCGCACTACTGCTCTCATCGTCGTCCCTCGCCCCCAGCTGCTGCACCCGGCTCCTCTTCTTCTGCTTGGTCGGCGTATCACCCACGCGCGTCTCTGAAGGCCCTACATTACTACCGCTGTAGCCTTTCCCGCCGAACGGCGAATTGACAGCACGGGCGACGCGCCGGCCTGTGGGCGCAGGTGCGGGGAAGGGAAGAGTGAGCGCTTGCGAGTAGGGAGACGGCGGTGAGGGGTTGAGCAGTGTGGAAGATTTGAGCAGCGTGGAGATGTGTTTTTGGTGGTTCATGATCTGCCCACCGTATCAGAACCGTATGCAAGGATGGCATGGCAGGGGAAAAAAAAAACTTACACCATCACAAGCCCCAGCGGCGACCCGAATCTTGTCGTCCCCTCCCAGCTTGTACCTCGCCGCCTCCTCTGCAATCTCCTGCAGCAGCTCGAAACGCTTCTCAGATGCCACTGTGGGGTCCTGTATCCATCCTATCAGGGTATGCAGCTTCTTCTCCAGGCTGACTAGGGTGGCTGGAACGGAAAGGTCAGTCGGTTATGTCCCCATTGCGTCTCCATCCCATCAAGGCAGATGAACACTCACAGTACAGCACAGCACCAAGCTCGTTGAGGTCGCTATGGACCCTGGTGAGCTCGGGCGGGATCTGGTCGAGGGTATCGGCAATGTCCTGGATGACTAGCAGGTCTTGGCCGTGGTTGATGTGGGGCGGAGGAGAGGGGGAGGGGGCGTGGTGGGCTGCTGAGGCCTTGGGGGGCATGCTGGGGGCGGTATGGGGTGGCTGGGGGGGATGATGGGGCTGGGGGTGGTTGGATGGGAGTGATTGGGATCATAAAGCGCACAACTGCATCCGTCATGGTGCGTGTAGAGAAGGGTCCGGACAGCGGCGGAGAGCGGACATCGGAATGTCTCCGTCCGGACTGCATACTGAAGACGATATAGGAGCAGGATAATGCATGCATGGGTCTTGAGACAGTTTTTCGTGGGTAAGATATGAGAGGGGGATGATAAGAGTTGAGGATAGAGACAAGGACTTTATCCGAGGGAAGTCAATATTGCAGATATACAGCACAACCAATTACTGTAACCAACTACCTTAAAGGTGTCGTGTATACAATATGCATAACCATCCGGCCATATGAGCAACTTACTTCCTAGCTAGTATACACTATAAACCTTTCAGACCCAATGCAGATGTGGATCAAATGATTGGATCGTAAAACCTTCATCCTCGTCAGCTCGTTTCTCTGTAATGTAACGGGATGTAACCTACCAGCAGACGAGAGCGATGGATATATAGGCCATCATCATGACGAACCCTTCGAGATAGTTGGTACGACCATCAGAGATGGCAAAGTTGACCAAGATGATACTGATGACGAGAGTGATGCTATGAGACAGTCAGCAAACTGCCACGACAGTCTAGTATCAAACTTACGTCTCAAACGGATCAAAGAAGAGGAGCATCGGCTGGCCTATAGCCCAACCCAGTAGTACAAGGATAGGAAGCAAACAAAGCGACACCTGGATACTACTGCCAACGGCAATACTCAGGGCGAGATTGAGCTTGTCTCTCCAGCTGACAATGACCGCCGCGAAATGTTCGACAGAGTTACCGATGACTGGCAAGAGGATCAGACCGACAAATTCACGCGAGACGTTTCCAGTCTCCGTCAGGCCGTCGATAGAGTCCACCAACCACTCGGCAGTTACACCCGCCAACGCCGTCATAAACAACAGCATACCCATGGCGTACCAGAATTTAATCTTGGGCTGGACATGTACCGTGCCGTCGTCATCGACAAAGATGGAACTGTTGAAGACATGGATTGTCGTTCGATATCGATGTTGGGGTCGGGAGGAGGGTGGAGCGAGCCTGAATGGTTGGAAGGTGTGCGGACTGGGGTGATCGGGCTGAGGGGAGACACGGTAGCCTTTTCTTGCATCTCCCCCGTGACCGTTGCGTTAGCACTAGCGTCATGCTCAGAGTCAGCCTCGTGCCCGTCACCTTCTCCTCCGGACGTCTCTCTGTTTTCCTTCTTGCCGACAGAGAAGCGACGGAACTTTTTAAATCGGCGGTGAGATCTTCCGGAGCGGATAGACGAGCCGGAAGAGGAGGACGAACTGGAGGAGGAAGAGTCGACGATAGAGTCGACCCAGTGGGGACGGGGAAAAACGCGCTCGTGGTGGGGGACAGGTCCGGGGAGTGGGTGCTGGACCTTTTCAACAGGAACACGAAAGAGGTACGCGTGAGCTGGTGCTGTCAGTATACATGTTGACCGGTATAAGAGGAGACATACTGTAGAGTTGAAAGACCAAGAACATGGCATACACTGCCAACAAGATGAAACTTAAACCTCGCGACATCTTGAGCAAGTTTTCCAGTTCTTCACCTTCAGGCTGAGTACCGGAACGGGCATCAGAGACGACACTGGAGGTGGAGGGGTAGGCATAGTGGTATGCGGCGGGAAGGACGATTGCCATGAGCTGTGATATAGTCAGCCACAGTCAGATCGTAACGAGCCAACTCACAGAGATACCCAAAAGCGAGATGTGCATCTGCGCCCCGATGATGGCGTACAACTGCTCATGGAAGCGCAGACCACCAGCAAAATAACTCATACCGAGGACCAGCAGGACTGTACACGTTCAACGTCGGTCTGGTTCCAATTCGCGGCACTCACCATTACTGAGGATGGAGCCGATCATACTGGCTTGTACGATATCGATCTGTCCCTTGACGAGAGCCAATATGGCAATGATGAGCTCAACAGCATTACTAGTATAACGTCAGTCGCCATTGTAACAACTGCAGCAGACTTACCCAAAGGAGGCATTCAAAAGACCACCCCACGCTTCACCCACTCGGTGGGCGAGCTCCTCCGTAGCAAAACTCAAACCACCAGCAAGGGGCACGATGGTGAGCAAACTAGTCACAAAGATAGCGATTGGATTTTGGTGGGAAAAGTGAAGAGCCCAACTGATGGGTAGGATGATCGGGACCGCGACAAGGAGGGGCTGATACTTGATAGTGTTCTGCACATTGTCAGAGCGGAACTGGACGCAGACGATTGTACTCACAACAAAGCACTCTTTCCAGGTTGGCTCGATAAACTTTCGCTTGACCTTTTCCTGCTCCCCCTCGGGCGGGCCCATCTTGGGCGGGAGTGGAATTGAAATGTTTCTCAAAGGAGCAAGCCTGTTGCGAGTCAAGCCTGGCCCGGAAGCAGCCTGGGGGCGAAGGCCTGCGATGGCCGGCGCACTGTTTGATCGCATGGGACCCGTGGCGTCCCGAGACTCGATAGGCTCGGGCTCATTAATGATGATTGATGGCTTACGCCGGTGACCAGGTCGGGAGCGTGGCTTCAAGATAGTGCGCAACCCATGAGGCTGCTTGGTAGGCGCAGATACAATGTCAGGCTCTTGTTGCTGAACATCGCTGGTATCCAGGCTAGGGGCTGCTGCGGTGGAGTCGGGCTGGGTAGTGGTGGGCTGTGGATTATGACCCTCTATATCTGGTTCAGGCTCGGGATCGACGACAGAAGGGTGGACCATTGAACGATGTGTGTGATAGTGGTGGGAGTAGATGGGGAAGTGAGAGGGGGAAGAGCAGCCTGGGAAGAAAGGGGGCCATTATATATGCATGCGGCAGTGGTCATCAGAAGAGTGGCCAAGGAGTGCCAAGACAATCCGGTCACCGGCCCCTCCTTCCACGCAGCGGCGGGCATCTCCGACCGTGGCACCTTGTACCTGCCGTGCATTGTGTGTACTCGAGTACTCTGGGTACCGCACAAGCACAATACTGCCATGCATACTACTTACTGGACTGCATTCGTTGGGACTGCATTTGCCACTCGAGCCATCATGCAGTGCACCCCGTGACATCACCATCTTCTGACCGGAACCAAAGGCGTACACGTAACACCACGTGGATCACACGCGTCTGCTGTCGGGAGAGCGAGCAGCTCGACGTGTTTTGACAATTCCGTCAGTCACAGAAAGACAACGATCCCGTCAGCCCGTCCCGGTAGAAAGCCTCTACGATGGCGCCCCCAGCAACCATCACCTACTCTCTCCATCCGACCCCCACCACCCCCTCCCATGCCTCCCATATTCTGCGCTCGGCCATCGAAGGCATCCGAGCCCACTTGCCTCTTCGCAACCTTCACTGGAAGTCTTCCTCAAGAACTTCTCTTAGAACTATCCAGGAGGTTGATATCAACTTGATCGATTTGGGAGAGGCCAGCTCTATTCGGGACAATAATGGGAGCGTACTCGATGCGCCTCTAGTCAACCTATGCCTTGTCGTCTGCGAAGTGAGTCCAGCGGTAGTCCCTTGCCAGTACTAACTCTGTACAGGACGCCGACGTATACAAGAACCAGACTCGAAATTTTATCAGGGACTGGCTCTCGTTGCTAGCTGCTCGGCGGACACCTCACGCTCCTCTGATCGTTCTTGTCAATCCGCCGAATATCGCCGAGAAGACGGGCAAGAATGTCTGGGGAAAGGACAAGGGTGTGCTGGGAAAGCTCAAGGCCGACTTCAACATCGGTAAACGAGATAGATGTGTCCAGCTCAACCTACCCCCTCCTGGCACCAGCGACCCCGCGGCCTGGCCAGAGCTCATCAACAAGCTCAAGGAGAGCTTTGTGTCTGCTTTCGACTCTGCTATTCTGGAGCGTGAAGATGAAGTGAAGCGAGGTGAGGCTCAGCGAGTAGTTGTCGGTTGGAACTTTTGCACTTGGTTTCTGCTCAAGGTCAGTCTCTTCCCGTTTTCGCTGCATCGCATCTGACCATCCCACAGGAATCGCTGGCACAGTCGTTCGAATCAGTAAATCTGAACGAGGACTCTCTGATCATCTACGAAGAGCTCGAAGCGGCATTCATCCAGATAGTAAGAGAACAAAACCTCTCGTGGTTTGGCAGACTAGGTGCGACTGGCTCCAAAGACGACTCTCTGCCTATATTAGACACCCAGGTCAAACCCTACCGCGATCTGCTACGGAGCAGCTCCATCAGCATCTTCGACTTTAGAGTCTATCTATTTGCAAGGCAAGGGATCCTGCTAGGAAAGCTTGGACGGATAACAGAGGTTGCCAAGCGGGGTCAGTGGTTTGTGGCCAGTCTGGCCAAACGTCTCCGGGAGAACGAGGTGAGCTTGCATAACCTACAAGTGAATAATGCTGACATTCTCAGGCCGACTTGGCAAACCATTTTATCGAATCATGGACTTATACGGCGTGCATGGACGTTGTTGAAAAGTGTGACCATTGGTCGTGTATAGATAGGCCCAACGGGGACTATTCGGGCTTGACGGCGTACGAGTCGGCCAGATCGGAACTCTTGGACATTGCTCGTATACAAGTGAGTCTCATCCCTAGTCATGCACATAGACCTACCAAGCACAGGTCGAGCGCCTTGGCGTTTCAGTCGGCCATCTTCCGAACGAATACCCCTTCCAACAACCCGCCCCCCCTCAGCAATCCAGATCCGGCGACGTTCTTTTCGAAGACCCCTCCGAAACATCCCAGCCCCCTTCCCCTGTCAAATCTAATCGCCCCGAACTGTCCAACCCCATCCTCCTGCCCGCTATCGCTTCCCAGGCCGATTTTATCCCGCTTTACCGTGACCTCACCATCCAGGCTATTGAGGCGTATGAAAAGTGCAATAAACGGGCTTCGGCTATACGGCCAAAGACAGACTTGGTGGCTGTATCACTACTGAACCAAGACTTTGAAGAGACATACGACTTGTCCAGGGCGCTGGCAAAGGAGTGTGTAGACTTGCGGGTGTGGGATCCGGTACTGCGCTACGCGCTTAGGTCGGCTCTCAAAGCGCATGATCATCTGGGCAAGGCGAGAGATAGGAGCTGGGGGGACTTGGCGGTGGCTTATATGAGGGTGTGTTCGGGAGAAAAGGAGGGGACGGAAGAGTTGAGGGTAGTTGTGGATGGTCTGCAGAAATCGCAAGCGTCTTGGGATGGTGAGGCGTCATTTGACTCTGTATGGGCCATGGCTGATGTCTGTAGTTGAGGGGCACAAGGCGTTCTCTTTGCGGGTCAAAGGCGATGAGACGACTCTGGATGGCGACGAGATAACCCTAGATGCGGATGTGACTAATTCACTGGACATGGTACGTCCCGGATCCCATTGTCCAGTCTTCGTTGACATCCCCTCCAGTCCATAGAGATCACCGAGATCTCTATCGACCTAGTCAACGCAGCAGGGGAAAGCATATCGTTTTCGGTGGAGGGTTATGTACTTGAGCCAGGAGTGAACCATATCCGACTCACTTCTTCTGTGAGTTCGTTTCTCCCCCACAACCCAAAGCTGACGGGGAGCAGACCTCGACGCAGGGTATTTACATACTCCAGAGCGCAACCATCACCCTCGGCCAAGTAAATTTTGTCTACTATAAGGCTGTCGAAGGCTCGACCTTCAAAGTCAGGAGGGATGAAACGGGGGTCTCAGCCAGACTACGGATGCCACATGACAGTAAGTGTTGACTGCATTTTCCAGGGACAAGTACGGGGCTGACAATTGTGTACAGTCAAACTGGATAGCGATTCGATGGTTGTACTCGAGATAACGAGCGGCAAGTCGGATCTGCAGGAAGTGTTGTTGAGCCTGCGATCGTTGAATGGAGAAATCCGGTATATGTTGGGAGCTGCCACGAGAGAGGGCAAAAGTAAGCCATTGGAACCCTCGTGTGTGTCTTCAACTGACTTGTAACTCTTAGAGCTAGATCTGAACGACCAGGGCGAGATCGTTGTTGGCGCGATAGCGATTGAGGAGGTTGTGGAGATTATAATTCCCTATAGCGGTGTTCCCCAAGGAGATTCTGCCCAGGCGTATATCGCCTTGGAGTATGAGGCCAACGGAAAGCTGCGCGAATGGGTAGACACCCAAAAGGTCAATATGAGCTTGCCATTGACTGTCAACGTTCAAGACTTTTTCCGTCCACAATTGCAAGTGCCCACTCTGGTTCAGTCTGTTAGAAAATGGTGCTGATGGCAAGCCAGCCTTCTCTCACATTTTACGATCTCCTCAGAAGAGACGGATTCGCTTAGGGTGCAGTCTGTCGAGCTGAAGGCGTCTGAGGAAAGTGAATACGCAGTTGAAGCATGTAGGAAGGAATGGAACGAGACAATCGTATGTGACTCACGAAAAGCGTCTATCGCAGACTGACGCCTCTCAAGGTCGTCAATCCTGGACAGCCGCTGTCCTGTTTATTCAAGATACGGCGGAAAGAGTCGGGCGACCCATCAGTCGCTCTCAGGATGGTCATCAAGTATCGAAACATAGAGCAAGGTGGGTCATTCTTACAATTGGTCAAAGACAGCGACTAAGACGATTCTAACAGAAATACGCCACTCTGTCGCCGCTGCCATTCGGACTCTTCCTCCTGTGTCTCGTGCACCCGTCGGACGCAAGATTCGGCCACTCCTTTCGGTCAGCTCAAATTGGAAGGCGTATCTTGTGGGTGAGCCGTTGAGTCAACTTCTACGACCAGCCCTTGAAGACGACATACCGGACGTGGAATCGTTCTGCAGAGTAGGTCTGACTGGGTAGAGATGATAGCGTTGGTACTCACTCTTGATATAGGCTTTGGACGCAGTTGAACAACCTGTCTGGCGAAGCCTGGAGATACCGGTGGATGTGCCTCAACGAAGGGTAAGCGACATACGGTGCATAATAGCACTCACTGATCGATGCTTCAGCTTCTCACATCTATCCGAATCACTCCCCGCTCCACCTCCGGCCGAGGTCTGATCTATCAAGGCCAGCCTCTTGCCATGGTCATCAGCCTCTCGACTTCTCCTCTTTGGATGGGCCTGCCCACGCTTTTGTCTGATGAAGAGAAGAATCAGAAGCTCGTATTCGACGTGCAGGTCAATGCGGACGATTGGCTGGTATTGGGCAAGAAGAAGGGGTGCTATACGGCGGATGTAAGTGGTGATACGTATCCAGGGATGTTTGCTGATACCCTTGAAAGCCTGGCAAGGACGAAGAGCAAGAAGTAATGCTTCTGCCACTCCGTTCTGGTACATTGTTCCTGCCCACCGTCTCTGTGCAGCCACTCGACAACTTGACCCCTCCAGACGCATCTGACAAGAGTCAGGCCCGCAGCCAGGTACTTTGCGAGTCGTTTGTCGAGAACGCGGCCGAAGTGGTGAGGGTTCTATCAGCACAGAAGGAGGTGACCGCTCTAGTACCTGCTGCACTTCCTGCAGGTATACCAGCGAGAGATTGGGAAGACGATCATCTGTGAGACTGGCCTACTGGAGGTTGAGTGACGTACACAGTGACGTGCGTGAGGATCTTGATGCCGGTAAAGGTGTCCACCGACAGCGTGTACGATCCGCGTGCGTGGTACCAGCAGAAATGCATGCATCTACATTACGCAAGCTGACCGAATGCCACTCCGAATGGCAACCGCGCTCTGTCCGCGCCAATCTGTAAATGGAACCAAACACCGCGCCTCCGCCAATTGCGAATCGACCCGAGTTCCGAAATGTCCCGAGCGTTATTGGTGGTTGCGGATGGCATTTGGTTTCTTGCGTGCATCGCTGGTGCTTGGCCCTCCTAATCTGCACCAGCGGCACCCCGGGCCGCACACCGGCGTTTGAACACCCACAATCACTGAACGCTTCCTTTATGATATCCGCTGAGGGACCCTGGCCGGTCGCCGGCCATGCGAGTACATAAGTTGCTGTCTCTTCCCATGTCGCCTCCATACCCAACTACTTGCCAATCCATCTACCATGTCTACCTTAACAATACGCACCATCATGGCTCGACCCATGCTCAGCACCTCCCGCATCATGTGTGCTCGCTCGTTCACTTCGACCCGAACCCTTTCGCAGGCCACTCAGCTCAGACACAACAGTCTCTCACTCCAGCCCAGAGCCAGAGAAGCGGACGAGCGACGACACGAGACTACTGTCGGATCCGAAGGCAAAGGCGTCGAAGGCCCACACCCCAAAGGCAAGTGCTTCGAGTCTCGTTTCGAGCCTCGCTGATTCTCGATAGATCAAACATCTGTCAATGCGTTGAGTGATGCGACCGGTCCTTGGACTTTGTTCAACCCCATCTACACGGACAAGGTACGCCAACCTCTTCATCCATGTACATACCTCTCTAATGCACCATCAGGAACTCAACACCGTCCAAGTCATCGAACGCACACCCGTCACCGCTGGCGATAAGGTTGCCAAAGGCATCGTCAAGTCCCTACGCCGAGTATTTGATGTCATCACTCGCTACACCCCTTACGAAGTCCCAGAATCCGTTCTGAAACAGAACCCCATCCCCATTGCGCAGCTACGCGCGGACGGCAAGCTGCTTTCCGACCATAAGTGGCTCTTCCGTATCATTCTTCTCGAGTCTGTCGCTGGTGTCCCAGGGATGGTTGGGGGCACGTTGAGGCACTTGAGGAGTATGCGACTTCTGAAGAGGGACGGTGGCTGGATCCACACTCTATTGGAAGAAGCAGAGAACGAGAGGATGCACCTTCTGTGAGATTCAGACTTCACTATCTGACCTTGACTAACTCCATATCAGCACGTTCATGACTATAGCCCAGCCCAATTGGTTCACCCGAGCCCTTGTCCTTGCCGCCCAGGGCGTATTCTACAACGCATTCTTCCTCACCTACCTCTTCTCCCCCAAAGTCGCCCACCGTTTTGTTGCCGCCTTGGAAGAAGAAGCTGTCCGCACCTACACCCACTGCGTCAAAGATATGGAGTCTGGCCTCATTCCCGAGTGGCAAGACAAGCCTGCTCCTCGTATCGCCATCGATTACTGGAGGCTACCAAGTGATGCCAAGCTGATTGATGTCATCAAGGCCGTCAGAGCGGATGAGGCTACGCATAGGTTTGTCAACCATTCGTTGGCGAATCTCGACCAGAAGAGGGATTTCAACCCGTTCGCTTTGGCTGAGGCGAGCCCAGAGGACCGTGGCCTCAAATGGGGGTGCGTCAATGTGAAGTGATGGATGTCAACTGCTAACGTTCTTCAAGCTATACTCGAGAAGAGTCGGCGCTCTTTGCTCAGCGACAGCAACAGAAGCTGATTGAAGAGTCTACACAACAGACCCACTGATTGAGAGAGTATAATAGTTCAGTAGCTTCCGTGGCTGTTTCCTCGTCTATGTATGTACAGTATAAATTTGTCAGTATCCATAGTTGTGGTATACAAGATGTATCACACAGGTCGACCATCAGCCATCTGATTGCGAGACGACAGCAATGTCATGCCTTATTCCACCGCGCCTTCTCGCCATATCTCATTCACTACACCCCCATTACCTTCCATCCAGTCCGAAGGGTAAGAAGAGATTTTTGATGATGACGAGGAACAAGCGGCATAATAACAGCGCATTTCATCGCGGAGTACCCCATGTCGGGGTCTGACCGGTCCTCAGATCGCTGACGGACTACTCGGTCCGCCGCCGGCTTCTCAGCAATTTGCCTGCCCACTGTGATCATGTATGCACCATTGCATGCCAGTCGGGTACAGAAGAGCGATCCCATGGGTCACGAGAGTTTTATAATGTAGGCGTGGGGTGAAGCAGTAGATGAACCTCATGGGGCTGCAGAGTCGGGCAACCACTACCGCACAGGGGACGGAAGCTCGGCAACGCGGCCCAGCATCATTGTTAGTCTCGACACCGACGTCCAACTGTTCACATGATCCAAATACCTTCCAAGGTCCTTATATATACCTAGAAGCACCTAATACGTCCAGCCCAATGTCCACTTTTCGCCTACTCTCACTTGACCAACCACCGGCCACCACGAGACACTTGAAATGACGACCGAGAACTATCCCACTCCCCTCAACACTACCATCAGCAACCCCCGGCTTAAGCTTCTCAACTCTCTCCGGGCCGGATCCCCCTCTTTGGTGACTTTCCAACTCATCCCCAGTGTCCGACAAGCCCAGATTCTCGCTTCGACTGGTCTGGATGTCAGTTCCTCACGTCGGTTTGTATGACCCAAGCTGATAATATCACTACAGGGCATTATCATCGACTGCGAGCATGGGCACATCAGCGATGACCAGATGCACAACTCGGTCTCTGCCATCGCTGCCCTCGGCTGCAGCCCTATCATCCGCGTGCGAGGTCCTCAGCCAGATCTTCTAAAGCGTGCTCTGGATACCGGTGCCCAGTATGTTCTGCTCTCCGTCGGCCTTCTTCGTCTCTGACCCCGTGGCGTAGCGCTCTGATGGTACCCATGATCAGCACTGCCGAAGAGGCTGCCGAAGTTGTCAAGTTCTCCAAGTTCCCACCTCAAGGTCTTCGAGGACAAGGCTCACCCTTCCCCGGTATTGCTCACGGCTTGACCCTGCCTGAGTATATGAAGTCTGCCAACGAAACCATCTTGACGATCGTGCAAATCGAGACGAAGGAAGGTGTCAAGAATGTAGATGCTATTGCTGCTGTCCCCGGCGTTGGTAAGTTGATCCTCAGATTGTACAAGGTGGCATACTCATTCCAATTTCAGACTACGTCTTCATCGGCCCTAATGACCTGGCCATGTCGCTTCTCGGCTACACGCCCGCAAAGGGCGACGAACCAGTCTTTGTCGATGCGATTGAAAAGGTTGTAGCGGCGGCCAGGAAGCATGGAAAGTGGACCGGTCGACTGGTGAATGACGGTCCACAGGCAGCCGAGGCGTTGAAGAAGTATGACAAGTGAGCTCTTCTCCCCCTGTAGAGCGAATGTTCACTGAAAGGACCAAAGCATATGTATTGCTAACGATGCTAAGGCTATCGGTTTCTGGTTTGCAAACCAAATCGATGCCGTCAAGAACGCAAAGTAATGATCAGAAGCCAATTGAAGGATCCCTTCCTGTAAATGTAGCATGAGAATAAGAAGCATGAATTTGTAACATCGAGCTACGGTCCACGAGTCATTCGGCCGTACTATGTGCATCCATCTGGAGTAGTATGTATTCCACCGTCGTGACGACACCTGTTGTGGGAATGCCCCAATTTTCCCTGTTGACTCTACATGGTCATCATGGTCATGGCAATTGACGAAGCTCAGAGCACATGCCTTGAGAGCCCAAAATGACATTCACGGAGCCCGGAAGTCCCTATGCCACGCAATCGGTAAACCGGCCCAGAGCCGATGACCCATTCACTCAGAAAAGGTCTACCCTCTCCTTCTAAACGCCCTTCCTGCAGTCCCCATCATACTCTTCACTCCCACACCCCTCTTTTTGCCCCCAACCAGACCGCCAGGTAGCCACTCTTCCCTCTTCTTCACATTGATACCCTTGGCCCGCAGCTTGGCGTCCTTCTCGTGCAGTCGCCGGGACTTGTCCATCTTGCGTTGTTGCGAGGATGAAACGGCGGCCATGGGGTCGGCAGAAGATCGAGGGGCGACGGAGGCAAGGTAAGAAGAGACGGTTTGAGAGACTTGAGCGTCTAGGGAGATTTCTGGTGATCGCTGTGACTCGAGAAGCTCGACCGAGGGCTGAGGTTGCTTTCCTTCCAGCAGGTAAGGGGCAGCATCGTAAGGCAACAGCTCGTCCAATGTCCACTCTCCAAACCTCCCCTCCCTCCAGCTTTTGATGATCCAAGTCATCACGCTCTCGAAATCAGGCTCGCCTCCTTTCGACTTCATCGCTAGTCTGTCTGAGAGCACAGCGAGCAAGCTACGCAAGTCGTCTGTGGGCTGGGTTGAAGGGGAAAGGGGCAGCTGAGTGAGGTAGGAGGGTAGTTGAGGCTGCGATACGAGGCGGCGGTTCATTTTCCAGAGGAGATAGTCGGTCATACCATCTAGTTCAAAGAGGTCTTCTTTGATACCGGCTGCGCGGTCTTAGATTTTGTCTCAACTCGCAGATCGCAGAACTCACCAGTCAAACCAAGCTTGAGACCTTTCTCCTGCCCTTCCTCCCCTTTTCCAAGATAGGGCATCATCACTCCCGGCGTGTCAAACACATACACATCAGGCGCCTCAAAGATTTTCACCGTCCCGGTCAATTTCCTTGTCACGCCCGCCATGGCGCCTGTTCTGAACGCCTTTCCTTTCTTCACGCCCACTCGCCGAAGGGCGTTGAGGAGGGAAGATTTCCCGACGTTGGGCATTCCAAGGACGAGAATGTTATAGATGGGGATATACTCGGCGTTGGCACGGGCAGAGTCTGCGACACAAAGTCAGTACTGCACAGCGAGGAACCTGGTTTGACTTGCCGACGGCATGATACAAGACTTGTTTGACATCTGGATTTGACCGTGTATCGGCAAACATGATTTTCTGCTTTGAATGTTCTTGGAAGGCTTTCGTCAAAGGCTGAGACCTGTTAGTGTACTCATCACAGGCCAATGCTAATGCTCACACTTTCAAACCGCTTCTCGGCCAGATCTCTCTTGGTGTACACCACAAGCCTCTCCCTCTCCACCCCTTTTGACTTTCCTCTACTGATCCACTTTGACAGCACTCCATCAAAGGCGGTATTGATGCTCGTCAATGGCAGTCTGGCGTCTCTTGCCTCTATGACGAGATGAATGTCGTCCAAGAGCTGTGGCAGCTCGCGCAAGGAGCGGGCCATGTGGCCTGCGAACCAGGAGGGGGTTGTTGAAGAGAAAGGGAACTTGGGGCGAGGGAGGAATGCCATGCTGTACAATGTGGAACTTACTTGCCCTCGAGAGTTGCACCTCTTGAAAATGTCGATTCGATCTTTGATGCACCCACCGGATCACCGATGTGAGATTTTGCTTCCGTTTTCGTCTGCAACTTTTTCGCGACGCCCGACCCATCTCGTACATCTACCTCTTTCCACAATTCAATTTACAATGTCCCATCCAAACGCCACAGCATCCTCCTCAAAGCACAAGAAAGACAAGTCCCACAAAAAGGACAAGAAGGACAAGAAACACAAGCACAAGGAGGTCAAGAAGGAGGGCAAGCATGACAAGTCGCCCTTCGAACATAGTATCTCTCGGATGCGTATCAGTGTCCCACCTAAATTTGCGGGCGATGTCATGATGGGCGTTAGGGAGCAGCTGGATGGCATGGTCATGCGGTACGTCTTTCTATGCTGCAAAGCTGTGGCCTGTAGCTGATTGCTCGTAGCTATGTGCCGCAGATGGGCGGTGTCCTCCTTGCTCATTGGGAGCACAGCTTTGAGGACGAGACAGCCAAGATTGTGAACGAATGCCCTTTTGGAGTCGTCGAGGTTGAATTCCATTCCGTCTTGTGGGCGCCCAAAATCGGCCAGAAGCTTTGTAGGTGGCTCTCCAGTTGCTGATAGCAATGCTCATTCATTATCAGTCGGCGCGCACTCCCTATCATCACCCTCCCATCTCTCTCTCCTTTTCTCCAAGACTTTCAACGTCTCTATCCCTCTGCAACATATCCCTGCCGATCTGTACGAGTTCGAGCACACGGACGAAACTGCCCCGGAAGAAGACAGCGACAGCGAAGACGAGGTTGAGTATCTGGGAGGCCTAGGTAACCTTGCATCCGCAGTGGAGGAGGTCGGCAGGTGGAGAGAGAAGGCGAATGGAAAGGCGTTGGGCGGTGATATCAAGTTTACCGTCATTGGGTAAGTTGACTTATAAACTTCATGAATTTGGCTAATGGCGCGCAGTATGCAAGTCACCAACCAGATGCTGTCCTTGACAGGTTCTCTTCTGTCCGATCCTTTCAACCCTCCGGCCCTTCCCGAACCTGTGGCTGCCCCCGCCCACTCCCCATCGCCGTCTCCCTCTCCTGAACCCCAAGCCCGGCCACAGAAGAAGGCCCGCGTGATCAACAAAGCTCCCGGGCCCAAGGAAGAGGAGGTAGACACGACTGGTATGACTGCGCGTGAACTCAAGGCCCACAGGAAGGAGCAGGAGAAGAAGAAGAGGGATGCGAGGAAGGCGAGGAAGGGCGATGAGCAGGGAGAAGAGGATGAACAAACGGCTGGGACCAAGCGAAAGGCGGACGAGGACAATGCCGAGGGGAGAAAGAAGAAGAAGGGGGGCGAGTAGAGGCGAGTAGAGCTCTGCTGCATTGTATAATAGGCATGACAAGTATCAGACCCGCTCGACAACTCGCGGGCAAGTTTTTAGACTGATTACTAAATGCAAATTACTTGTGCACGAACTGTACGTACGTACCGCCGATAGCAGCAGGAAAGTACATGAAGTGAGTCTGGTGGAAAGATCAACAGTAAAGGCAACAGAGTTTGGGAGACGGGCGAGAAGGATGCATCTGATACAACAGACAAAGGCAGAGGCGACTACTCCAGGATTTCTTGATGGAGCCGGGGGATGGACTGCAGGCTCATGAGGAAAGGCGACGTTGGGCGTCGGCAGACGGGGGTGACGCGATACGGGGAAGAGAAGGTAGCGGAAGAAGAGAAAGTGGGCTCGCCATACGGGAAAAGGAGTGGGAAGTGTAGTGGAAATGTAAGGAATGCGTACAATATATAAGTAGTGCCGCTCATTTTGAAAGAGCGACTGTTCTCGTCCGCATAGAGGACTACTCCCACGCACAGAATATACCGGGCGATTCCTGGAAGTAGGGTCTCAGAAAGTTACCGGCTTCTGGTTGTAGAGAGCTTTCAGTGGGAGAGAGGGATTGATATGTGCCTCCGAGGCAGAGTGCATGAGCAGGGCAGATGAGGCGTTGCCGTCGTGGGCGATGTCGGCAGAATAGTAGAAGAGATCATGGTGGGAGTCATGAGTGACCCAGGAGAGGACAGTGAGGGGGTGGACAGTGGGTGGACAGAGAGAGGGTGGACAGAGAGAGGGTGGACAGAGAGAGGGTGGACAGAGAGAGGGTGGACAGAGAGAGGGTGGACAGAGAGAGGGTAGATTGTGAGAGGGAGAGTGTCTGGCGGTGGCTGGACGTTCGCCTGCCCAGTGAAGAGCACGACCTTTCTCGCAATCGCCCTGCGGATGAGACCGAAGGGCTAGAGGAGTGTTGGTAGTGGGTGTTTCTGGAGGACGTCCGTCTTTGTTGATCTTCGTGCGTGGTGCGTCGTGGGGCTTGGTAGTCAAAAGGGGTTTTGATCGGGCAGATTTCGGCGATTTTGAAGGAAGAGGAAGGACGCTCGGGGGACCGAGGGACAACTGGAGAACGTCGCGACGAGGTAGGCGCGTCTCAAGCCCCTCGCTCCGACGACGCCTTGAGGCTCCCATCTTTCACATATGCATAGAGAAGAAGCAAATGCAAGATTCTGTCTCCTAGCATGTTGCAATACATGTCTTGGGACGTTCATAATCAGCCGTAAAGGTTGAGCTCGATCAACTTTGGGAGGCCTAATATGGATAGGTGCGTCACTACACGAGTGTAACAATTTCTTGTCTCGCCTATCTAGAAGAGGAGCTCATGGCTGAGAGGATATTAGGTTTTTTGAAGGTGGGTCTGGGCGAGAGGTGAAGGGAGGCAAGGGCTGGGGCGAGCGCTGGAAGGGAACGGAAGCAAACGCGGCAGTTCCTCCGACCCGATACCACTCTGGTGCGCGCCCCACCTGTCTTCGCATCTACTTACCTTTCACACTTCTATGCAGGCCACATTGAGCAACCAAACAAGTACCGTTGGAATCGTATAGTTCTTCTCTACAGATCTGCTGATACTATATGTGATCTACAGGCGAATATGCATGGGCGTTAATGACACAAAAAGCCAGTGAAAATCCGCGACCCAAAAATTTGGCGCGTTTTCCTCATTGCACATCCGAAACAATGCATGCACACCTAACGATATACCTAGAAGATAGAGGACCTTCTCAAGAATACCCTCGAGCTTTATGCATGCAGATCGATTGAGCCGTTGTGGAGAAATCGTCTTGAGAGTGCCGACCGAGCAATTTCTGTTTCGTTCCGCCCGCGTGTTTTGTTCCGCCCGCGTGCCCCGTTCAGTCTTCCGGTTCCCTGGCCCGGGTACCCTCTGCATGGCGTTCACCGCCCGGTCCTTAGACTAGACTCCGAGATCTTACATCTCGGCGCGACTTCTTGCTTTGCGCTGTCCTTGTGTCTTTCTCTCGAATACCCAACATGTCTCTTCGAGTTGTCTCTGGCCCTCAAGTTGACTCCATTCTCGAGACACTCTCGCCCCAACTGGCTCTTGCCTCCCAAGCCAGGGTCTTCCTCGGCTTTACCCGACAAGCCAATGAGGCTCCCAGCCAAGGCCCTGCCTCTATACAGACTCCACACAGAGTCACAGTTAACAATCCCGACTTCACCTTGCTCTTTATGCCTGCAAGAGCACCCGTGGGCAATTCAGAGCAGGAAACTACAGCCACGGCGTGCAAGATTGTGTCTGTGCCTTCAAGGGGTGGTCTAGATGGTCTACCGGCCAGCACCATTGTGATGGATGAAGTCACCGGCAAGGCTAGAGCCCTCATCAATGCTAGAAAGCTTACCGCTCTTCGGAATGCGTGTGGTATGTACATGCATGTGATATAGGTCAAGACATTCAGCTGACTTTCGCTCAGGCTCGGCCCTCTTCTTATCTCTGTACCCGACGCCCAAGAGTGATCATCTTCTCTTATTCGGTGCTGGGGCCCAATGCCTCGCCCATGCTCAACTGTTCCTCCGACTCCGTCCCTTCTCCCAGGTGACTTTCGTGGTCCGATCCATTAATAGCAGAGCCGAGTCAGTTGCCTCTGCTGTCAGATCCTCTTTCCCCTCTGTCACTGTCTCCTTGGCCGAGCACACTTCACCATCTGAAAAGCTGTCCGCTCTGGTATCCACCGCAGACGTGATTGTCACCGCCACACCATCTACTACTCCCCTCTTCACCTCGTCTCCGAGCTGTCCCAAGCCCGGAGCCAGAGTCGTCATGATTGGCTCGTACAAGCCAGAGATGCACGAGGTCGACAGTGATCTGATGAAGAGGGCCGGGGCGGTAATCGTGGACTCGAGGTCGGCCTGTCTACAAGAGGCTGGTGAGCTCATTGATGTGGGAGAAGGAGTAGCGGGGGGCAGGGGGTTGATCGAGCTTGGCGAGATTCTTGAGGAGAAGGACTGGCAAGCCGTTAGCGAACCAAGTGAGGAAGAGAAGGAGAATGTCATCATCTTCAAATCAGTGAGTGTCTCGACAGGAGTTGCAGATAATCGAGCTGACAAGTCGCAGGTCGGCTTGGGTATACAGGATGTGGCCATCACGTCATTGGTAGCAGACGAAGCTGAACGCCGGAACCTGGGGACTGTTGTAGAAGACTACGATTGAATAATGCACATTGAAATGTTCCACATCATATCCATAACAATCTTGATAGAGGTATCAATTTAATTTTACACGAGAACTATAGACCACAAAAAGAGACATAACCTTCTAGATCTAAGCACTAGTAATCATCTTCATCGTCGTCTTCTTCTTCATCGCTGTCTTCATCCATCGCAGCTTCTACCTGCTTCTTCGCCATTGATATCCTGATCTTCGGCGCGGTCGCCTTCTCACCGACAGACTTGAACATGGGAGTGCTGCTTCCACTGGGAGCAACCGAGGTGTCACCATAGGACGACCCTCCATTCTCGCCGCCCTGCGAAGCGAGGAACGATGGCACCTGCTCCTCCCACATCCTGTCGAAACCTTCTTGCATGTCCTCGGCGGCATTGTACACCCATGAACCCTCCTGGTTGTAGGTACGGGCGTTGTTCCACAAGAGGTGCAGATCATTGTAGAGGGACTGCAAGTTGTAGGATGGTTTGCCAATCTTGGCCTTGATCTGAGACATAGCGATGGGCTGGGCAATGATTTTGTAGTAGTCGGGATAGTCCTATATTTTGGGTTAGAGACTTAATGTACACGTGGTATGAGACGCACCTTTCGATTTACAGGGACGAGGAAAAATTGATTGAGATCCTCTCCCAACTCTGATTTCAGACTGTTGACGTCCGAGAACAACCTGGTCATCAATTGGACCTCAGCACTGTTGATCTTGTCGGTCTTTCTCTTCTTGCTAGGGACATCGTCTCCGGCGACCGAAGGGGTGACCGATGTACTAGGCCTCGCCCGCTTCTTTTTCCCACTAGAAGAAGCAGCAAGAGGAGGCTCGGCGTCTTCTCCCCTGAGAGCTGAAGCATCCAATGGTCGTCCATCAGCTTCTGCCCGTGCCAACATCTCATTCACCCTCTTCCTTTCCGCCTTCATATCGGACCTCTTCTTCTTCCTGTCCGAGGCGTCTTCAACATCGTCGTCCGAGTCTTCCAATGCCGCAAGGAACTGGTCATCTGTGAGACCGTCGTTGTATCGGACGTCAGTCTTGGTACGACGACCACGGCCTTGTTCGTCTTCATTGGCGACTTGTGCGGCCATCTCTTGACCGATGTCCCGGCGGTAGAACGGTGGCAGCTCAGACTCGGCCATAAGGGCAGGAGGAAGATCCTCGGTGTGACCAGACGCTCGCCAGGCAGCAAGCTTGCGTTCATTGCGCTCCTTGTCCATTTGGGCGAATATTTCGAGCTCGTGGTCGCCTCGAGCAAGCAGCTCATTGAGCTCGTCATCATCGAGCTCGTTGGTCTCATCTTGATCTTCCTCGTTGCTAGCCTCAAAAGCCTTTTGCAGCAGAGCTTCGTACTCGGCACCAGTGGTGACGTCGTCGAATTTACCGGCCTGGATGACCTTGCCATCAATCTCCAATTTCCTTTGAGCTCTGGCAAGTACAAGCTCTTCAACGGTGCCAGAGGAGATCAACCTCAAGACTCGGACTTCCTTCTTCTGACCGATACGATGGGCTCGATCTTGAGCTTGCAGATCCGCGTGGGGGTTCCAATCAGTGTCATAGATGATGACAGTGTCGGCAGATTGCAAATTCAAACCCAAACCACCGGCACGGGTGGAAAGAATGAATACTTGGTAAGGAGATTTGGGGTCGTTGAAAGTAGACAAGAGAGCCTGACGATCTTCGGCCTTTGTGGAACCGTCAAGTCGGCAGTATTTCCATCCTCGGTACTCGAAGAAGTCGGAGACAATGGTCATGATTTCAGTCATTTGGAAGAAGATGAGGACCTGTTTTATAGTTAGCAATGATGGCGGAGTCAAGAACCGTGACTCACTTTGTGGCCAGTCCCAAACAACTTTGGCAGTATTCGGTCCAACAGCTCAAACTTGCCCGCGACTCGGATGATTTGCTCATCCGTGCTTTGGCCGACACTGAAGTCTTCATCGACCTCTCGGAAGACATAGGGATGGTTGCAAATCTTTCGAAGCTGCATGAGAGCGTTCTGCAGATTCTGTCGTTTTTGAGGTTTACTGCAACTCGTCAGCCTCAGCCAGACATCTCGCCGAGTTCGGAACTCACGCAGCAGTCATATCGGTAGGCAATGTCTTGTATTTCTGCACACTTTCGTAGAGCTTCCACTGCAAGGAGCTCATCTTGGTGTAGAGAACCTTTTCAACCTTGTCCGGTAGCTCGCTCTCGACATCTTTCTTCAATCGTCGAAGCAAGAATGGACGCAGAACCTTGTGCAAACGCTTGATGACGAGCAAGGCCTCTTCTTCATTCATCTCCATCTTCTCACCACCCGTGTTGGCGAAGGGAGTGTTGAACCACTCATCGAAAGACTTGACGGAATTGAAAATCTTGGGAAGGACAAAGTTGAGCAAAGCCCACAGTTCAGGAAGATTGTTCTAGAAGGACGTCAGCTGTGATCTACCCGTGCAGAGTCAACCTACCTGGAGAGGTGTACCAGTCAAAATCAATCTGTACCTCGAGCTATAATGCTCATTCAAGGTTTGACTCAATTTACTCTTGACATTCTTCATTCGATGACCTTCGTCGATGATCATGTGGACCCACTTGATTCGACTCAGCAAAGGCTTCTCCTTGATGATGTATTCGTATGTAGTCAAACAGACTTGGAAGTCCATGGCTCGCAAACGAGGATATGCTTCTCGACGGACAGCGGGAGAGCCCTTGAGGATCAAAGTTCGAACAGCGGGAGCCCATCGCTCGAATTCAAGCGTCCAATTGGTGAGAGTCGAAAGTGGTACGATGACCAGGAATGGCCCAGGTTGCCTCTTCTTCTCGATGAGGTAAGTAATGAGGGAGATAGTTTGGATGGTTTTACCGAGACCCTATACCACAATGTCAGTTCACTGACCATCATATTATGAAGGAGGGACGTACCATTTCGTCCGCCAGGATACCGTTCAGACGATTGTTATACAGACTGATCATCCATTGCAGACCCTTGATCTGGTAGTCCTTCAAGGTACCACCCGTCAAAAGATCAGCCTGCTTGGTGACCTTCTCCTGAGTCCTGTGAGCGACAGCATAGTAATCCACCTTGCCCGCCCTCCTCTCCGCGCCCGCTTCTTCTCCATCCTGCCTCCTAGCACCAAACATTTCCTCGTTTGCAGGACCGTCTTCAACCTCGAATGGTTCGGAGATGATGGCGTCGCGATGCACATCGTCATTCTGCTGCTCGATAACAGCAGCAGCAAGGGTCTCGAGGTATTGGTCGGTCTGGTCCATGAGATGCGAGATACGAGAGTCTTTGGCTTCACCAAGCAACGCCAGATAGGCCTCTTCATCATCGTTTCGAAGAGCCTTGAGACGCTCCTTGGCAATCCTTTCGATTCTCTTTTGCTCTTCCCTTTCGGTATCAGCATGCAATTTGAGCATCGACCTGCCCAGCCTCTTCATCTTGTCCGAACCCTGGCCCCTGAGCGAGCCCACACCGGCACCAATGAGGTTCTGACCATGATCGCAGATAGAATGAATGTACGACATATGTCGCTGCTTGCCTCTCTGTTCACGTTCGGTCCTCTGGCGTCTTTCGGCGGTCTCGGTAGCCCGGGCGTCTCGCAGAGTGTGAGTGCGGAATCGACGGAACTGGGATCGGTCGGCAGGAACTTGTGTCGCACCGTGCATGGCTCGAACTGCGTCCTCTCGCAAGAGACGTTGCTTGCCAACCAGTCGAAGGCTCATAAGCTCAATACGAGCTTGTATGCCCAAATTGGAATTCGACTTTTCGGCCTCGGCGACGTTGGGGACATCCTGAGCACCAGCTGTACCTAATCCGGCAGTAGAGTCGAGATCTTCGAGCTCCTTCATCCTCCAGGCCATTCGAGTCTCAATATATCTGTTTCGCTCCTCCATCAGAAGATAGGGGTCGAGGCCACGAGGCATGATCGCCGGCGTGATGAGACGTTGACGTTTGTGGAGAGGGTTGGTGACTTCGTCGTCGAATCTACGCTTGGCATAGATAGAAGGGTCGACATAGGCATTGTAGGGGTAAATGATGGATGACTCGTCGTATTCCATGAGGTAAGGCTGCTCTTCCAGCTTGCCATCCTTCTCCTTTGCCTCCAGATTGTCCTCTACCACAGTCTCGACAACCTTGTCTACCACTTTGGCAGCGACGCCCTCTTGATCTTGAGGGACAGGAGGCTGTCCCGCGACACCAGGAGGGGGGTTGCCCTGGGCAGCAGAGAGCAGAAAGTCGGGGATGGGCTGACCCTTGGAGAGACTTTGGTAGGCGGCAGCTTGTGTACGGAGCTGAGCGATCTGGGAAGGGTTCATGGAGATGTGAGCCGAGTTGGGGGCACTGGCAGGGGTAGCAGGAGCTGGCGTGCCATCTTCGGTGGGCTTGTTGGCTGCAAGAGCGCGATCATGTCTAGGGAGACTTAGTATACGACCATGATATGTGTGTAAGACCTACTTGATTTGTTTGGCCCTAGCATACATATCGAGGATGGTGAGGAGCTTGCCCAGCTCTGACGAACTTTCTCTAGTCTGGCCAGCTGTCTGCAGCTCCGTCGCACGCTGAACAAGTGGGATTAGCATTCATCATGAAGCGCATGGATGCACGCACTTTGCGAATATTGTTCAAGCGGGTGACATCCATGTTCTCAAACATCTCGAGGGTCCTCTCATCGTCGAGAGAGATGGCGCCAGGCTTGGGAGGCTGCGGTGGCTGGCTGACGACAGCATCTTGATTCTGATCTTGCATGACGCCTAATTAGCGAAGACGCGTCGCGTCGACAGTGGTCGCACAAGAGGCGGGGAGAATAGGGGAGTGAGTGGCGGGGGCGGGGGGAGGGGGCAGGGGACCGGGGGGCGATGTCGGTCCTGATATAAGGGATGGCCGTGTTGAGTGACGAGGTGGAGGCAGATGTGGCAGGCGACTTCCGTGCTCTGTCGGTTCGTGTTTGACGTCTCCGCATGCCGGATGGACAAAAGGAGCGAGTCTTAATTATTCGGCCTTCTGCGGCGTTATCCGCGTGGCAGTTCTACCACCCCTTGCACTATGCATCTGCATCAGACGCATGCATACAGAATATTCAGTCTGCAGATGCTTGCAAACTTCCATGCATGAAGTAGACCCCACAGCTCAGCTCAGGTATGGCGGCGATTGAGTATCGCCTTCTACTGCAACCGGCAAAAAGGCCCCGTTCGGGCCCCCCACGCAGTACCTGGCAAACCGGACGCTTAAAGTGGACCACTATTAGCCAGAGGCCAGCTGCAGTGGTAACGTCATTACAAGGCGGCTTTCTTCAACACAACCGTCTTCCATCAATCACAACATCCTTGGCTATTCATTCTCAGACGGGCAGGATGTGTACAGTTTGATGATGAGAATACAATACGCACTTGCTGTAGGTGGATCATCTTGAGCAGTCTTTCCGCCTGCTGTGTGCCCAATATCTTAACATGTACTTTGCAGTCCGATAAGCTTGTAAAAGCTGTATGCAAGTCATTAAATCGTGTTATGCATACAATAAATGTCGACAATGCCGTTGCTTTTTAGCAGTCTACTGAGACTGTACAGATACAGTACTCGTAAAGTATGGATTTTGCCGGGTACACAGCAGTGACCCGTTATATAACAACAAGACAGGAAGGATCTCAAAGGAGGGGGATGGGGAAGGGGGAGGGGGTAGGGAGGGAGGCAAGAGCTGATAGAAAATAGTCCGATCAGCTCTGGAGAAGCTGACCAACTTTCTCAAAGAGCTGCTTGTGCGTATCGTCGTCGGTTCTGATCGTGTGTTTTGGGATTGTCTGGCCGCTGACAACTTGTCGTCTCGCGGCAGCCACTATATCTGCCACCTCGTGCTTTTCCCTCCCGCTTGCCTTGCCCTGAGGGATGATATACGCCTCGTACACATATTCGACCACGTCGTCATCTGATCAAATATCAGTGACCCATTCTGAACCCGAGCTCATTTGCAGAGAGCACTTGCCGCTGATTATTGATCCCTTGGTGAGATGTGCCGATTGACAACTCCGGTCTGCACACTTGCCCCCTCCAGCTTCAGCCCGGCATAAAGTAACACTGCCTGCCTGTGAGCGGTTAGTGAGGATGATCGAATCGAGGAGGACCCGGTTAATCTGGACGAAGGGATTTGGGGCAGGGGTATGGGGAGAGGGTTGGAGGGAAATGGCACTCGGCAGCTGGGGATAGTGGCTAAGAATGGGGTGGTACGCCTGGAAATTCTGGGAATGTCAACTTTGTAGCTGATTCGAACGACGCACCTTTGGTTTGTGGGAAGTAGAGGGTTGAGTAGACGGTTGGGAGGGCTGAGTCGCATCCTGTACATCGTCAATCGAACGGAGACGCACCAAAGGCGATATGCAAACCTTTGCTTGACCGACCACGACTGACAGATGGTTGTTTGATCTCGTCAATACTGTCCGTAGCTGGAACACACACCTTCTTCATCCACCTGGATGTCGTCTTGCAAAGGCGTTAGACCCATCTTGAGTAAAGCCCGGTCACATACCGTCTGCAATGATTGGCTCTTCCGCAGATTTTAGGGCGTTGGCAGACATGATTTCCTTGGCCTGCTCTTCTTTTTGAGCTTCCACTTGGGCCAATTCTACGGTCAACTGTTTGATATCGGCTGGTGTTGATGCTGTTGATATATTGTTAACAAGTCTGATCTGGATAACGCATATGACACTCACATCTTGCCCGAGTGTCTTCTGGGACTGAGAGAGCAGCCGCGCCCGCTGAAGCCAGCTTGTCAATACCGACACTTTTTTCACTTGCCTCCGCGGTCTCTGTCAAGTTTTGGACAACTCCGGCACCTAGCGCCGGTGTCGCATTCCCAGTGGTCGGAGAAGCCGCTCCGCTCGTGCCCCCTGCCAATTTCCGACGCTTCTTCATCGCAATCTCTGCTTTCAGCCTCAGGATATTCTCATTGAGCCTCTTTTGCTTCTCTTCCGCCTCCCTCTGCCGCTCCTCTTCCCTCTTTTGCAATTCTTCCATCTCGTCGTCAGAATCGGAATCAGAATCGTCGTCCACATGGAGCAACAAAAGGTTCGGGTTGAGGGGAAGACCGAACAGTCGACGGGGCGCTGTTGTACGGCGGGCAGGCGGGGCAGAATGAGGTCGTACGTCCATAAGGTCTTCGGCGTGAGGTCGTTTGATCCCTCTGCGCGCAGCTGTAGGAGCCCCAGGGATATGTTCTGCGGGCGTCACACTTTCACTCATAGCAATGACCGGTAGCACCGGCGGCGGCGCAGCGATTTCCCCTTCCTCGGGCTCTTCCAGCTCCATATCCATACTTTCCGACCCATTCATCTTCTCATGTACATTGCCCGGTACGTCAGGAGGAGCACCCGCAGAGCCCTGCCCAGAGATGTAGGCGTTGAAGAATTCTTTTTCCAAGGCCGCGGCTTGTTCGTACGCTTCCGCTTCGCGGCTTTGACTTTGGCTCCGAGAACTATCCACCGCCGGCCGCACAGTATCCACCTCTACCTCCGACTGGGCTGAAGCCGGCTTCTTCCTTCGCATACTCTCCAAAGCCATTCTTTTCCTCGCATGCAGTGCAGCAGCACTTGCATCAGGCGGTGGGTGGTCGGGGGGAGGGGGAGGAGCTCCAGGTGGCTCGACAGGACGAATATCTGGTCCAAGCGTGGCCGGGCGATAAGGATGAAGATGGGGCGGCATGTCAGGGTTGAATGACGAGACTGGGTAATCGTGGATGGGATAAGCAGGGTAAGCTCCGGGTCGCGGAGGCAGTTGCCCCGCCATCATCGCAGCATGGAAACGAAGATTATGCTCGTACAGGTTCTGACCATGCAGAGCTATATCTTCGGGGGTCATGGACACGACAGCGCCCGTCGCTCTTTGAGTGACCGGTGTTTCTTTCTTCTTGTTCGCCGCATTCGCAGCGGCCTTTTCCTTCTTGGTCTTTTTGTTCTTCTTCTTCTTCTTCGATGTTTGATTTGAGGCTGGAGAGACAGGCACGTTGGGTGAAGGTACAGTTGGTGGAAGGCTATCAGGCCGCGGGGGGAGGTTGCTTGAAGCATCAGGTATGGAGGTGTCAAGCTTGGACGAGCTCGCAGAAGGGACATCTGGTACAGAGACAGCTGGCGGCAGTATTTGTACAGGTGCTGGTGACGGTTGCTTCGGTCTGAAACTTTCCTGCGGGACCAACCTTGCGACAGGTTTCGCAGGAAGAGTAAGATCGAGCGTCTCCTTGAGCTGACTAGCTCCAAGAGATGATGGCTGGGGATGTGCCAGATGAGCAAGAGCCGGGGACGAGGCGGCGCTACTGGAAGCGACGTAGATAGGTCGCGACTCGGAGCCCTCGGCATGCAGAGCTTCTTCCTCAACGGCAAGGAATGCAGCTTTTTCAGCTGAGCCTTGCTCTACGGACTCAGCAGATTGCTTCGTGCGCTCGACAATCTCTTGGCAGACGACCATCACACTGTGTGCCGAAGCACCGCGCTCAATGAGCTGCTGTGGCGAGACACCGTCAAGAATGAGGCCTCGAATGAGACCCATGTAATCGGTGGTGTCCTCTGGGATTGCATCTGCAATAAGTCAGTTTGGTAGAGAGGAGGCGTGACGAGAGCGTACCAGAAGCTGCGGCTGTCGATGGTGGTTGTTCTGCAGACGAACTTGCCTCTTCGTCCGGGCTTTCTTCCTCCCCGGCGTCGACTCGAGCCTCCTCCTCGTTTGAGATTTGCAGGAACTCGTCTTGCTGGACTGCCTCAGCCATTGTCTGTGATTGCTCCGGCATATCGACAGGTGCAATATCCAGATCCATATCAGAGGACGCGGGCGGGATAGGGGGAGTAAGCGGATGGGTCATCAGCTCCCCAGCTGTGACCGCACCGGGAGATCTAGATAGTCGCTCTCGATATACCTCGACAGGATCATACATCTCGAGAGGCTCTTCCCTTTGAGGGATTGGCGGCGTACAAGGGCGCTCCTCCTCAACAGGAGGCGGGTCACTGGGAGACGGCGGCCTAGAGTCTAGCACACGACGAGGAGACGGCAAAGGTGGTGTTTCCACTTTCATGCCCTCGTCAAGCATCGGTGTGGGGGGTCTGGGAGAAGTTGACGGCAGCCAATCGGATTTTGGCGGGAGAGGGGGCGTCGCGGGTCCTGCGGTTGCTGGCATGGGCGGGGTCGGCGGAAATTCGGGAGAAGCGGGACGGGATACCTCGGTCTCTGGTGTTGATGGAATATGGGGAAGAGGCGGAGACGGAGGAGGCGAAGATGCCAGCGGCGACATCTGCTGTTGACTTGTACGTTTACGGGGCGATGATAGTCGCTCGAGCCGCTCCATCAATGAGACCCCGGCGTGGGAACGACTGGGGGCAGCTGATGCGTGAGGCTGAGTTCCACCAGAAGCCGAGAGGGACGAAGCCGCTGAGGGTTGACCAAGTCGTTGAGCCAAGTTCTTGCCTTCGTGACGCTCGACAAATTCCTGCCCGTCTTCTTCATCACTGATCTCTCCCTCTTCCCTGTCAATGTAGACTGGTTTGGTTTTGCCTATTCTATCGGCCAAGGGCAGTCTGGGCTTGGAGATCCGTTGACTGAGAGGCGCGTGAGGGGAAGTACCGGCAGATGGTAGTCTTGTATCGTTTCGCCGTCGCGAACTGTTGCGTGCAGCCTCTTTCAGGGTCAACAGGGACGTGTCTGTAGACAAAGTGAGCGGCCATTGCGTAGATTGACCACCGTCTCCTTGGACAGGGTGAGAGAGGGGGCCTGCTGTGGGGGGAGGGAAGGGATTCGTCTCCATTGTCGGGTGATCACTTGGAGGCCGAGGACCTGGGGTAGATTGTGCTGAGCCCATGAAAGGCACAGGGTGGGGCGTGGTGCGAAGAGGACTCGACCGTCGGGAGGATGACTGGGTCGCGGGGCGGTGCGATTTGATGTGGTGTGGTGGTGATATAAAGATGGAGAAGACTGACAGAGAACACCACAAAGCGGTTCAGCCTCGAATGGCTTGCGAATGGCCCGTGCGGCGAAAGTCGAAACTCTCCTCACAGAGACTTACATAAGCATCTGCCACATCATGATGATGATGAGGACTACTACTAGACTCTGCTCCTCTTATGCACCGCATCGAACAAGGGATGATGTTGATACTCTCGGCAGACGTATTGTATGTACATACATTGATCCAACATAGATAGTCTCATATATCCGTACCATATAACACTAAGATGCAATCCCATTCAGATCCTGTTCTAAACCCTTACTCATCCTTCTCCTCCGCCACGCCAACTCCCGTCCCCAGCCCACTTCTCGAGCTTGATCTCATACTGCTCAGCTTGTTCCCACTCAACGACCGTCTGTGGCCGCCTCCGAATGGTGACGGGCTGAGCTGCGCTCCCAAAAGACTATGAGGCCATCTTGGCGACCCTGGAAGCTCTCTATCACCTGTTCCTAACGAAGCTGACCCTGCCATGTGATGAACAGCAGCGTTGGAGTGGTGATGTCCCAAGCTCGGTCCAGCAGAGTGTGGCCCATTGCCCTTGTTGAGCTCACGGAAGAAGTCCGCTCGTGAAGGCACAGACATTGGTTCCAGTGCGCCCCCGTGCCCACTCGCATTTCTTGGAGTCGCCCGCATGACGGGCGTACCATCGATCAGCACCGTAGACGGTATTCTGGATCTGCCCCCCAGGGGGGTGAGCGAGAAGAGGGATGGTTGACCAAAGTTGAAGTCGAGATGACGGGAAGGGGTGGAAGTGACATCAAACGGAGTGTCGCTGATACGCGGGGTAGAATACCGGTCATGTACGACAGGCACAGGTGTAGATGGCGCAGCGTCTTCTTGGAAAGTCCACATGTCCCCTCCGAAAGACAACACCCTCGAGTGCTTTGGTCTTTGCGGAGAAGACCCAGGGTTCCTAGTGACAGGAGTTCGCGCAGCAGAGATGTTGCCAGAGTTGACAAACATTGGCGAAGGCGCCAGCGCGATATGGTCGATGTCGGATTTGACCGCAGAACTCCTTGGATCCCCGATGGACGAATAGCTCCTGGTAGGCGTGTGGGAGACGGGTGTTCGCAAGCCCGAGGCATTGGCCGTACAGCTCTGGCACCACCAATTCGGACCAACTTTCGCCACATCCTCAAACTCGTTGCAGATGAGATGATGCCATGTTCGGCAAGCTGCGCAAGAGATCATAGAGCCAAGCTCGTTGGGGGCTGTCGCGCCACAGACGCAGGCTACTACCCCAGCTGGGAGTATCGGTACAGGACGAGAGCGTAAAGAGCTCAAAAGCGCATCCCGGGCTGATGTCCGGTCCATACGTCTCTCCCGCTCGCGCATCTCCATGGGAAGCAGCCTTGAGATACTTTTACCCTTGCCCCTTCCCCAGTGGCCCGTCTGGCGAACAGCCCGGAAAAAGCGCGGATGCTCGTCCTCTTCCTCGCTCTCATCACTAGACGTCTCTAGATACCGCCGTAGCGTATGCACCTTGGCTCCCTCCTCCCTCCTGATCCTATCCTTCATCTTCCCGCCAGCAAGCGCCCATGGAGCTTCGTTATCGGGCCACATAGGCCTGACGAGGGGCCGAAATACTCGCGACTCGTCAGACTCTACTTCCCAGTCTTCCTTGCCATCGGCTTTGATCTCCTCGATAGCTGCTTCTGCAGAGCTCAGTTGGAGGAAGCTGAAAGCTGTAGACTTGCGAACAGCTACTCGACCAAACATCTCGATTCGTGTAGAGACGAGGGGCTGTTCATCGTGTGTCATTGCTTCGGTGAACGCTTGAAGCCGTTTGGAAAGCTGATTCGCCTCCCGCTCCAGTGCTGGTTCTGAGTTCTCCTCGGCTGTTTGTTCTTTTTCTTTGGGTGCTTGTTTACCAGGTGCCACCGGCGTCTGGAACGACATCCTCTTTGGGGAAGATGGCGGTGTCATTTGGTTGTTCGGGTCCAACCACGTCAACTCTGTCTCCAGCACTTCCCTTGTGGCCAGTATCGCACGGCCTGATTCGTCGGTTTCCAGCACATCGATGGTAGTCATACGAGGGGATAAAGGCGGGTCTTCGGGGGTTTTGGAGTCTTCGAGCTCGCCTCGGGCGATACCTAGAAGACCGAGTTTTCGGCCTTCTGTCTCGTGACGGGTGATGACCAATGGGCGGTGCTCAGGCTCCCCTGTCGCTGCACCTTCTGGTTGCGGTCTGGGGACACTTCCATTGGCGAGGTCCTCTGGTATCTCGTTGATAGGGATCATATCTTGCGCCCCTGAGTGCCCCGAGGGCCCGGGGTAGGCTGCCGGGGATATATACCGCTCCTGTTCAGGCCCGCCTACTCTCAATCTCTTTGCGGACCCCAAGGTCTCCTCCGATCGTACCCTTTTTGGTGTGGCCCTTCCCATCCCACCACTTCCTCTCATTGGCTGCTTTCCCCTCTTTTTTTGGGACATCGTAGAGATGGCTTCTCCATGCGCCGAGTTGTAAGGCCTCTCTAATGCAGATGTGCTCAGCAATCCGTGTCCGCCCGTGTAATAGCCTGGGTACTGCAGGTGCCCAGAACCTTCAGCATATGTAGGCGAGCGGCCGTGGGCTTGCCACTGGACAGGGTTGGGTTCAAAGCCCTCATGCGGTGAAGGGTAGTAGCTTTGAGATTGCGATAGAGGGGAAGCGAGATGGCGATGATGCGGGACGTGGGGGAATGGAGAGCCCGATATGGATGGATAGGCAAGGTGGGAAGTCGAGTGGGGAGTGTTGATGAATAATGTCGGGCCTTGTGGTGTGGGCGAGCCATGAGGAGACGTCCGGTAAGGAGAACCGCCTATGTCCATGCTGCTAGACATCAGTATACGATCATGCCCCGTTTCGTGGAGCAACGTACTTGTCTTTGTCCCGCCGCAGCGATCCACCAAAGCTTCCGAGTCTGGGAGTCCAGTCCGTCATTAATTCTTGAGTTGTCGAATTGGGCATTGCTAGGTGAAGAGGAGTATCTATAATGACTGGTCCTGCCATAGCAGGTCTCGAATATACGAGGAGAGGCGGAGAGGATCAAGCTGGCTGATATCAGTGAGGAGGTTCTCGGGATGCGGGAGGAACCTAGCGGGGACGACATACGAGGTTGATCTAAGACTAGCTCAGACGTAGCTGTTACTACCAGTCAATGGTAATGCTATCTTGTAGGGTGGGTGATGTTGATGAGGCCGTCAGGGCAAGGATTTGATTGACGGTACGATGACAGGGTGGGAAGTGAGATCTACGGTGCCGTCAACGATCGATCCCAGACAAGTTTTACAGCAGCCAGCATTGACTTTCTGGTCCTTGACCCAGCCATGGAGAGCAGAGGTGCAGCCATGGGCAGATGGATGGCTGAACAGAGGGCGATGTAGGAAATAAGAGATCGTACGCACCGATTGCCGACTGCGGTCGGGAAGCCAGCGTCCAGAGTCTTCTATGCAGTGATGCCGCTCTTTTCTGAGGGGAGGGAGGAGAGGGGCGAAGGGGAGGACGTCAACACTGCAGAGATGCCATGCAGTGGAAAGAATGGGAGTGGTGAAAGAAGAGGGGTATGGGAGGAAGAAGTAAGGTTGGGATGCCAGGGAAAAGACAGGGGCTGGTCGGTGGAGGCTAGTTTCTGTCGCAATTTCTGTAATGGGCTAGTCTGGATTTCTATGGATTGCAACTCGAGAATGTCCATCTGTTCGTGTACTCTCTCAAGTGGCCAGCATCAGAATATGAGCACAGCAATCACGCTGTCACATGCATACGCAAAGAAGTGGGACACGGCCGTCACTCACCTCTTCCTTGATCTGCTCCTGAGAGTTCTTTCATTCGATTTTCCCCGAGTTTTTCTAATTACGCCACGTGCGACGTGCATATGAATCGCCGGTGTATGGATGGTCATTCCCCTGCATGGATCCCCTGTCCCCCGTGGATATCTCTTACCGAGAGAGAGACAGAGGCGGCTGCAGGAGCACAGCGTACAGGTTGAAAGAGGCCAAAAAGGACAATGGCGTTCCGTTGACACACACACAGAGAGAATGCACACCAGGTGGCGTACCACACATATACATACCCTGGAGCAATCCTGGAGTATAAAATCCCGACGGAGCTGAAGCCCCAATAGAAGTTGTAGTTGCATATGATGTTGAGGAAAAGATGGTGGGACGTAAGCGGGACGCGTGGTTGAGCTACAGCGGGAGGTGTAGTCGAGCACTTTTCCACCGCGTACACCGCCTGATGAACCCAGCGACGTTCGTGAGTATACTTGACTTTGCGAGAAGAGGAGGGGGCTATGCCTAGCTCCATTCCCGCCTTGGAATGGGAGCAATAGGGGCCGGATTACACGGACTGGAGGTGGGGCTGAGGGACGAGGGTACGTATCAGTATCTTTTTACGTTGGCGTCCAACTCAACCTGCCATTTCTTCCGAGCCAATCACCGCCCATCATCGGGACGCAAGGCGGCGCGCGCCGCGCTCGAGAAGGGGTGGTGCGGTGGTGGTGTTCGAGGAAGAGGAAGATGTAGGGTGGTGTTTGGGTCACCGATCGATACCCAACGAGATTCCCATGCAGATAGCTGGAGCGGATGAGACTTTGTTATTCAGAAACTCGACTCACCTACAGATATAACAGGCCACCATCATGGCGACATCTTCCGTCAGCCAACCATGAGGAAGACTTGGACTTTTGTCGATTCGGACTCCCTTAAAAGCACGGAGACCATCAGCAAGGGAATTCAAGATCGTTGGATGTTGAGGTCGAACCGTCGCCAGCGGGTGCTCATCAAGCCCGATGCTGATATCGTCGCTTCGTCCCACATGTGGCTCGAGACTGACGGAGTGGTCCAAGAACGACCTTCTGACCTGTAGGATTCGGATATGATTCAATTTTCCGTGAGGACTTGAAGTTTACATTGAGAGAGGTGGTGGGTGGAAGGGTGTAGCGGGATGCAGAAGAAGCTGTCGTAGAGGGTCTGTTGACTTCTGGTTGACTTTCGTGGTCGATCTTATCGTCGATTCAGCGCACGCGCGCGTATCTCAGTTACGTAACATCATGCCTCCACCGCTGACGCGTCTAGATGATCGCCAGCAGGCTGCAGCAGCAGTATGAGCGGTGGTCTTCTTGTCAAGTTGATTCCAGGCAACCAGCAACATGTCCGGCTTTAGTGTGCACAAAGCGGCCTTGGAAGGTGAGATTGGTTCTCGAAGCACCCCACCATTCGCTCTCGGAAAGCTCGATCACTCTCAGATCACTCTCTAGCTGCTCGCTGGGGCGCTCATTCATGTGGTAATGCTTGCGCGAGGCTTACTCCATATAGGTCAAATTGGTCTTGCCAGATCACTACTCAATGATGACCCAAAACTCATCAATGTCAAGGACGAGGTATGTGAATTTTGGCGACCAAGTAAAAGACTGAGCTGATCTCTGGACTGCTCGCTCCTGCTACCATATCGATTCCATTACATCGCCCAATACTCGTCGGTGGTAACCACGTAGGACGGCAGAACTCCTCTTCAATGGGCGGCTACCACTTCAAGTCTCTCAATGCTTCAGCTCTTGCTGAATTATAACCCGGATCTGGAAGCGAGAGATACCATGGGCTGGACTGCTTTGATGATTGCGTGTCAGTAGTGTTTGACGATGCTCAATCGGGTGCAGTTACTGACGATAGCATCATTTTAGCTGCATCGGGACATATTGAGATCGTCAAGGAGCTTCTGGACGCTGGGGCCAAGGTTGATTCTAGCAACGAGAAAGGACAGACGTCGTTGTGAGTACTTGATATTCATGAGCTCATCAGTGTTCTTACTGACCTTTATCGCAGACATTATGCCGCTTCCAAGGGGAACGTTCCAGTGAGTGATAGCAACGCTTGCCTTTCTATATGCTGAAGGTATATATAGGTTGGACGGCTGCTCATACGAAACGGTGCCGACGTGAGTCTTGCCCTACGACCTGATCTTCAGCAGACGAAACTGACTCTGCATCTTCTCAGATCAACGCCCGAGACCGAGCGAATCAACATCCTCTTCATCGCGCTGCTGCAACTGGCAACAACGCCTTCCTTATTCTTTTGCTCGACCCGCCAGAGGGAAGGGCCAAGACCAGGCTGAACACCGCTGACCGTGCTGGTGAGCACCTCTTTTAGATCAGACTATGCATGAAGGGGAACACGCGAGCTAATGTTCGGTCGGGGTGTTAGGAAACACGCCGCTGCATCTGGCCCTGGAGAGCGGACACGGAGATGCGGCTGTGGTGCTCATAGAAGCTGGTGCTGATCGTGAAAGAGTGAGTGATCATCTTTGTACCGCGAATCGATTTACTGATCTTGGCGTGTAGTCTAATTCAGAAGGACAAGTGCCCGAAGAAATCGAAGGCGTTGGGGGTCAAGAACAGAAGAAGGTACTGCAATATCTGGTGTCGAAAGTCGGGGCGAGGAAGGGATGACGGAGATGATGTAGATGCATTATACGAGTACGTCCCAGAATACGCTGCTTCAAATGGCGACACTCCCAGTGCTGGGATTGAGATTTTGACGGTGTAATCCAGCAATCTGTGCGCCAACGCGAAGTATAATTATGATCGTGCATGTTCATGCTAGGCATTCGAATGCATATTTGTGCTCGTGCTTGTTATGCAGGAGCCAAAAAGCCGGATCTTGCTGTGGAAAAGCATCACGAGATCATGACGAGACCGCAGATGCCGGTGCGCTCGGCACGGGCAAGTCTGTACTTAGCCGGCGCGGGACCTTCATTTTGTCTCTCATATGAGCACCTGGTTATGGCTTGACCTGGTATCCATAGGCATAGCAGTCGTGTGCCCATCAGCTGACCCGCGGCATGAACTAGTATATATACATGGGGTTGTTTCGACTACTTATCGCTTGTCCCGCCGTAACCCCACCATGTCAGACGCTAAGCAAGACCTTGTGGACGCCTCCCTTCTCTCCTCTTCCCACCTAACACCCATCGACCACAAATCACACCCCCTCTCCTCTTGGCCGTCTATCAAGCCCAATCCCATCGGTCGCCTCTCCCTCTTGAACCCCTCTATCACAGTCGCGGCGGCTCGCGAAGGTATACAGGTCGGCAAGAGCATCCCCATCGATTGGCCAGTATATCATTCTGGGACGTGCTTGTTCGACAGGCCTTGTGGGCAGCATGAGATCAAACGAAAGGGATATGGAGACGATGAGATCAAACGAAAGGGATACGGAGACGATGAGAAGCAACAGACCGACGAGAATGGGACCCCCTGGATTGTTTGCTACGATGAGATCCTCACTATCAACACTCAAGCTTCGAGCCAGTGGGACTACTTCTTGCATTTTAGCTACCCAGGCTCTGGTGTTTTCTACGGTGGTATCAAAGATCAAGATATCCTCAACAGAAAGACGGGTGACGTTTGCGTAGCGGGTGAGTCTCCATACGCGAGGAGCTCGACTGACGAGATTGAAGCCCTGGCCAAAGCCGGTGGTATACAGACTCGTGGGATTCTTATTGACATTCCCCTGTACCTAGAGCAAAACAATCTGCCCAGCAATCCTCCCTTGGTTAATCCTGCCTCAAATCCGGTCGACTTGCCTCTCCTCCTGAAAGCTGTGGAACATTTTCATCTGCAACCTCGCCCCGGAGACATCTTGCTCGTCCGTACCGGCTTCGAAGACGTGTACCGCGAGGACAGCGAGAAGGCCCAAGTGGACAGACATAGGGAGAGTGCGATCCAAGGTCGGTGGTATGGGGTGGAAGGGAAGGAGGATGTGGTCAAATGGATATGGGAAACGGGTTTTGTGGCTGTCGGCAGTGACAATCCCACGTTTGAGAGTTGGCGTGAGTGCTCGACTAAGCATACAGAGGAGCAGACCTTGAGCTGAGTATGGAAAGCTGTATGGGAGAATGCCGTCTGGATGCACCCCACCCTACTCTCGGGGATGGGCATCCCCATTGGCGAGATTCTGCGTCTCAATGAGGTGGCGAGCGAGTGTCAACGTCAAAATCGGTGGAGTTTCTACTTCAGCAGTGTGCCTTTGCAGATCGAAAATGGCATTGCTAGTCCACCTAACGCAGTGGCTATCTTTTGATGGTTTGGAATGTGATGGACGTATTGAGCGCCGCGAGGAATCATCTTTGAACAGACTTGTGAGTTCGTGACCTAGCTCTCTACCAATCTGGTTAGTGACATGGGCTTATAGCAGCTGTAGATTGTAACTGTTCACCATGTATGACTGATAGTGGATTTTCACCATTCTGATTCTGGAAGTCATCACCTCAGACCAGGCTCCACGGGTTCGGACGGTGGCTGTGGCGTTGCAATTCTCTTCCTTCCCCCGCCGCCGTGGACACTTGAACCCACGTACTGGTTAAGGGCGGCTCAGCGCGGGTTGAGGATGCTGAACGAGAAAATGATGTGAGCTGAAGGACTGCCCTCGTGTTTGCGATACAAGCCGCTGGGTATATACTCACCTGCCCGCCGGTCTTGAGTATAGAGGTTGAGAGGAGTTGAGAGGGTCATTCACTTGCTTTCTTCGCATGAGTGGTGAAAACGAATGGCCTGCGCTTGCGCCAATCGACCCAGTGGCTTTGAACTCTGTACGCAGATAGAGCAGAAAGACCAAGTAACAAAGGGCGCCCTTTAGATCACACAGACATGTGTACGAAGAGCCCAAGGGTAGTATGCCTTTCTTCCGCGAGACTGACAACAGAGACCCCAACTTTGACATGCCGATCGCCAATGCTGTGGACCCTTTATACTCTCTCCTATATTGCAACACCTAAAAGCCCCTCTGCGACAATCGCTGCCGTACAGGAGGTGGAGAGTTTAGAAACCGGTAACAGCAGTGTGTCCCTCTCCTGGTTTATTCATCCTTCCATAGACCTCTCAAAATCCGATAGGTCATCATGTGAGGAGCATTGCATCTAACGGGTGAGTACTATCGCACCGACCTCTCCCTATACTCCAAGATGCACGACCTACCCCATCAGCCCTCCTGCCGTCGAGAGAGAATCCTTCCTCAGAACTATGAAAGATCATCGCCTGGTGGCTCAATACTGCTTGTCTGCACAGCGGATGGTAGGAAGGGCGAGGCTGAAGGAGGCGAGAAAGACTCAAAGAGGAGGATGTGCCAAATGATGGAACGCAGATGTGCCTGTCTGGTGCAGAGGAAAGCGGGGGGCGGGGAAGGGTTGATTGGTGGACAGGCTTGCTCTTTTGGGAGCTGATGTGGGTAGAGTCTTCTGGTATAAAGGGACAGGACCATCTGGAACTACTCTCGTGGATAGACGAATCTGTTGGGCCTGTTGGCGAGCTCGAAGCAGCAGTTTCAAAGAGGTTTCTTTTCTGATGTCAGATCAACGGCAAGCCAGCTAGATATGGCATTCTGCTGTTTGCTACAGTACCACGGAGGGCGAAGAGTGAGTCCATCCAGAGTGACTAGGATAGGAGAGCGAGGCCGTGGGCTGTGGGGCGCAGTCGCAGAAACAAGAACAAGAACAACTGAGACAGCCGGGCACGCGAAATTGCCGAGCCGTGGCGGGCTGTGAATGGGGAAGGTTATCTTCGCTCGGCGGTACCTATTACGCCACCCCTTCAAGATTCAGGCGGGCCGCACTCGGAGGGATTCTTCCACCTCTCTTATGCATCCTACAGGGCCTACAGCCTGCAGCGTGTCGCACAGTCATGGTTCCGCATGCCCATCCGCGGCCACTGGGAGAACGGGGACAGGGGGTTACCAGACATTATGAAGTACGGCCCCGGGCAGTTATAGGCATACGTATGTATACGTGCAGATGTACCTGCTTGTGCATATGACCTATAGCATCCGCCAACTTCCGCTGACGGTAATGAAGGGCGGCCCTGAGGTGTCACTCAACTCGCATTTCATGACCGAATACCAGATATACTAGTCATCAGAGCCCGACAATCTCGTAGTGGCTTCGGCTCGTAGTCCATGTATAGCACTATATCTCATAGGGTATATAGCCTTTCATCGAGTCCGCCTGCATGGGCCGCATGTCGCATGAGCCGAGGAGCCAGACTCATGTGAGTGTTCAAGACTTGCCGGCCGTGTTGAAATTCGATCTTTTGATGCATGTCTTTCGTAAATCAATGCTCGCTCATCACGGTACTGTACAGTACTTCAATATTTGTATAAGGATATGCTGGCCGATGCTCCGATAAATCATAAAGATAATCAGACAAGAAACAGCTTTTCCACCTTCCAGCGACCATTGTAAGATCCGAGCCCAAAAACATCTCGATGCTATGATTCTACGACGCTATATATACTGTTTTCGATGACTTCTTTCGAGATGGAAGCGCAAGGCGTCCAAAGAATGAGAAGACTGAAATAAGCAAACCAGGCATCACTCCAGCAGCTTCCGCACCCCAGACGAGGGGCCTTCTTCTTCTTCTTGGGCTCTCCCCTTCACTCGTCGTTCAGGCAAGGTCCAGCTCGCATTCCTTTTCCTCGGTGAACCAACCTCCTCGTCTTTACGATCCCCGACCAGCCCTGGCAATAGACTGGGAAGATCATCACCACCAGCGACCGGGCCCGCGATGGCGATACGAGCCAAACTCGGGGGCAAGTGAGAGGTTGACGCCGGCGTTGACGTCGTGCTAGAAGAGGATGGGACCGACTGAACACTCGATCGTGTATCAGCTCGCTGGCGACTCGATTGACTCAGAGAGGGGGTTGTGATTGGGGCCGACAGAATAGGAGGAGGAGGCGGCCCAAGGCCAGAACCAAACGGTGCCAATGAGAAAGAGGAAGGAGGCGGGGGCAGTGTGGACGGACTAGGATGTTGATCTTCAGATATGGAGCGTCGGTGTGAAGCTTCGTGGATGTAGGCAGGGGAATGACCCCCCTGAACAGGAGGATGGACATTGTACCCCCTGCTGTACTGCTCGTAGGAATGATATCCGCCCCGAGACGAAGACGCAGAGTTGGGATCCACAAACCCTGAACGAGAGGGGAGCGGTGCAGGTGCGTACGTCATGTCTCCGTTGGGTAAAGAATTTGACGAACGAGGTGGTTCAAGGACGGAAGGGTACTGCGAGCTTGGACTCCACGACAGTGCGGAAGTCGGGGGAAGTGGAGCTGATGGATGAGTGTGAGGAGGGACCGGGAAGGGCTTGGTGTTGGGGGGAACGTGTCGGAATTGGTGCTCGCCAGTCGCTGGAGGAAAGTAGGTGTAGCCAGCCCCGTAGCTGGGGGTCGCGGCCTCAGTAGCGTGTCCATCTGCCACCGGCCACGCCCCGCCAGCGCTGTTTCCTGCCCATGCAGAAATTCTCTCATCCTTCTCCACCGACAAGCGACGCGAACGAGGAGACTTCTGAAGGTCTTCGTAGTCTGCTGGGTCCTCGCCGTCGGGCACACCGCCGTTGACGAGAAGTGTTTTTCGGCCTTTCTGCCGTTGATTCTGTTGTGAAAGTCTGTGAGCTATTCTATGCAACGAGAAAAATAGAAAGAAACATGACGACGCACTTGAAACCACACCTGCACCTGCCGAGCTGTCAAGCCAATCTGCTGACCGAGGACCTCTCTGTCTCCACTAGTCGGAAATTTGGTCTGCATCGCCGTTAGTACGCGCCTTTCATGCCAGACAGACAGACAGGACTTGCCTGCTTCCACATATTCATAAGACCTGCTTGTTGAGCATGGGTCATCAGTGCCCGGGTACGCTTCTTCTTTCCTCTGCGATGCTCTACACCAACACTCGCTGCCCGAACAGAGCCTTCTCGAGAGGTGTTCCCCGAAGTCTGTCGATATTCTTCGACCTGGCTCGAGGTACTGCTTGTCCTAGAAGCTCTTCGAGCCCCTTCGTCGCGAAAAGATCTTTGCGAGCCCCCTCGGGATGTGCTACCCGAGTCAGCCGAAGACGAGGATCGAGATCGAGACCTCATCGGGAGCTTGTTGGGGCTGAAAGAAGGTTCCTGCCACCCAGTGACCAGAGGGAAAGATTCTTTTCCGGGCACTTCCATGTGCCCTTTCGCCCTAACGACAGTTGACGAGGAAGGATGAAGTGGATTGTGGTCGTGGGTGGAGACCATGGAGGAGTGCTTTGATGTCAACGCATGACCTCCCGGAAGAACCGGGCGCTGGGTTGATTCCTCAGCCGAAGATGGCGCCGGAGGAGGATAGGGGTGGGAGTATGAGGTTGGCTGTACGGGCGGGGGAATAGACAGCGTCAATCTGGAGCTAGAAGCCGTCAGAATATGCTCAGGCGGAGGCCGCTGAAGGGGAGGAAAGGCTGGCCGAGGGTCTTGGCTGGTAAGACGTCGACCATCAGGACCCAACCACTGTTCCTGCGCGGGAGGAGGTGCGAAAAACCGCCGGTTGGATGTAACGTAAGGCGCTAATGGAGGAGGCGCCAGTTGTGGAGGTCCATACCTGGACTCGTACCCAACTGCCGACCCAGAGCTGGAAGAAGAAGATGGCGGTCGGGAGTGATGATAATGAGATTGCTGAGAGGGATGTTGATAGTGGGCGCTCGAGCTCGACGAGTGACTTTGAGATGATGATGTGCGAGACTCGCGCCATTGTGTATGGGCGGCTTGGGCTTGGGAAGAGATCGGTGAAAGAGGAGTTGATTGTGAGGCATTGTGGGCGTTCTTTGAATCAGGCGAAAGTCGCCGGCCCCCGTTGGGCATGGTGTGGGAGGGGGCAAAAGCAAATACGACTGAAAGGGTGGTTAGCATCGCCTTCGATCGATATGCTACATCACACAGCCCCTGCACTGGCCTCCGCCACTCAACAGTTACGCTCGCAACGAATGTACTCACCTCCGGATCTGCTTTCCCTCAACCACTGCCACCTGTGCTGAATTGTTTATGGGAATGTGAAGGTCTCTTGCGTCGGACTCCGGCATGTCAGCCAACAGCCACGCGGAAGACGCAAAGCGTCGAGGGGATGCAACTCACAAGACAAATCCGGCCTTGGAAACAGTCGTAGAGCTTTTGGAATCTCAGATTCGCAAATATCCTCTGCAATGAGGAGGAAGTTTTCTTTTGGGGATGATGATATCGATAATATGCTCCTGACCTGATCCTGTCGCGTATCATCAGTAAAGAGCGACGCTGAGAGGATAAGGTTCAAAAGCTGGCGCTATGCCGGGCAGAGCAAGAGAAGAAAGTGGGAGCGTAAAAGTAGAGGGGCAACGCGGGAAAGAGGAAAACAACATGGAACATCATAGAGATCAAGAACTGAACGAAAGAGTAGAGATCCGACGTCAAGGGCTTAGGAAGAACGAGCCGAAAAGGCAAATCCCCTTAACAAATCCGGGCGAACCCTACAGCCCCGAGAGGTACGCGATTACTCATTGCAAGCTATGAGCGCGTGGCACGCAGACAGCGGCCCTTGGCCCCTCAAATGGCCCTATATGGATCCTAATCTCGCCTGATCGCCTATCGCCTATCTAGAAACAAGCTTGTTTGCAGGACGTAGCTTGCCGCTTCAGAATCCAGACTGAAGCGCACAGAAGCTCGAGGCCCTCGAGAAGTACATGCCACGGAAAAGAGATCGAGGCACAGGGGTGGCGTGAGGCAGTTTCCGGCGTTGCTTAATGGGAGCTGCCCAGTCCAGCAAAGCGCTTCAGGCAACAAGACTCTCACTGCAGACCCAAACAACACCAAAGAATACCCGGAACGGCGGAAGAAGCACTAGAAGCAGGGAGCAGGGCGTCGCACGTCGCTGTCGTCGCCAAACGTAAAAGTCAAAAAGGGTGGGGAAGCCGCAGCTATTCCTTAACCATCTCCGATCTCCGAAGTTCCGATCCGATGACCGTTAAAGCAAGTTCTGGGCGGGAAGGGAACCGCACGCCGCACGGGGTACGCTGGAAGGGACACGACAGGGGCAGGGGGTCAGGGGAGCAGCACGAGAAGCATCAAGATAGGCAAACGAAAGCTCTGCGTTTCAAGGGAAGAAAGCGGCAGGCGCGGCAGAGAAAAGACAAATAAGGCAGAAGGCAGAAAGAAGGCAAGAGACAGGGGGCCAGAGGTCCCAGAGGGGTGAACCAGGCGACATCGCAAACAAAGTATGTGCCGGCGAGAACGCCTCCGAGGCCGGCGAAAGCCAGATGCCCGCGCCCGTACGCAATCGTACAAGCCAGAAGGCCACAAGTTAGACGAAAGGGTATAGGTAGGCAGTAGGATATAGGATATGGGCCTGGAGGCCTTAGGACCCCTAGGACATGGCATCGGTCAAGGCAGCGCGCAACAATTCGCCGGCAGATCACAGCATGGCGGGTGTAAGGCGGAGCTAGACGTCCACGGGAATCAAGATCGACGGTCGAAGGCATCCCAAGAACAAGCCAATGATGTACATCGAGGAGCTCCTGAACAAGCAAGACCAAAGAACTCAGATCCCAGTTGTGGGCTTCTCACTGGACAAGCAAAAGCAATGCAAGCTGAACGTCCCAACTCGCCGCCAGCGAATCAGGCCAAGACTCAAGAAAGTCCCAAACGGGGCCGCCTTGATGTGCAAGGGAACGATCCGCTGCTTATCCACCAGATAAACCACCTACCCTGATCTGCCGGATAGCCAAAAACTTGGGACACGCACTTGAAGCGAACCAAGCAGGAGAAATTGGAGGAAAAGGAAGAAAGCAAAGCGAAAGCCAAAACCATGAAAAAGAAAATGCCCTAGAAGTTTTTGCGCCCGATGTCCGAAACATGGTTCGGGCGTCGGACAAGAGAAAGAGACGGCATGATGCGGAGGACCTCGGAGAACTCACCAATCGCGAGCGAGAGAGTGGAGACGGCCGTCGGTCGGCTTTTTGCAGGTATTTGCTTATGCAAACGTGTAGTCACCGCCTAGCAGTCACCAGCTGACAACTAAGAGATGCTGATTGATGGGGATGGGGATTGGGGGAGGAGGAGCAAGTCAAGGGGACAGCAAGAAGAGGCCGAAGGAGGGTGCCGATTGCGGGTGTGTCAGTTAACTGCAGGACGAAAGAAAGATTGATCACTCTTACGTAGCAAATGGATTCGATCTATATCTGGCAATGATGAGGAAAATGAACCGAAGGCCGAATGATGACAGATGCCTGGTAATAGAATTGGGCAGATGGCGAGATGGGGCAACGGTAGCGCTACGTATTCCCAGCAGGAAAAGTCCTAGTGCCACCGATCGCCTGGCTAGGCTGATTGCAATCTGGTTCCGAGTGGAAAAGACAAGGCACTTTTGGTTTCGTCTTTCGCTGGGCCAGGTAATGAGGTCCCAAAGTAAGGCGTTGTTGCGGGTGGCTGTGAGCCCGGAGGGCTATAGTACGGAGCTAGCGATGACGAGACGGGATCTGATCAGGCGGGACCAAACTTTGGAGTGATGACCGTTGGGCTGTTGGCCGGCATGCGATACGGATACGGCAAATGGCGACCACAGAAATATAGGTGCTCGGATGTTCGGCGAATAAAGGACGGACAGTACCAGATTTCAATGAATCGTCACTTTCTGGTAAGGGGCGTGAGGCAGAATCCTTCGGAGCTTTGGCACGGTCAACACAAAGCGCACAGTGAGGCTGTGGCGCGTTAATTGCCTACAATTTACTTTTTGAAACTCCCCTGTCGACCCGGCTCTGATGGGAGAGTCAGTCCAAAGCCCTCAGAGTCATCCACGAGATCAAGAAATGCATACGCACTGGTGCTTTGATGTATGAGGTTGCGCACACTCTCGATACCCCTATGTCGTATCCTCTGACGTTTGATGATCGGTGGTCGCTGGCCTTGCTGAGCTTGCCGTCTGCTGTCTATTAGATTTGCTAGCTGTGCTATGGGAACCCTGTCTCGCTCTTCGCTATAGCTCGCTGCTCTCGGTTCCTTCAGCGGTTCCGCGAGATGCTTGCAATTCGCACAGCAAGCGTCTAGAGCCCGGAAATGCCGGATGGAAGGAGTGCGAGGGGAGATAATCAGAAAAAGAGGGACCGGAACAAGTCGATTCAGGGCACAGATTACTGGGGCCTGCACGGAAGACGAAAGCTAGCTTGGGGTAGATAGGATAAGACCTGCCTATACAACGGTCAGCATGAGAACGGCAAGATGGATACCAATGAGCATTCAATGATCACAGAGACTGGCGAGGATTCTCTATCACAATGCTTAGGCCTAGTATTCACATGTCTTCCACCCCGTAGACAGTGACAAACGCGGAAACCAAACACACGATCATAAGTAGTACCCTACCCAGCCACAGTGTCACAACAAATCTGGCTGCTGCGGCGGCAGAGAGCGTCACTTGTCCACGTCATCAAAAAGGAATGCACGACAAATGGCAGAAGCTGATAGGAGAAAAGAGGAGGATGCAGGAAGATCGAAGAGGATCCCGATGGTTCAAATCCGTGATTGGTGGAAGGAAGGGGGCACGCAAAAATCAGGAGTAGACGAAGCACAGGCCGCACAGGCAGTGGTAAATGACCTGAAAAGAATGACAGGGAACATTCGCGACTCGATCGGAAAAACGAATAGTAATGGGTGGCGGAAAAGGAATCGCACAGCTGAACCTCGTCCCTCTAGGCTCTTACGGCCGCATTACATACTGCCACAGCAACCCAGCAGGCCCCCGCAGGTGCAGCAAGCTTGAACGGCAAAGTTGATGCGTGACGATAAAGCAAATTGCGCAGAATGAAAACGTTACGAGAGAACTTACGAGATAAGAGTACCTTCGCAAGCTTAAAAGTGGTTTGAAGATCTTGTTTGTTGTTGCCTATTACGTGTGTTACCAAATCTTCCAGTGATCGCCCTCTCAGGTAAGCAATTGGTGGTTGTCGAGGAGGGGCGATAGGCGTACCGCGTATCAAGGGGCTTTAGGAGATGAAGATTCGCTGTTGATCTGCCTAGTGTAGTCACGATTTTCGGACCGATGGTACTAGAATGGGAGACGTATCCACAAACAAGGATCAGGATACCTGCTCTATGCTGGTATCGGCCAAGGTGAAGATTTCAGGAACAGAAGGGAAGAGGGGATGAGGCGAGGGCCCAGATGCACCAGATGGGAGACCTAGAGGAGCACCGGGAAATAGGTGGTCCTCGAGGAAGATGTCGTTCCGGAGGATAGAGGTGATTGACGAACAGACTGGAGAGCGTTGGAAACGGGACAGTCTTGACTGGCAATATGATGCAAAGGGTGATGGATGGGATGTGTCGATAGTACTGTCATCGATGTCAGCACTACCTTTCAATGAGTCTCCCGGAGCCTCAGTCAGGCGAGTAGAGATCAATCAAATGATATAGCGATAGAGCCAGCCAAGAATGGAAACAACGCTGCGTTGCCACAGCTCTTCTGCGCAATACGCGCGGTATAGGTAGACCTGACCGAGACCATACTGCCGCTCTGCTCACCTTGACCTTCGCAACGACGGTTGCAGATGAGTCCTTCTGTGTTTGAAGAAGACCGGATGAAGGTATAGCCGAGAGGTATCTGTTCTGCTTCGAGTACAAGATTTGCTTGTGCGTGAGAACAGTTGATGATGGTGGTTGCTCAAAAGACGCGCGATCTATAAACATTTACATCAGTCTTACATTGCGCTTCTCATCAGAAGATATCTCCCCTGGCCATACGAACGACTGTCCGCACCCGTCGCTCCGACCCATCCATCAAAGACAAGCCATACAGTCCCCATCCAAGGCCTCGAACGAGAAAAAAAGTTATCGTTCTGAGCCGCCCCCTTTCCTTCTCTTTCCGTGCTCTTCCGCCTTTCCCTCCGCCTCGGGTCAGGAGAGCATGCAAGTGAGATAATTGACCGAATTTGAGAAGGAACCCACCTATGCACCGTCGTTTGCCCCTCTTGGTCGGATAAGGATAGTTTTTTTTATGTCGGTGGAAGACGAAGATGAGATTTTCTGCGGCTGACCCAATGTGTTACACCAATCGAACTAGCCGTGGTTTGCTGATTGTCGCATTGGAATGCTTTACAGTCAAAGTGGGGGCCACGTGGCGGGTGGGGCGGAGTGATCTCTCATGTTCCTTGCCATCTATCATTCAACATTCCGGCTCCTCAAATATACCCAGTCTCCTCCCATCTCTATGCAGAGCTTGAGAGTGCGATGGATATCGACAGCCACATATACATCTGTATCTGCATCCGCGTATACACATGCATGTTTGCGACTAGTCACGTCGCTGTGGAATCACCCTCATAAGCAGCAGCGGTCGCTGTTTACCTTGCTAGACCCAGTGCCTCTCCATTACGGCGTGTCACACGGGTCCATGACCTCTAGCGATGCCCTTGTAGTAGTCGAGGTGAGTCGAAATGACTTGAGGACCATGAGAGGTAGCCAAGCCAATGCCGAAGGACATGGACGCTTGTGTTGGAGAGAGACAACAATATTTGATCGACAGAGTATCTAAAAGCTATGAAAGAGTGTGGGTATTTATATCCAGCCTCAAGCCTACGTATCCCTTTTCCATGACCTTCCAGTGTTTTCTACAGTGTCCAACAGAGCGGCAAAGATTATTCTAGATGCTTCGAGATATTTCTGGGTCGAGTGGCGACAGCCACGTGACACGGCGCGATCATCTGGGCTGTGCCTCGACGCCCCGTAGTTGACATTATTAGTGAGTTGCTTCGTGACAATGGGACCAGATCGTTCGTCGGGGACCCGGAGTTGGACAACAACATCCGCTTTACGACGCGTGCTACGCCCAGGTGCGTTATGGTGAGAATGTATACCTCCGTGCAGATGAATTGAACGGGACAATGAGAACCACAGCAAGGAACAGCACATGCAGTAGGAGCGGAGGAGACCTACCCGCTCTGTGTGTGCTGTCACGAGGCACAAGGGTCGTATGGATGCTGCCGTAGACTGTAATGAGTAGAGGAGACAAAAGGTGCAAAAAGTACGCGACGAGTACGAGTGCTCTATGTACGTACCAAATGCACTGCTTACCAATCTTCGCACTGCTTGCAGTGGCCGCGATGGATTATGATGCATCTGAGACCAATGATATATGTACGCAGCAGTATCTGGAGGGCTTACAGCGAATCCACCGAGCAGCAAACATGGCAGCAGATCGATATAGTAGGCAGACACCATACGTCTAGTATATTGTACTGTAGCATCCAGCCGGGGCTGCGCCCTCGACACCTGAATGATCACCGTCGACATATTGTGCTGAGCAGCCCAGAGACGATCGTATTCGTTCCCACCAAATATCACCCTTGAGACGAACAAAGACCCCCAAAATGGATCAAAGAAAGGCTGTCGACGGGCCTCATTACCAATCGTTCGGACAAGAACTATAAGATAAAGGCACTTTAACTTCATACTGACATCCGATCGATTCTGATACAGTCAGAGATAAGGATATGTCTGCAGGAAGATGTGAATGTTTTCAGGAAGAATTGGGCCGCGAAGTGCGAAGCCTGTCATCAGGGGCTGGTGAGGTTTGGGGGTGACTAAAATCGCTGTTGGAATTTCATGCAGTGATCCACAGCCACAAGGCTACTAAGGATCGCTCTGATGAGGAACCGTGTGGCCGTATGACATGCTCTTTGAAAGCAAATTTCATGAAAGTACTAGGTACTCTGGTCGTGTTCATCAGATCTCGGTTGGCCGATGGCCCTCATATCTCGCCCCGCAGTCGGCTTCCATTGAGTCTCGAGGTTGTATCACTTGTTACGTGGCATGCAGTCTCGTCTTGTGTTATGCAAGCGTTAGATGTAGAGTCAAGCAGCCTCATGGCTCCCTGGCCACAGAGACACGAGCCATTACACCTAAATGGGGGTTGAAGGAACAGAGATTACATAACGCCGGCTATGACCGAAGCCCGGCCGCGGCGGTATTGTTTTGGATTTCCCCAAAGAAGGATCGCGTGCATCTTGAACCACGAGAACACCGAACGGCATACAGCGCCCCCTTGACTCGTTTATAGCACAGTAAGCAGAAAGGAAAGGTGCGGAGCCTTTCATCGAACGAAGCACGCAGCCAGGCATACTCATCCACTTCAAGCTGTATACCTGAATTCTGCTCAAGGGCATAGCTGTTTCGAACACCATAATCACGTACTATTGAATTAACAATCATGTCTCGTGAGCTATCCACTGCGCTAAATCCACGCCACAATACTGACCACGTCTCTAGAGCCCCCATCCGCCCAACTCCTCACCCTCCTACAATCCCTGCGCACGACCCCGACCCGTCTCATACAATCGCCCGTGACCCAGCCGCGCCGTGCTTCTGTCGCTATCATATTACGCCTGAAACCAGCAGACAAGCTAGTCTTTGAAGGGCATGAGCCTGAAGGGTATGACGGCAATGTCATTGCTCGAGATGACTGGGGAGAGGGCTTGGAATTTGAGGACTATATGAAGCTTCGTAAGTTGTATCAGTCTCAATACACAAAAGGAAGGATACTGATAACTGCCAAAGCATGGGTGAATCACCCCAATACTGTCCCCGAAGTCCTCTTCATCCGGCGAGCATCCCCGCCCCCAAAACCCTCCACTGCGGGAAACACCCACCACCGCTGGGCATCCCACATCGCCTTCCCTGGTGGCCGCCAAGAGCCTGATGACCAGTCCGCATACTATACTGCTCTGAGAGAGACATGGGAAGAGATTGGGGTGGATCTAGCAGAAAAGGAGTATCTGAATGTTGGGAGACTGGACGAGAGGGAGGTTACCACGAGTCTCGGCAAGAGGCTGTTGATGATTCTAAGCCCCTTCGGTAAGGTGACGATTGATTCAGCATCGCTGTAAGCTGACAAACCTTAAGTCTTTCTACAAACGTCCCCCTTCAGCCCCACTCCGGAGCTCCAAGCTGTATGTCCATGCGATTTTATACGACATCCTGCTGACTCTATACAGTCCGAAATCTCCTCGGTCCATTGGGTTCCATTGACGCTCCTCGTTCCACCTTTTGACAAAGATCGCTGGTCAAAGATCGACATTGACATAAGCAGTCGCCTCAGTCCAAGGAACAAGCTCGTGCGATGGTGCTTGCGCAACTTGATCGGCAAAATGAAGTGGGTTGCAATATACATGAAACGGCAGAGGCTGACAGAGTGTCATAGATTTGGATGTCTGTTGTTACCAGACGATCCTGCTGCCATCGCGAAAGACTTTGATAGAGCAGAGTTTGCTGAGAGTGTGGAAGGGAGTGGGAGCTGGACAAACAGCCATGACGGGAGTCAAGTGCTCCGCCTGTGGGGCTTGACGCTGGGTATGACCCTGTAAGCCAATCCAAAACTCATCATCCATCACTGACGGCCCGTAGCGACCTCATATCGCACCACCCCTCCGCCCCATCCGCCCTGCTAACGGAAGGATCTACCTTGACCTCTTCTTCTCCTACGACCCCCATCTCCGAGTACACTCCACTGAACGAACCTCGAACGCCTGTCACTGTACAGAGCTCGTTTGAGGATGAATGGGAGGCGGCCAGAAAGGTTCTGAAAGATGAAACGAATAAGAATACCAAGGCGGCTGCGGCGGAGAATGGAAAGGAGAGGAAGAGGAGACGAGGCGCAGGCTCGTATATGACGTGAGTGCAGATTATCTGGCATAGATAGGTCATTGACTGACGCTCCTGCAGAGCTGTTTTCCCTACCTTTACCTACCCGGACGTCAATTTCTGGATCTGGTACGCTCACTCTACTTTGCCACCCTCAATGCTGACATACCTCTCGCAGGGTATTCTCGAGGCGCTACCGACAGGTGATCAGATCATGGGAATCATCGACCATCGGCCGTTCCCGTGCGGCCGACAGACGTATCAACTGGTCCGGCCAAGCCCTCGCGACGTTCTACACGGCCGTCCGCCAGGCGCTGCTGGTAGCAATTATCATCCGCGGCCTATGCCTCAGTGCAGGGATCGTTGGCTTCAGCTACTTTGTGCTCAAGTCGCTTGATAGGAGCGACGGGAGGGAGCTTTGATCACGGCGAGGTCTCTGCCACGGCTGCTTGTCACGAATGGAATGACGATTATCCTATCGGATGTATTGTTAGACTATATACTTTTGCCATAATAGACCTGATACAGATGCATCGCATGGTGTTACAGTATGCCGTCCCGCGTCAACAGCTGATAAGGGCGTACCTGGAGGCACCGAGATGGCCGAGGCGCATTTATCTCCGAGCCCGTGTCCGGCGGCCGGGCGGGTGTCTTGGAGTGGACAAGTAGGAGTAGGCGGTACACCCTTCCAGAACATGGACGACGCCGACATGGACGACGCGTCGCTAGACGGCCCAGCCACGCTGGAACGCGCTCTTCGGTTCGCGGCGCGGGCGGAGGACGATGAACAGCTGCAGCATACTCTCATGCGCAGGGCCCCGATTCAGGCGGCTCCTGGCGCCTGGAGAAGGTGCGCCCGCGGCGGGAGCGGAGGAGGACGAGGGGACACCTTTCCCTGCCGACTTCCGAGAGTCCCAAGGCGACGGTACAGAGGAGGAGCTGTCGTCGGAGCTAAGGACGGGGATGGAGTTTGAAATCGCGGAATCTGCCAAGGTGGCGATCGTCGCTCACTCTCTTGCTCAGAATGGCGCATCAGCGAAGGGCCAGTCTTGGGCCAGTCGAACGCCGAGCGCATTCGCTACCGGTGCGGGGCGCGTCACAAGGCGAGGTCGAAGAAGTGCAAGTACTATGGGATGGCGGCCGGTGAGGAGCCGGAGGTGCCGAGGGACGACACCGACTGGCGAGACTGGGAGCAGGCGAGTGGTATGTAGTGCTGTGTCATACGTCGTTTTACAAATGCAGAAGACATGTGAAACATGGGAGAATAACAGGCGTCAACCAAGACTATTTAATGACACCAATCAGTACGAGGAACAAGCGATAAATGCATCGATAACCAGCAGGTTGCCGGCCTGGGTGCGTGCCAGCGGTGAACAAGCGGTGAAAGTTGATAAATTATCTGATATCTCTATGTCCAAATTGATACCGCTCCAGCAGCGTCGGCCGCGTCCGTCCCAGGTGACCCTCCCAGGTCATCATACTAAGATAAAGACACTTTCGACTCGAAACCGGCCATTCTGAATAAAATCTCAATTCCGAATGCTGCTATTCCAGAAGAAGCACCGTGTAATTACAGCCTCACATGGGCATAAATAGAGTATTGCGGGAGATGCAATGCGCGCCTTGTCATTCTATCTATTCCCATCACCTCTCATCCCACCCAGCATGTCTGCCTCAGCCCCATCTCCCCCCAGCTCTCCACCGTACTCCCAGCAGCCGCCTTTCGGTCTGCCTGCCCCTCTCGACAAAGATGGAGATGCCGAGAGCGAGTATGACGAGACGCTCATGTCTTGTTTCGGCACCATCTCCATCTCCAGCGTCGCTACTCCTGAGAGGAGCATTGCTGGTGCCCAGAAGGACTATCCAGGCCCCCATTTCAGCTCTCGAGCCACCACGGGCCCGGACGCTGGACCTCTTATCGACAGATTCTCGTGTTTGTTCAAGAACCGTCAGCCCCATATCGTCGCCCACGTCGTTGGATGGTACTGACGAGAGCCACAGAGTATGATGCAGACACCAATCCGCACGGTATTGTATCTTTGGGGGTCGCCGAGAACTTTTTGATGCAGCAAGAGTGTTTCGAGGTTCGTCTCGTCTCCCCCGTCTCGCATGCTTCTCTCCGACGGAGCGTCTGCTTCTATGTCATGTGGCGCACGTATACGTCAGCTGACGTTTCCTGACCACAGATCTTCACCAGCGCTCTCAAAAACATGACACCCCTCGACCTCTCTTATGGCGATTCACTCTGGGGAAGCAGGCGGATCAACAAGGCCTTGAGTGGCTTCTTGAATGACTACTTTCATCCTGTCACGGAAATCAAGCCTGACCACCTCATCACCGGTAAGCATATTGGAACAAAGTGGGTACTGTTGCTGATGAGATGTAATCGTAGGGGTCGGATGCTCGGCTGTCCTTGATCAGCTCTTCTACACGCTTCTGGATGAGGGCGATGCTATATTGGTTGCTGCACCCTAGTGAGTTTCAAAGATAACGTCAACTCCCAAACTGACATGTCTCGAAGCTATACAGGATTCGACAGAGACCTGATCAGCCGCGGCAAAGTCAAGCTCATTCCAATCCACCTTCCTATTGAAAGAACTTTCACTCCTGAAGGGCTCGAATTATTTGAAGCCAAATACGAAGAGCTCAAGAAGGAAGGCACCAGAGTTCGTGCCGTGGTATGTTGTATCTTATCACTGATCTTGTGTTTCGTGATCTGACGACGGCCGCTAGATTGTCTGCAATCCACAAAACCCCATGGGCCGACCATACCCCCGCGAGACTCTTCTGGCTTACGCAAGGTTCTGTGAGGAGAAGGATCTGCACTTGGTATCTGATGAGATTTACGGGATGAGTGTGTATGAGAACGCGAGTACGTCCGAAGAGGCAGCTTTCTATGGTGTGGTGTGGCTGATGTGAGGATCAGAGTACCCGGGGGCTGTTCCCTTTACTAGTTTCTTGTCTCTGGACTCGGACAAAGAGCTTCCTGGTATCACCTTTGAGAAAGCCAGACTCCACGGTACAATTCTGAGAGCTGTATCCGCCATCCGATCGCTGACCAGGTTGTAGTGGTCTATGGCATGGGCAAAGAGTAAGCGAAACCCGGCCGAACTTGCTGCACACTCACACACATGCTTTCAGTTTCTGTGCCAACGGTTTCCGGATCGGCGCCCTCATCACCCCTGCCAACCCCACTCTCATCCGTACCATGGCCAACACTTCTAAGCTCATGAAGCTCTCCTCCCCTGCAGACATCATCTGGTCGTCTCTTCTTAACGACAAGAAGACTTTGAGCAACTTTCTCAAGACGAACAAGGAGAGGCTCGGAGAGGCACAGGCGTTTGTGAGAAATTGGTTTGAGGAGAGGGGAGTGGTCGTCGCGGACAGCAATGCGTGAGTGATTTTCGAGCGACCGGCCACTTGACTGAGCATCACGCAGAGGCAACTTTGTATGGGTCAACATTGGCGAGAGACTTGGCGGTATTGACATCGCTACTGAAAAGAACATCTTCCAGAAACTTCTCGACTCTGGCGTTTATATCGGCCCGGGAACGGCGTACCACTATGATGTTCCGGGGTGGTATCGCATCACGTTCTCGGTGGCTAGAAAGAATCTGTTGGTAAGTGACGATAAACGATGGGCGATCAAAACTAATGATTAACACAGACGGGATTGGAAAGGATTGAGCGGATCTTGGGCTTTCAACCCCTCAAAAAGTAGATCTGAATCGCATAGCGACATTACGAAGCGTACCACGGTACTCGAGTACCTCAACTTGTAAAATGAATATACCATCGCGTCTCTTATCATTGTGGCATCCGGTTCTAGCATGGTCTACTTCGTTCGTCGTCAAATCACGACGACCATTCACACATGTATTATATCATCAACACACCAAAGCCTCCGACTCCTATGATCCCGTCTCCCAAACCTGCTCCAGAAACCTCACATACCCCGTCGACACTTCTTCTTCTGACCAAGTTGCAGTTGCTGCCAGGCCTCCGCTAGACTGGGCTTTCACCTGTACCGACTCGTACTGCCTCTTCAGCCGCGACATCTCACTCAGCGTAATCTTCTTGTCGGGGAGGTGCAAGATGAGAGACGAGCCCTTGGGGCCGGGTGGAGAAGAGATAGGGAAGGTGGTGGAGCCAGGGAGAGAGTTGATATGGGTGAAAAGGGAAGAGTTGATCAGAGACGTTGTGGCTGTAAGAGTCTGGAGGGTATTCGGAGGAGGTTTACTACGCTACCCTGTCGTCAGTCGATGTCTGAGAAAACCTCTGGACGACTTACTTGCAAGACAGCAGACGTAGGCGGCTTCTTGTCCCCTTTTATTATAGCATTCCACAGATCCTCATAAGGAGGATCTTCGTCCCAGGGTATAGTGAACAGCGGGCTATCCCAGCGGACCATAGAGGAAGGCTCTTCATAACGCATTATAAGGTTGTCGAAGCTGCTTTGCGTCAGTTTGAATCAACTCGCTGAGGCAGGAGCTTACGTCGCGGGCTTATACGAGCTTTCACCACGCCTTTCATGCCATTCACGACACTGATTAGGGGGAGCCGCAACATGAACCTTCACGGGATGAGCTCTGCTGCATTTCCGTATGTCAAGACTTACTGTAGCGACTCGTGTATGAGCTTCTCTGGCAGCACAGTACATTTGATACCTGAACCCTTTGATATAGTTTGCAGAGTCCACTATAGTGATCGTATCTTCTCCCAGGGAACGAGTCACATTGGAGAAGAGGCTCGCACGACCAGGCTTCTCTTGAGCACTTGCTGCCGAATTTCAATCAGCCTATCCTTGAAGCCATTCGGCCCTAAACTTACAGTCATATGTCGACCTGGGTACGTGGCTCCCTTCATCGTCTATCACTTCCACCACTAGTGACGGCCCCTTATAGTCTTCTGCTTTGAGCCGCTTTTGAAAGTATTCTTTGAGTTGGTGTGCGCGGGTGGATTTGCCGGAGCAAGGGAAGCCAGTGATGGTTACCAGTGCCATTGTAGAAGGAAGACTTGCTTGAAGTTGACCAACGCCGATTATGCAGGATGCCGTAAAGAATCGTCCGCAACGACGAAAAGGGCCTCGACGCTGCCTGGATGCGCTTCGCCGCCATCGCCGCCAGCCGCTGACCTCACCGAATTCCCGCAATCCTTGACGCTGCAACGCATCTCCATCTCTCTTTCGTCTTCTACAACGACCGTTCTCAACAACAGCGCAATCAGAACAACACTCGTCGACGCAGCATTCGTGCACCACCGCAGGCATGCCATCTACAGCACCACAGCATGACCTCGACCAATCGTCGTCGTCATATCTCCCGTCGTCGCTCAATGGCACCTTCTCCATCGCGAAAGAAGTGATCATGGGGCCGTTCGGGAGTGAACACAGGCGCTCGGAAAGCACCAGAATACTGTCTGATCGTGAGTGTGCTAACATATGGAGAGCAGCGTTGATACATGGTGCCCAGTGGCCCCCTCCTTGATGCAATCCCGCTTTTTGAATCCTTCGTCGTCGTCTCAACGACCTCTATCCAACCGCCCGCCCTCTAAACCTTATCCTCTCCTACGCCTTCCCACCAAGATCCCCTTTCCCAACCAACGCCAAACGTCTTCGTCCTTGGCCATCATCGAAAACGTCGACAACCTTGCGTCCCTCTCTCTCGATGACCCTGCCCTCTTACACCCGGGACAGGGGCCTCCAAGTCTGATCAGAGGATTCAAGGCCACCATTCCTTCATCGGAAATGGCCAAGCAGAGAAGGAGGACGGTGAGAGGCGGCATCGTAGATGAAGATCTAGGTGGTGAACTTGGTCTGAAAAGGCTCGGAGACCGCGCGCGTGGGCTCTTGACGGAGCATGGAGAGGCGGACGGGGAAGGAGAACTAGGTGTCGGTAGAAAGGCGGCGAAGAAGAGGAGAAAGAAGAGAGAGAGCAGGAGGTTGACAGAGGGAAGACACGATGGCAAGCTGAGGCTGGAGGATCTAGCCAAGCAGGCGGACGAGATTTCGCAAGATAAAGACAATCTGCATGTCCGACAGGTAAGCTATCTTGTCAACGCCTCGAATGACTTCTGATGACTTGTAGTCTCTGATACAATCCGAGATCACCGAGGTCGGCAACAAGATCAGCGCATTGGAAGAGCTACGCGCCCGCCTCGAGAGATCACTCCTCCATCTACAAGAGGAGGATCTTGAATTGAACGACGAGCTAGAAGGTGTGCAAGAGCTCATGGCATCGCCTGCCTACAAGGCCGCAGCCGGGACAAAGGCTCTACCGAGCAGTAGCACGGTGAGCGGGCCGAGTAAAAGCTCGAGGAGACGGAAGGGGCCAGCGTTCTTGCCTTCAGAGCACGACGATTTGCCGTCTGGGGTGGCGTTCATGGTATGTTGATCCACAAGTGTATATTGTCCATACTAACCTTTGATAGACATTAGCTGGGCACACAGCGCCCATCACTGCCTTGGACTTTGACGAGCCCTATGGAATGTTGGTGACATCCGGCCAGGACGACGTCGTCAAGGTCTGGGATCTGTGTGATGGTGAAGAGATTGGACAGTTGCGCGGTCATAAAGGTACGCCTCAACCACAACTAAATCTCACTGCTGACGATCCAGCAGGCGCTGTCAAAGCCGTCCAAGTGGAGGACACTCTCTGTCTTACCGGTGGTGCCGACGGCAATGTCCGTCTCTGGGATCTTCGCATGGTCGAAGACTACGAGGAACGCCTCCAATCTCAACTCAAACAACTAGCTCAGCAAGATCCCCTTGACAGAATAGCCGAACAGCGTGAGCAAGAAGGAGAGGACGAGTTGCTCAGCGGTGGGTGGCAGGAACCCGGAGACGGAAGTCCCTGTGTCAGGACGCTCGAGGGGCACAGTAAGAGCGTGACATCGCTCTACTATGAAGATGGGTGTCTTGTGACTGGGTCGTCAGATAAGACGATTCGACAGTGGGATGTGGCCACCGGCCAATGCCTCCTCACCATGGACATTCTCTGGGCCATCTCCAACCCTCCGCCTCCGCCTCCATCAACCAATATTCCCAAGCGCCCATCCAGGCTGTCTCACCGCTCTTCAACCTCTTTCAACTCGACTACATACGAAGACATCCTCCCCTCGCCCGGCGCCTCTCTTCTCGGCATGCCTGGCTCTTCCCTCCTCACCGCTGCTACCTCTCAAAACTTTGCTGTACCCACTCCGCCGTATTCCGATGGTACCTGGGAAATGTACCAGGACTTTGTTGGTGGCGTGCAGTTCTGGGGCTATGCGCTCGCGAGTGGAAGTGGGGATGGTGGGGTGAGAATGTGGGATATGAGAACGGGCCAGGCGCATAGGACGTTGGTGGGGCATACAGCACCGGTGACGTGTTTGCAGTTTGACGAGTCGTACATCGTTACTGGCGGCCTGGACAAGACAGTGCGGGTGAGTCTAATGTTTCCAACTCATCATACCGTCGCTGACATGGATACAGATCTGGGACCTTCGTATGGGCGCACTCTCCGAGCTGCATAAGTACGAATACCCCGTCACTGCCCTTCAATTCGACTCTCGAAAGATTGTGGCCTGTACGGGCGAGAACGGTGTCGAGGTTTACAACAGGACGACGGAAGAACACAAGCGGCTGGTGGTTGGGGGCCATACGAAGCCTGCGGAGAAGATGAGATTCATAGACAAGTATCTGGTCTCGGGAGGAAGGGATGGGTGTGCGAAGGTCTGGGCGATGTAGGGAAGGAGGGTGTAGTCCGATCCACATTCATATACGAGTAGAAACAAATGCATGCAACTCATACGTTAGGTCTCGTCTGTGAAACATGATTAGAAAGGTGTCGATGCGCTGACCATCACGCCTGGCAAAAGCTACGATCACATGGCAAGCTGCCGTGCTCTATCAGGAGGCGTTTGGCTCGCGCGGCTTGTGTCAAGCCAGAGGAAGCCTATGTAGCAGAGAGCTGAGGAGACGGCAGAACCGAGATTCTGAGGATGCTAATGAACCGATTTCGCTCAATGTCTTGTCGAAAGGGTTACATACACGCGAGCTTGCAGCCTCTCGCGGTTCAGCCATCAGGACTCCCTCTTTGTCACTGGTTCTACGTAGCTACTAGTAGCGTGGCTGGTAACTGTGTACTGGTAAGATCCCTGGACACTGTAGCTTCCGTTTTGGGGATTGTACTGGTCAGATTTCTGGGTATAGCCCGGGGACTGGGAAATAGACCCTGTTGAGCCCGATGCAGCCAAGAACTGCGCGGCTTCTTCTATCGTCTTGAATTTCTGGTGCTTTGCGCTATCACACCCTGTCAGGGAATCGAACATTACCGCGACGACGACCGCGTCGCGTGCAACACTGTACTTACCCAGAGTAGCCGTTCACTTGCGAGAATCATTAACTTGTACACGCACAGTACTCAGACATCGTACTGTACTCGTGTATAGAGCGGTAGACTACGAGACTGTATAAGTATGTACTGGAACAGCTGTAGAACAGAGCTCTTCTTAAAGCAAAAGTCTAATCTAAAAATCGGGTTTCGGACTCCCGAGGTACTACGGCTGAGGTCCTAGTCCGCCGGGTGGCGGGACTGATAGCTATGGAACCAGGAATGATAACCAGAGCAGGCTCGTTTGCTCGCTCTGAGCTTTTGACATGGTCCGACTGTTAGAGACTCGCTGTAGATGAATCAGGCAATTACACGCAACGAGAAGGTCGTGCTCATATGTGGGTCGACGATTGCTGCAGTTGGTGGCAGAAGTCTATGATTTCCGCTCTCCCCGCCAGGCATATTTATCTAGGTGTACAGGTGCCAAGCTGATGGGCATCAAGCACGAGTATGGCATGCCTGCAGGCAGGACGGTCAGCTCCTCACGCTCGAATGTGATGTCAGCTGCGAGTCACGGGAATCAGAGACGGGCTACGTGAACATGACAGCTTCCTGATCCGCCATCCACCTTTAACACGACGCCGTAATACGATCCCCGGCTGGCTGACGAGGAGCGGACAAATCGACGCTCATATCAGAGCTTGGGAGTTGTTGGGGTAGCTCGCTGTCGTACTCTTCTTCGACAACTTGCCATTTCGAGCACCCAGCCATAACGTCACACATGGCATGGTTCTCCCAATGTAGTAGGTACCGAATAAGCCGGAGCTATCGTTTGTCGATCCAGGCCGCCGCGAATGCTTTTCTTCCTCATCCGGCCACTCGTTGCTTGACCATCGTCAAAGATCTCCGATGGCGCTAACCCGTTGCAGAGTGGGAGCTGAGAGCTGACAACGCAGGTCAGGGAAATAAGCAGCTGACAGGAGCATGGGCATGGACGAGCGCATGTACGTGGTGCGTGCAGGGCGGATCCACCGACCGAGCATTTGCATGTGCAGGACATGAGGAGAAGGAGAAAAGCTGATCGGCAGCCGGGAGAGAGTGGCGCAAGGAGATGGTGGGTGGCGGGATGAGCTACGGTGGTATGGCGAGGTTACCCTGGGCAAGTGACGAGTAGACACAAACATTGAGGTCATATCGTCCCGTTATTGGGTCCTGGGCCGGGAAGGCGCATCTACCGGCGGCTATGTGCGACTCAGGAACTGCTAGGCGGGGGAGCTTGGACGGTTTATTGGGTCTCCCTTGATAATATGCTGAGGGCTAGCCAGACTGCCATGCCCCTCAGCGATCCCTTCCCACGCCATCCTGCGTCTGCACGTTCCCTCCATCCCGCCCGTCCCCATCAATCCATACATTTCCATCGTTCTCTCTTTTGCCTCTCCATCTTCTCACTTTCTGTCTGTATCATAGATCGCCACCCCTACTGACCCCTTCGCCCCTCGCCCTCTCCTCCGCCCTCGCCATCCAGCCCATCTCGCCTGGCCCCCTGTATCTCCTCGACTACAGCTTGAAACACGTTGACGTGCCCGTCGCGTCCTTTGCGGTTGATAAGGTACTCTCGCACCCCCTCGGCTCACAGATCACAGCGCAGTCAAGTCGAGACATCGTGACCGAGGCTCGATATCTGAGCAGA